GTCGATGTGGTTGGGCGCGAGATGGACGAGAGAGACGGCTTCTTGCGTAATTGTTCCGTCGAGGCGGGTGCGCGTAGCTGGGAATGGCTGTTGGAAGGCCTGAGTACTGGCAATCTCGAGGCCGGTGCCGGCCTGGGGATGCCAGACGGGCGCGATGCGGACGAGGACGGGTCCATGGCGATGGTGTCGCGCGCTATACGATGCAACGCCTAAGGGCTGGGAAGTCGTTCATGCAGACTGCGCGGCACAGGCGAAACACACGTCCAACCAGAGTAAGGGTCCTCCACTTGTCGCCAGGTTGCTTTTCGACGGGCAATTCTCCGCGCCGGGTGCAGAGGGGCGTCTGAGCGAGCGGGAGGCGACCGTTGCCCCGTGAAACCAGAGGGAGTGTTCATGTTTCCACTACACTGACAGGTCCGGCCTAGCGCCGGTTGGTTGAGCAGGGACGACCGGCGGGTCCTTCCTCCAACGCTCCAACCTCGCTCCACGCGCCTTCCGCACCGACGACATTGTCCCTCCACACACACCCAACACTACCCTCCGCAAGAGCCACGTCTTCTGCAAACACCTGTTCACTTCCGTTTGGACGCTATCACGGTCGCATAACCTCCGCGACTCTTCTTTGGCAAACGCGCATCGACGCGCACCCCTGCTACCACCGCTATCGTCTTCGTCGCCTAGCTAAACCGCGTCACCCACCGCCAACGCTACATACTCAAGCTCTTTGACACCACAATTCCCGCGTATCAGAGTTGGATTGCACAAAGCAAATTTCTTCTCGACCACACGTCATCTTTCCCGACCAGGCACAGCCTCTGCATCTTTCTGATTGTCGCACACTGCTTCGGCCAATTGCGCCTGAGGCAGAATGGATCCACAAGCAATGCACTACCTACCGTCGCAAGACTCATTGATGCCTACCACCGAGAATGCGCAACCTGAAACACCACCAAAGCTTTGTTCTCCGTCGCCCGCTGAGTCGGCAGCACTTGCCATGTCAAAACTCGCGTCCCCAGATCAAGTCAAATTCACCTCCCCCGCACCCCGGACTACGTCTTCTATGACCCCTCCACCCTCTTCCCAGGTCCCTGGTACTCGTGCAGCCATGAGGACGCCTACTCCTCCAACTCCGCAGCTCACATCTCCCCCACCAACCAGCAAGTTGCCTAACCAGCCGTCTGCCTTGACAGACATGGGTGCAGGTCTCTACCCACAAGACCAGGTCAACAGTGCCTCGGCTGAGGAGCTGAGAACCATGGTCAATAACATCTCTAATGCCTTGCGTGACATGCGGCTCTCCGCAGCGCACTACAAACTTCAGTACAATATGGCTGTAATGGAGAGCCAGGAGTCTGCAAGTCGAATGGCTGTCGAGCTAGCTATGGCTCAGCGAGAGCTTGACGTTCTGCAGCAAGCTGAAGAGAAACGCCGAAACAACATGGTGACCCCAGAACAAACCTACCAAGAGTCGGCAAACGCAGCCAATACAGTCATGTTGTCAGAAATGAGCCGCCAGAATCAGATGTTGCAGAGCGAAAATGAGGAGCTTCGCGATATGCTTGAGCAGCAAAAGCGTGTCACCGAGCATCGAGAAGGCGAGCTTGCTAGCCTCCTGGATGAGAATGATCGACTCAAGACGAGGATTCGCAAGAACCGCGATCACATCGCACCCCTTCTTGAGCAGATCGAGCAATCCTCGCCACGATCAAACTATGGAACCCCACATCAGCCAACTCCCAGAAACGTTCTTAACAGAGTGCCACACCTCTCCGAGGAAAGCAGAGGTCCAAACAACTTTGAAGCTCTTCTGTTGGCCGACAAGATGCTGAGCCAGGAGGTAGCTACTGCTCCCACAACGCCCATCAGGCAACATGCTCCCCGATCACGTTTCAGTCACCAGCGAGGCGCACAGTCCATGTCTTCGCTGCCACAAACACCAAACAGAAGAGTTGCGTTCCCCCGCGCCGAAGTGCCCCGCACACCGCCACTTTTTGTCCCAACCAACATTCCGCAATCAGCTCCCCCAGCGCACTACCAGGCTAAGCCATCAAACACGCGTCGTCAAAGTAGCAACTCGACCATTACCGCGTCCAGTGCCGATGAAGAGGAAGCCTTCACTGACCGTGAAGAGGATGAGGTGCCCGAGTCCCAAGCCAGCCAGATGGCAAGAAGTCTCCTGCAAAGAGCACCACCTGCCAAGGGCATGATGTCCGCTCCACCACTAGCTCAACCACCGAACCTCGTGCAAACCAAAATCTTCGGCCAAGTCAAGAAAGGCTCCGGCCTCACTCGTGCAGGCGAATTAAAGCGCGGTCGCATGCCTTCAACAGCGGATCTCCGCACTCAAACAAGTCCGCCCAAGCGCGGACGGCTCGATCAAGGTGTAGGTCTTGGCATTGGCGGCTTGTTGCGCGAGTAGAGAGAACTTGTTCCTGACCATGTGCGGCAGGGAGTTTATCAAGCTTACTAAGTTTACGACGTTTATGATTCTGGCGAACCACTTCAATGAGCGGCGATGATTTGCTTTTTCTTTTCTGTTTAAGGTTTGGATACCCTTCTGGCAAATGCCATTTGAGCACGGCGCTAGCTAGCTGTCGACTTTGAGGTCGGCAGACATTTTATGATTATTCACGGATATTGGTAGAGACTTTTGGATACACCACGAATGGTGATGTGATGATAGTGTTGGATGTTAGTTAGATCAAACTCAATGTATATGCGCATCATCCGCTCATGTGAATGACTGGAATATTCCATCTGAAGGAGAGCTGGTTTTGATGATTCTATCTATTTCTCTTGACTCATGTCAACTTACTTGGCCTTGTATCATACCGCTATCTTCTTGTATCTCCTTTCTTCGCTGCTCTTCTCTATACAATCAATAATCTTGTGCATACCAACCGCTTGTTCAAAGTCGACGAACCCTTCCTCTACACCCCACCCCTTGACAAAGCCTTCATACAACATACCGATATCCTTGGCAAAAGGCGATAAGTCTTTTACTGCCTCAGCATACTCCACATTCACTACCTCCACTGTATCCTTCTCATGATCAAACACCTCAATCTTCTCTCCACCAAGCGCAAGAGTAAGCATAGCAGCGGACGTCAAGCGAATCTCGCCCTTGGTGCCAAAGACCCTCCAGACAAGATTTGGCGAATCCTTGAATCCCTTACCACTCCTTGCTGTCATCGAGATAGGCGCGCCATTGTTCTTGAGAGTACCTTGCAGCATGACGTGATCGGGTGTATCGCGTTGAATCATACGGTTGAAGCTTCCATCTGCGTGCAACAGCTTGGTCCTGGGCCAGCGAGTCGTCAATAGCGCGGAAAGTTCTTCCAAGCCGCCCAACGCATGAAAGACGGGGTCTGCAGTGTGACCAAAGAGGATTGTGAGGAAGTTGCCACCGCTTTCTTTCTTGGTGAAGTATTCGACTGTAGGGGGCTCGACGTCGCCGACCCAACCAAGAGTGAATTCCTGTGTCGAGCTCAGGAGTTCTCCTACAGTTTTGTTCGCTACTAGCTCCTTGATCTTTTGGATATAGGGGTTCGATCGGGATTGCAGCCCGACGATGGTCTTGCTGCCGCTCTTCTGGGCTGCCGTGTACATCTCTGTAGCCTGAGTGAGGTTGGATGCTAGCGGCCATTCAACGTAGACATCCTTGCCTGCCTTGATGACAGGCATCATCAACTGGTGATGCCTATCCACCCGAACCGAGCAGACGACCAGGTCGACATCAGGATCCTTAGCCAGATCCTCAGAGCTACCATAGGCCTTGACGCTGGACGGTAGATTGTAACGCTGAGCTGCTGTTTGCGCCGACTTCACACTTGAGTTACAGAGAGCTAATATCTCGTAATGTGGCGAGGCGAGTAGGTACGGTAGATGTGCGCTAAGTGTAGGTGTTAGTCTGGCTCAAACAGATACTCGAAAGGTAGTGTATGTACCTTGCGGCCCAACTATCTCCTGGACTGGCGGAGACATTGGTGGTGACGGAACTGAGACCAATAAGTCCTACTTTAATAACCATTTTGTTTGGATCGAGGTTGATTTGCTTTTCGTCCAAGATTGTAGTGTCGTCTGATGAAGATGGCTCGGGAAAGTCTATCCTGCGGCCAATATATAAGTAGCAGGAAGGACGCGGAGTGTTCGTCCGGTTCCAAGCTGTGCACGGATAGTATCCATAGCCAATATTTGGTGCGCGACATTTGTTGAACAAATCTCTACATTGGTTTCAATTGGCATTTGCGTTGTACCCAAAATGCGGAGTTGCGTCCATACTGACTCCGCGGGTCAGGCCAACCAGGGTAAAATCCTACGCCTTCTGACTCTCTGACATTTCTGACATGCTAGCGCAACGACGGGGCATATAGGTTCTATCTTGACTACTCTCGACACTCCATTGCCCAAGCTCCTTCTGATTTCTCATCGTCACAGTTCTGACTATTACTCTCGAATTGCGGACGAAATCGGAAGGAGAGAGATCGGGAGGATTTCGTTCGGTCCGCTCTGTCTCTGACGCGACTGTCACATCTGAATACCGTTATCTCTGGGCCTGGCTTCATCCATACTCACAAGGACGACTGCGCGATATTAGCTTGGTAGGTACGGATGCTCGACCGAGTGCTGGAGGTAAAAGTAGGCCCGTGCCCCTCGCGAGTCATCTGAACGCGCCCTTGACGCGAGAGCGCTCCTCTCATCGTGTGCTTTGACGTAACCAAAACGCGCTGAACACACTTTCTCCGTGGAGAAGTCGCAAAGTCTCCAAGCATTGGTAGGAACTGCAAAGTCCTAAGACACCCAATCCGTAATATGTGGTCTTTGGTAAAGCTTGGAACAGTGGTGTACGAAGCTAATTCGTACATCAGAGTTCCTACGTAGGCACTGCGCTTACCGGTCTTCACGTTACGACCATGAACCTCGCTTCATGACTATAAATGATATCCGCACTCGATTCTTCGTAACAATAGAGCGTGGATATGAATCCAATACGCAACGCGATGACTTCAGGCAGGATGCGCACGAAGCTTACCAATGCCTTCCCTTGGATCGCCTCTCCTTTCATCGTCGGCGCACCAATGCGCGTCATGGCTGGTCCCCGCTTAGCTCTTGAAGTGTCCAAAGCTGGTGGTTTAGGTTTCATTGGCCCCGGTGCTAAGCCTGAAGATACAGCTAAAGATCTTAAAACGGTACGCGAAATGCTGAGCGAGACTCCAAGGTCTTTCTTTCCAGACTCATATCAATGTGGGAAGACACTGCCGCTGGGTGTAGGATTCCAGCTCTGGAACGGAGATCTTCAGTCAGCAACCAAAGCAGTAGGAGAGTATCATCCTTGCGCTGCATGGCTGTTCGCTCCTCGAAGGGGACAAGACGAGCTGGACGAATGGACAGCCAGCCTTCGTGAGGCGTCGCCTGGTATTCACATATGGATCCAGACTGGTACCCTGAAAGAGAGTGTAGAGGCTGCGAATAGCGCTCACCAACCAGACGTACTGGTGATCCAAGGTGTGGAAGCCGGTGGTCATGGAAGGGCAATAGACGGCATGGGCATCATGACTCTCTTCCCCGAAGTCGCAGATCAAGTTCGCGATTCAAGAATATCATTGATAGCCGCTGGAGGAATCGCTGATGGCCGCGGTATCGCTGCTGCACTTGCTCTTGGATCTCATGGCGTGGCTATGGGTACACGCTTCCTCGCATCTACCGAAGCCCGCATCAGCAAAGGCTATCAGAACGAAGTTGTACGCGCTACGGACGGTGCTCAAAGCACGACCAAAACGATGCTGTACAACCATCTACGAGGCACTATGGGCTGGCCCGAGCAGTATAGCCCCCGCGGCATTACGAATAAAAGCTGGCATGATCACCAAGCGGGTGTCTCGTTTGAGGAGCTGAAGAAACTTCATGACGAAGCTGAGAAGTCGGGAGATGCTGGGTGGGGACCAGAGGGAAGACTAGCTACATATGCCGGGGCTGCAGTCGGCCTGGTGCATAGTGTCGAGGATGCTGGAAGTCTGGTGAAGCGCCTGCAAGACGAGGCAAGAGCAATTATCGGAAGTCTGCATGAGATTTTATAAATCGCCCGGATGATTCCACTAGCACTTTCATCAAGCGTACGAGCTATGTTTCTGCTGGTCGGTCACCGTTCGAATCGAAGCCAAACCATCCTTGTCTGCCATCAGCCCCTGTTCCCCGATCTGGTTGCTGCGTCACTATCACTGTCATTGCGGTATCGTTGTCCGTTCCTGCTGGGACGATCCTGTCCATAATCTTCCTAGCGCATATCGTAGCCCAGTCTGGATTACCTTCGGGTGATATGACCGCTGCTGATGGTCAGTATCAAATCCGCGTTCATTTATGTGGATGGCTTACTACGTGTCGAATCAAGTTTGTTTTTCGACACACAATCCCCAAGTAAACCGACTAGCACTTCTTCCCTGATGGACCTTCTCCAGGCGTGGGTTCTGCCATTGGCGTCATCAATTCTCCCGTTCCAATAAGTTGCTGTTCTCTCGCCAAGTTCCCGATTACTCACTATGATGAGACAGGATGTCAGCACAAATTCTAGAGTTATGAGCATAGTCAGATCTACTTACTCTCACCGGGATATATCTTATCCGAGTCGCCCACGTAACGCCTGATCACATTTATAAATGAGTGACTTACTGATTCATCGTGACCGAGCTGTAAGAGTCTGGCGACGACATAGTCAAGCTGCTTCTCTGTTAGTTCGTGGATGAATGCTGCAGTACGAGCGGAACCGAAACATGGGTGTCTACTGATTTTTCTGCCTTTCGTCAGGCTGAGGAGTGTGTCAGCATACACTGTAATGCGCTCAGTGCTAAGGGCAGATTCATATGGATGAGTTGTCGTCATATTCAAGTGCGCGGTCCGGTCAAGTGGAAGAATGAGACTAAGACTGAGACTGAACATACTAATAGCTTCTTGGATGCGAGAAGTTTGTCTAGGCTTGCTATAGCAACAGCACGATAAGATAGAATTGCCACGCACCCTTGCATATCGAATCATTTCGCAAGCAGCAAATGTATCAAGGCAATCACCTAGGCGGCAAACAGCCTTAATCAGGTCGGGGTTAATAAAGATAGCAGTCTTGCATCCGAACAGGGCTGGCATTTGATTCGGTTTCCACAGCGTCTCGCAGCACAACACGAAGATTTCATAAGTTTTCACTGGGAGCAATGTTGCTGGAGGAGCGCAAAATCGTGATTATCATGTTTGAGATTGACCCTTCTATCATTCCGATACTTACGGCGATCATGTCCGATAGTATCGAGAGTTTAGTAGGGATGAGCGTAATTCTTTGCCTTCCAAGACTTTTCTGCCTCAGAATCCGTTGGCGGGGGATCGATGCCTTGAACACGCCACAGGTCCCGCGGAGTCTCTGAGATATGCATTTCCCAGTCAAGCTCCTTTCTGTCGAGTATGTATGGACGAAGAGTCTGCGTATGAAGTTAGAGTGTTCTGCGTGACACAGCGCATGCCAGCCATATACCTCGTTAATCTTGTCCATCCATCCAGTACGCCATGCTCGACCTTCTGCAGTGTCTGGACTTGGCATTGCCCGTGCAATCTGTTCTACGACAACACGAACAAAATTCGTCTTTGATTCTAGACCAACCCATACATTCCCCTCTTTGCAATCGACAAAGATGACATCGACGTAAAAGACTGGTAGGACATCATAATGTTTCGTTATTGCGGCGGCAATATCTCTCTTCTGATCAAGAGTGAAGGTGTCGGGATGGGCGTAGATTCTCCAGAGAGGCATTGTAATTGGAAGTTGGCTGTTTGGCGAAGGACAGCTTTCTGCTTGAGTAGATAGGAGAAGTTCAGATGCTTTATATATTGTTTCGCAGGTTTCTCGAGCGAATAGGCACCTAGCTGTGATTCACTTGCAGTACATATTGTTTCGACAAAAGCGTGATCCTTGAACACGATTAGTCCTGGGTAAACTGGTAGAATGCCTTGTGGCTGATTAGTGATTGACTCGATCGCTCCGAGCCTCGCCCTCCGGTCTCGTACGTAAGGGTGAGGGGATAATGGTTTAGACAGTCGAATCATGGGAAACAGGATTATGCTAGTAGCCGAGTTTTGTGCTACTGGAATTGTCGTGAAGCTATGCGCTGTCTGCAGATCAAGAGTGGCAGGCGGAGGTTCTCCCGTTGCTCTGTCGCCACGTATTGCGATCATCATAAGTTATAGCATCATTTGAGGACTTTGTGGTATTATCTAAGTAGGTTGTTAGATATACACATTCATATGCTTTGGCTTTAAGCCTTAGTCGAGCATATAGTTCGTCATTACGGAACTGGTGATTTTCAATATTGCATTTGCACGAACGCTGGAGCCTAAGTCTCCTGCTTTGTTGCTGCGCGGTGTTTACTGGATTCTGAGGACTTGATAGTCCCGGTTGAGAAAGGAGGGTCTACTCAGTTGCCCCATCACATAACGGCTGAACATCTGTCTGCGATGACGTAAAATTCAAGGGTAGCATCAGCCTAGCGGCTACACAAACTACGTGAAGTCCACACTCGCTTTGGACCTTACGGCCGTAAAACCTTACGCTACGCATGATCTGCGTACTCCACATGTAACTAAGCCGTCTTCAGCGGTTGCTACTTGCTGCGACTATCTTAATGGGGAAGCCTAGAAATTGCCTAGTCGGAAGACGCGCTTCAATAAATAGGTTAGAAAATGCTACGAGGCTTGAGTGAGAAGCAAACCTGGGTGGTAAAGTTGATAGGATGATTAGCGTTTGACTAGAGCATGTTTACTCCTTTGGTAAGAGCTGTTGTCACGGCGGTAAGTTTGATAGCACGCCTCTATGCTAACCTTGAAGACCAATTTTAGAGTCAGGTGTTCTCTTGCCATACCATCCTTGTGTAACGGGTGGTGGTTCGGAGTCGAGATTGTATTACCTGTGAGATGCGATGTTATCCAACTAGAGAGAGCAATGAGATGGAACTTCGATGTTCCTGCACAGATCACCCCGTTAGCGTGTACATCACGTGATCGTGCGGCGGTCGTGGGTCCGATCAATGACACGGGCATCTGAGCACATCACACAGCATGCAGCTTGCAGTATGAGTGATACCGATCGGATCGACGGTCTACTGGGTGATCTACAGCGATTGACTGAGGCAGGCCGTGATCGCATATTGGGTTTTCTGCCGCAACAGGACCTCATTGCGCTTCTCAAGGTCGCTCTTCGAGAACGAGACCAGGATCGAGGTTGGTCCGACCACCACGATCCCAAACATATGTCAACTAACACTCTCAGAAAACGTTGCCATTCAGACTCAGTCGAATCAAAACCCTCATGCTGAGCCCACCGTACATGTTGCACGCGAAGAGCCTAGCAATGTGACCAATCGAGCACACACCGCGGTGACTCTGCGGAACCATAAACGACCCAGAACTGATAGTTCTCCGACCGAAGTCGTCGGGAACAACTTGAACGCAGTGGCAGTCAAGCAAGAGCATGAGACGATTGATCTTGTTAGTGACGACGAGTGGGAAAATTCCAATATTGTTGTTCAGCCAAACAATCCAATAAAACGAGAGGAGTCTCCACCAGTACAACCTGGTGGCAGAGTTGGCAGTGTCTCGGCCCCAAAGATATCACCCGACCTTGAAAGGACACAGACCACTGAACCTCCAGAGGCACAAACTAGCTCTGGGAGTAGCAGTCGTAACAGCCTGGCCGCATCATCTCGTCAGTCCTCAGCAGTGCAAGATGGTATCGGAGGCAATGGTTATGGCATGCTTCTACCATCTCATCCTGTTGGAGAAGGTTCGACACAAGCCCGTTTCGCCCATACTACTGCAGCGGACTACCATGGACATCTCAATCTACCTGTATGCCTTCTTATCCGGGGGGTTGATGGGAAACAGGTCTACAAGACCTTTATGGAACTACCAAACGACGTTCGACAAGACATGTACTGCCGGTTTGCAGAGTTATGGAGGTCACAGCCATGGGTACTTGATAACTATGAGAAATTGTTGCAAAATCCCGAGCACTACATGACCATGCCTGCATGTATCCAGTCCTTGGTCGTTTCGAGAAATAGTCGTCTTAGTAGTAGGTCTCTTTATTATATAGGTGGCAGTCTTAAGGAGACAGCGGACGACCAGTGCATAACAGGTGGTTATCCTTGTGCACACTTTGTCAAACGGGCCGACGGCACAATAAATATATGCTTCGTGCCCCTGCCCCCAGGGAGGCGGGTGGGCAAGGTCTGGACTGAGCTCAGCTATTGGATAGAGTAAGCACGCCGACCATAATGAACTGTACCTTGCTGACGAGCCAGTGTAAATAATCGGCGTTCTTCAACCCCTTTGCGGTGGCAAATCCACAAGACCAACGAAGATCTTGAGAGACGGGTAAAATAGCTGGACAAGCAGAGGGGTTCTATACGATGAACGTTGAGAGGCGAAGACAATGCCTCAAGCCTATCTGCGCATGTGAGGTAGTAATCAGAGATTCAAAGAATAGAAGAAAACCTACTGGCCATCCAGCTTTGCCGGCCTGTGCCTACATATAGTCGAGAATGGCATCGTCCTGTGACGAAGTGCGTTGTCTCCAAAAACTTCTCTCATCTTTGTAGGGAAGGTGAGGTGAGTGACCGTTGGTTGACCGCTTCCTCTTTAGGATCCGATGCCAAGGTTGCCTAACTGTCGACAAACGCATTCCAAACAACATTGTCTCTCAGTCACTCGCCCTACCGCTTACCTCTCTCTACCAACTGTGATATACTGATCCGTCGTGGAGAGTACTTGATCGTCTTCGGTCACATAAATGCAGCATGGACATCAACACCGACACCGATGGCCTAGTGAAGGCTTTGCTGAGATTGGACGAAGCGGACCGCGGCAATATTGTGGAACATCTCCCTCCCAGAAAAGTGAAGAATGCCTTCTTACTTCTCCTTCGCGAGATAGCTGGACTTCCAAGTACGTCCGACATTACCACTTTCGGTGGGCTTGCTAACACGATCCTGCTTGTTGTAGTTCTGCAAGAGCAACCGCTCGCTTATGATCCACTGGCTATGCATCCTGTGTCCGCGCACGAACCGGTCTTTACATCCAATAAGCGGAGTAACTCTACAGCGATATCCAACAACTCGAAGCGAGCAAGAATCGATGCAACTGTAGCTCAGAACGCCAACCAGCCTGTGGCGCAAATCATAGTAAAGAAAGAGGAGGATATCATCGAGATCACTAGCGAGGCAAGAGATGCGGAAGCCGAGACTGATGTTCGAGCAAAAGCGGAAGATCTACAAGAACCGGCAGACCTGGCAGTGTACTTGCGGATTCCCAACTTGTCGGGCCCTGATACGTTGAAAGATATGAACGACCTACCCATCCCAGTCCGAGTCGAGCTTGAGCGACGTTTTAAAGAGATGTGCTTGACCGGCAAGAAGAGGGCTAAAAGATACGCAAAACTTACTCACGACCCGGCAAGAAGTGTGGAGAGAAGGTGCTGCATTCATAGTCGTCGCGATGAGCCTGTCAGCGACCAGTATAGTCAAGGCGGTGAGCCCAGAAGGACTGCGGATGACGCATGCATTCACCACCGCCGACCTTGCGCTTACGTTACTACACACGAAGACAAGTACATCATCTACCTGGTGCCTTTACCTGAAGGTCTCCGAAAGAGCACGGACTGGAAACAGATTGATTATTGGGTAAAGCCACTATGCACTGCAGTTCAAGACTATGTGGAGGGATTGGAAGAGACTAGAAAGACTCCCTATTACTTAAGATCGCAGAGAAGGATCTAATGATTGAGTCCGGGGTATTAGGAGACAAGAAGCAGCTGAAAAAACGAACTTCGTAGAACGACTGTAATACACTTACAAATCTCCCAACTGCCATGAGTATGGACTGTGTGCCGACTCCTTGAACGCCGGCGCTATGCAATATGAGGAACTCTCGACTACTGTGATACCTGCTCGTTGCACGAGTGCAGTAGCAGTGTCAGGGTTAGAATGAGAACAATGAACACCCCTTATCAAACGGCATCCACAGCCATCCATTCGCCGCTCCATATGCCATCCGTCTTGCACCCCGGACAGCTCGCATGATCGCATCCAGTTGGCTTTGTGAAGTCGTACTCTTCCCAAGTAATCTCTTCGCCCTCTTCGTCATTTGCCATGACGACGTCCTCTTCTTTCTTAGCATCGGCGTCCACGACAGGCATTGCAGTAGCAGCAGCAGCAGCAGCAGGAACTTCTACGCTATCTACGACCTTCTTTGTCTCCTCCCCAGTCTTGCCACTCACATCCTCGTAACCACCTTCCTTCCCACTAACAGCCACACCAACCTTCTTAAACCTGCCTCCTGCAGCACCCGCAGCACCACCTCCACCGATCTTGGTAAACCGACTTCCAACACCAGGTTTCTTATTCGCGTTCTCGACATCGATACTGCGCATCTCTAAACCCTGCTTTGGCTTGCTACTTTCGGTTTCGTTTGAAGCAGTGAGCTTCTTCATATCGGCGAGACGTTGGCGGTGGTTGTGGTCGTAGGAGCGGAGATGGTTCTCGTAATCGAGTTGGCGCGGGTAGCCTTTGTCGCATATTGTGCAGTTGAACAGGCGGACTGCCGCCGGTAAAGGGTTATTCCGCTACGCATTGTGTCAATGGACGCACGAGGAAGAGTGAGTAGGATGAATACGTACTGGAGGCATGGTCGCGTTGATGTATGATGTGCTCCAGTCCTTAAATGTGTTACTGGCGCGCTACACCCACAGACGTAGCGGTTTCTAAGCGAGTCGGTAGAATGTGGGGTTGCGGGGTTGTAAAGTCGCGTCGTTGTGGTGATAGAACGTTTGGTGTTGCGGCTCAACTGCACGCGCCTCGGTCCAACAAAGCCCCACTTATTTCTCTCACCGAATCAACGTCATTCAATGTCTCAGCAACGTAGCGTTTCTCTAACCACTGCAATCTGCACCACCACGACGCAGAGTACAAGATGGAGATCAATCCAGATCTACCGCCGGTAGAGGATGAAGAGATGGGCGTCATGGGCCTTACACAAGTCGACCCTTCGCCGGTCGAAGACACACCGATGGAGTTCAGAGAAAAAGACTATTTCCCCGAACAGGAACGACCTGAGAAGGAAACAGAGGAGATGAGAGGAATTCGAAGGATGAACACATTGGGATTGCGGTTGGGTGATCATGGAACAGCTTGGTGGCGTACGTATCCTTACTGCCATGAGGTCGAGGGATGCAATGCTGACGTTGCTCTGTAGTTCTCCGCATACAAAAGTATTCTTCCTACACCTTCACAGCCTTCGCCGCCCTCCACATAACAAACGTCTCCATAATACCGCTTGCCACGCGCTCTGTCCTCGAATCGAATCGCTACCTTTTGCTCACACGACCATACTACCAATCTGCCCTCACCGAACCCCTCCTCGTTGGTCTTCCCCTCGTTGCACATGTCACGTCTGGAATCGCACTACGGCTATGGAGAAGGAGACAGGCTCTTAAGAAATACGGTGCAGAGACACGAACCGACAAGCGCACAATTCCATGGCCACAACTGAGTGGGACGAGTGCGTTGGGCTACGCTTTGGTACCTTTTGCTAGCTTTCATGTCTGGACTACTCGTATCCTGCCGCTATACGCACACGGAGATTCGTCCTTGATCAACCTCCAATACATTTCTCACGGCTTCGCACTACACCCAGCCGTTTCGTTTACTGGTTTCACAGCACTCGTAGGAATTGGCGTATGGCATTTCGTCTGGGGTGCGGCCAAATGGTTGGGCTGGGCACCAAGCCAAGTTAAGATGACAGAAGAGGACCGGGCGTTAGTCAGGAAGAGGAGATGGTATACCATCAACGGGATTAGTGCGGCTCTCACGGCATTGTGGCTAGCGGGCGGCTTGGGTGTTGTTGGAAGAGACGGCAAGATGGTGGGCTGGGTAGGCAAGGAATACGACGAACTATACAAGTATCTTCCAATTGTTGGAAAATGGGTGGGACAATAGAAGGAAAGTAGCATGCGAGTTTTGCATTGTAGTATACCCTTGATAGCGCATCGACAAAGTCTACAAGTTCTCGCCAACATACTTGACACCGCCCTTTCAGTAGTCGATGTAGATCCTGCCCTCAAGCGGTCGCAGCACAGAGTCCATCGCCTTCCCGTACGAGCTCACAAGCAGCCTCAAGCCCTCGAAATCGTACTCTATTCGCTGTCCTTTCGTTGTGAAGTTGAGCACCACAAGCGCTGTCTTCTCCTCAAACCTCTTCTTGTAGATAAACATCTCCGTCCCCTCTGTATCCACCAGTTCGAACGACCCATATACAAAAACGTCTTTGTGTTCTTTCCTCAATCTGAGCGCGCGCTTGTAAAACGAAAGCACACTGTCCGCACCCTTCTCTTGCGCTGCAGCATTGATGGCAGGATACTCGTCATGCACCCTCATCCACGGCTCACCCGTTGAAAACCCACTATTTACGCTTTCGTCCCACTGGAAAGGTAATCTCGCATGATCTCTAGCCATGAGCTGCAACCCACGCTTAATCCTCTCTTTACGCGTAGGATCTGTACCGTTATCTGCTAACCTCACGGCTTCAGCCCAGTAATTCTGACTTTCGACATCCTTGTACTCTTCGCTCACATCCCAAGAAGCCGGAGCGTTAATCATGCCGATTTCTTGGCCTTGATAGAGGAATAGTGACCCAGTCTGACCGATCAACCACAAAGCAAGTAGCTTGCCACTCTTCTCCCGCCACTCTGGAGCATCATTGGCGAAACGCGATATACTCCGGCCATTGTCGTGATTCTCGTTAAAGACGGTCGTCCATGCGTCGGTTCCCTCAATGAAGCACTGCCACTTCTCTACTATGCGCTTCATATCCGGTAGTTCCCACTTAGCAAAATCGTACTTGTCGTTGCAGCCTGGAGGACCTTGGCCTAGATGTGTAATGTCAAACTGGAAAACCATATCTAGCTCCTTTTGCGCTGCGCTAACGTACGGGATAACTGACTCAGGGTCTGGACACATGGACAGTTCACCTACTGTTACGACGGGCTGGCCGTCATAGGTCCTGTAATGGGAAAGGACGTTGTAATTAATCTCCTTGATGAACTCGTGAATCCGAGGCCCATTGCACCACATTTGAGCGGCAGGTTGGATGTCACTGGTAGGATCCGTGACGGGTGCATCGGCGAAGGGAAAGACTTTGGAGTACTTGTTTACCGTGTCTACTCGGAACCCATCGATGCCTTTGTCGAGCCAGAAGCGCATTGCCGAGTCGTAAATTGCTTTCCTACAGTCTTCGTTTTCCCAGTTCAGGTCTGGTTGGGATTTGTCATAGAGGTGGAGATAGTATTCTTCTGTGTGCTCATCCCAAGTCCAGGTTCCGCCGGCGAAGTATGAACGGTAGTTGGTAGGCGGCATGCGATTCCCTTGCTCATCGTACCGCGCAGGTTGCCAGAAATACCAGTTTCTTTTTGGATTGGTTTTTGAACTTCGACTTTCCTTGAACCAGGCGTGCTGATCGCTAGTGTGATTCACGACCAGGTCAAGAATGATCTTCATATGATTTTCATGGCAAGCTTTGATGAGCTTCTCGACATCTTGCACTGTGCCGTATGGTGCATATACGCCTTCATAATCAGAAACATCGTAGCCCTAATATTGTGGTGTATGAGTTAGTACAAACTTCATATGTATCTCATACACCAGAGTTCTTACCATGTCGATCTGAGGGGAGTCAAACATGGGCGACAGCCACACTACATCGACACCGAGAGATGCGATATAGTTGATTTTTTCGAGTATACCAGGAACATCTCCCCAGCCATCCCCATTGCTATCCTTGAATGACGCGGGATAGATCTGGTAGAATGTTGCTTCTTTCCACCAAACCCGTTTATGATATGAAAGGTCTACATGTGGTGACATGTTAGTATGATAGAAGAGAGCTCGCTATCTGTGCTAAGTTTAAGATGACTTTGAGCCAGAAAGGTGTGAAATGAAGAAGAAATGAAATTTGATCTGTTCAGTCGACTCCGCACGAACTGATTGATGATAACTGAGCAGTCGCAGCAATATGGTGGCAGCTCCAAGCATTGGTTAGCTGGAAGGGAGAGGCGGAAGGTTGCAAACTTGTGGGATCTCTTATCCCAACTGCTTCCCAACCCTCTAATAGTCCCACCCACGTACTTCATTGTGACAACACCTCTGATTCGTGGTTATAAGGATCGCTTGTAAATGGTTGGCATGCCCGCGCGAGTCGTGCTGGCCCCGCAATGCAGCATCCGTGTTGCTCCCGCGTTGCCTCCGCCTTGGCTCCGTGAAAAACCCAATGCTTTGCCGCACAGATTCAGGACCTCCGCGTTGCCTCCGATCATTTTGCAGCGAAAAGACTCGTGGACACAATTCGAGTGGCGTTATCTTGTGCCGTTGGAGTAATCTAGAGCGTAGTGTGTGCGGTCTTACTGCCGGAGCTGGGGCACCATGGGGGGTCCAAGTTGCTGGGCTCTCGCTAACCCGCATCAAAGACGACCCTAGTCTGACTATGATCACCTGTGTTCATAGATGGTTATAAACCCAGCATATTTCCTCAGTGATATTGCATCAACTCGAGCCTCTCCCTTACGGCACCTGCCACTCAATTCGACGATGGCAGAAAAGGACCTCCAACAACCTATGGCAACGCAGCTCGTGGCGCCTAACGAAGAGGCGCAACATGCTGCTGATGATGAGAAATCCATGACCCTGTTCCAAGCAATCAAGCTTTATCCAAAAGCGGTCGGCTGGTCAGTCGTTCTCTCGAGTGCTTTGATCATGGAAGGGTATGATCTTGCGTTGTTGGGGAGTCTGTACGGCAGTCCTCAGTTCAATCGCAAGTACGGAGTGTTCAACGCTGCTACTGGCAAGTACAGTGTTCAGGCGAGTTGGCAGAGTGCTCTGTAAGTTTCATGTTAACCCAACTTCGAGTTATAGCAAATTTTCTGATTGCATCAGATCGAATGGAGCACGAGCCGGTGAAGTAATTGGCTTGTTCATCAATGGATTTGTCAGTGAGCGTTATGGTTATCGGAAGACCATGATTGGTGCTCTGATCTCAATGACTGCCTTCATTTTCATTCTTTTCTTTGCACCCAACGTCCAAACACTGGTCATTGGCGAGGTCTTCTGCGGGATACCCTGGGGCATGTTCCAGACCCTCACAACGCAGTACGCATCGGAAGTCGCGCCTGTACGCTTGAGGCCGATTCTGACCACATTCGTCAATATGTAAGCCCGGTCGACTGTTCCATTCAAAGCTGGCTGCTAACTCATCAAGGTGCTGGGTAATGGGGCAGTTCATCGCCGCGGGTGTAAATCGCGGCTGCGTTCAACGTCCGGATCAATGGGCTTATCGTATTCCCTTCGCTATACAGTGGGTCTGGCCCATACCAATCATGGTCGGTGTCTTCCTCGCACCTGAAAGTCCTTGGTGGCATGTTCGAAAAGGAGATAAGGCAGGCGCTAAAGCTGCATTGCTTCGTCTGACTTCGCCGGATAAAGACCCAAACTTCAACGCCGATGAAACGATCGCCATGATTGAGCATACCAACGAAATGGAAAAGAACATGTCGGAAGGAACACGATGGACGGACTTGTTCAAGGGGACAGATCTCCGACGGACCGAAATCGTATGCTTTACCTGGATCGCTCAAACGATTTGCGGGACCAATATTATGGGCTACTTGTTAGTATATGGACTTGAGATCAGCAAGGATCCTGGCTAACAACGAGTAGCGCGTATTTCATGCAGAAGGCAGGTCTCCCAACGGTGCAGTCGTTCAACATGTCGATGATCTCGCTGGCCCTTGGCCTAATCGGTACCGCTGGCTCTTGGTGGTTGATGCAGAAGTTTGGCCGGCGAACGATCCACTTCTCGGGTGGCTGCACACTGTTTGTCATCCTTATCATCGTCGGATCATGCTCTTTCGCTGGCACGCAAGCATCCAATTGGGCCATCGGAGCGGTTCTGATTCTTTTCGTCTTCGTGTACGACTTCACGATCGGTCCGGTGACCTATTCAATCGTTTCGGAGATGTCATCTACAAGATTGAAAGCGAAGACTATCGTTCTCGCCCGCGCACTCTACAACATCTCGAACATCGTCGTCAACGTTTTGACCAATTATCAGCTCGGCGATGCCAATTGGGCTTGGGGTGCGAGAACGGCATTCTTCTGGGCTGGTACCTGTGGTTGCGTTGTGGTATGGGTGTATTTTAGACTGCCAGAACCCAAAGGTCGGACGTACGGTGAGCTTGACATGTTGTTTGAGCAGCGAGTAAGTGCCAGGAAGTTTGCTAGCACTCAAGTTGATCCGTACGGGCATGCACGCGTTGCTGATGAGAAGGGTGCTGCGAACCCAGAGTGGAAGGAATAAACAAGGGTCGTAGACGCGAGTTGTAGGGTGCCGTCCCTTACCATATTGAGAAATCGAGTAATTTCCAATTGTTTAGCGCAGTCTTCGTGAAGTCCCTACTTCGCTCAACGCGTACCAGACAGGAGGTACGCGCTTGTTGATGTGACGTAATCTACCTCGGCTATCACACGACGCGTCTGACAAGCCGCTCAACCCACCCGCATGTTCTTTGAATTTTGTCAAACAGCGCGTAGACACACTAACTTGATGCAAAATATTCCCGTCAAAGCACGAAAAGTCATTCCGAAGGCTTGCGACGCGTGCCGCCGCCGCAAGACCAAATGTAACGGCTCGCAACCTTGCCCAGGATGCCTATCAGCAAACCTAGCATGTACATTCGATGCACCACGAGGCCAAGGAGGCAACAGGGGCCCAAGAGCTACCGTGCTCAATGAGTTGAGGTCGATCTCGCAGAATAACTTTGAAGATTTGCAGGATGCTTCATCGTCGTCAGCTATCACGGCCACAGCATCGCCCATAGAATTCACGCAAAGCGTTTTTGGAGAGTTCATCAGCGTCTACGAGAACCGTATATATAGACTGGTATCTCTTATACCTGCCGATTTATTGCGAGATGAAGCTACAAGAATGCAAGTTTCGCAAATATCTTGTCAGCTCATCTTTGCCTTCTGTGCATATATCGCGAATTTTGGCGATACCGACGATGCCAGCTGGGGGCCTACTCAGTCTTCACTGGTGAACTCGAAAACTTACTACTTAGATCATGCTTTGCTTTCTCTGGACCGAGCCAGGGTCACACAGCTTGACCCTCGATCTGTTTACATATCCTTCTTCTTATACGGGGCTTACGCTGGCCAAGGAAACTACCGTCAAGCATGGTTCTATCTGAGAGAAGCAACGACCCTATTCATGATGTTGAAGGACGAGGATCAAGGCTGGTTCGATAAGAAGACACGGAAACGTTTGTTCTGGATCTTAGTGGTCTCCGAGAGGTAGGTTGGACAGATTTTGGTGTTTACGTATGGCGCTTACTATTCTCCAGAGCACATGGTGTCCGTAGAAATCGCCCGATCACCCTACCAGTCACGCCCTCGACCTACCCACTCGACGACCCACTCGACGCATATGGAGAGCTCGGATTACGCTACCTCACATCAATCTTTCGGCCCCTTAGTGATATCTTCTTCGCAGTGTGGAATGGATCTAATGAAGATTGTAGTAAAGAATGGTTGCTAAAACTCGAACGCGACGTTCGTACTGCGTTGCCTGTGGTACTCGAGATCTCGAATGAAGAGACCGCAAATATCCGCATATCGCAATTCTGGTTACAGATCAAGTTGTGGGAACTTTTCCCTCGCTATGGTTATCTCTCTACGGATTCTGTTCATGACTGCCTGACGTTTAGATACCCTATCCTGGTGGCTAGGGACCTGACAATTCTTTCAATGAAGCTATCTATCCAGAGCCTACAGATTCACGGGGTCGGCATGGTGCGTTGTTCCCGTTCAAGTTCGCGTTGCTGCTAATATAGCCAGACTGAAAAGATTTTCGATATTGCCTGCGCCCTAGCAGATGTTCTACCTTTTGTGTCCTTTCCGGCGTCGCAACTGGAACTCAGCCCCCCTGATTACTTGACGCAATTGATGCTACTCTTGGCAAAGCTGCCAGGTGGCTCCTCGAAGTTCATACCTCTGCTGCTGGCCAAGATCAACGAATTACTTCCTGATTTGATGAGCCATATGTGTGAAGCGATTCAAATGCCCATGCATATGATCAACGACCCCATGAGCCCGGATACGCGATTCGTATATGAAGAGGAGGTTGGTAGAGGTCTTCACGCAGATTTGAGGAGAATGGCATAGCGGGAGGAAAGAACATGCATTCGACAACTGCTATCAGATCCAACCGGACAGAGTCTCACAAATGTAACCGATCGTAAAAACTGAGACAAAATCTGAAACTAGTACTAGGTCCAGATTCTACTGAACAGATACTCAAACGATTGAGCTACCCCAGCGACCAGCGCTAAAACAGCTCGCCGCCGACACCACAATCCCACCAGCATGGCGACCAGCGCTCATGCGAATCTCGGTCTCAGCGCACGCCGGCGCCAGATTGCACCCTCGATGTCGCCATCGATCACCGTCTCATACCCTCCACCAGGACCACAGACAAAGATGAGCTCGCTACTCGTGAGATTGTATCTTGTGTCCCTCTTGAACACCACTGTGGCCTCCGGCTGCTTGTACGACCACGGCGGCCGCTCGCCGTGCATCTGAATGTAGGCAAAAGCCTTCTCCAGTTCCGTCTCCTTGTTGATGTTGGCATAAAGCCAGTGGGCGAGCGGAATGACGATCGGGAGGGAGATCGCCACGAACGTCCAGAAGAAAACAGCGCGGAGAAACTGCCACGCATGATCAATCTCGTAAGCCTTGCGACGGCGGAACGTCTCGTGCCAGTCGGTGAAACCCGACCCAGGCAAGTCTGGATCGCAGCGGTCTCGCTCGAAGAAGAGGTCCAGGAGGCGACCGAAGGTGTTTTGGTAGAAAGGGTCGTTTAGGCCCGCCAGCAGGCAAAACGACACCAGGATGTAGGCGTTGAGGGCTTTTCGGTACCTCATCGGTAGCGCGAGACGATGTATGAGGACATGGCCTAGGGCCCAAGAGAAGAGGGTGCTGATTGTGATGCGTAGCTCATCTGAGCTCGTGGCGAAGATGGCGATGAGCACCAAGCTCAGTAAGACGCGCAGCTTGTTCAACATTGACAGCGTTGTTGCTGTTGTCGGTGCCGTGAAGCGTTTTCTTGATGTTGAGCAGATGTGTGTGGTATCTAATAAAGACTAAAAGCTAGAAAGAGAGGAGCTGTTGAAGTACCATGACCTCCAGTGCGAAGATGGGATGGCAATAATAGCTAGTATTATGAAAATAAGGTATATCTCGATCTTCACCCTCTATCTACAATGAGAACTAAAAAATAAAACGCAGGTACATATTTTCTCTTCACCTCGAACGCCAACCAAAACTCGGATGATAAGAAGTTGATGCAAAACCAGGACATGGATTCTGCGGCTCTTTCACCTTCACCTGCACTGTGTATACGCCAAGTTGGATGTTCGCGGAGTTCGCAAACAGGATGCCCATTCAAGTTACTCCCAGCAGCTGCTATCGTAGTCCTGGGTCGTTGTTCCGAACAACATGTAGGCTCCTAGTGTGGGTGCGGCTGAAAGTGTAGTCGTACATGGTGTTATGATCGGTAAATCGGCACTGAGCAAATTCGTCGAGGATACGTGTGACATGTTTAAGCGATTGAGGGTGTTTCCTACGCACTTCGACCGTTGCTTGTGTCCTCAAGAAACACTGGAAGGATGAAAAAAGTACAAGTGCTGTCAGTGCTGTATTGGAGTTCGAATTGACTGTTCGAGAACCAGCCCCGTGATCAATCCGATGTCCCAATCCGCCCTTCACGAGCCCCGAAAATAGTCACTGTACCTGTTCTTCGGCGTCTGACTCAAGACCGAAAAACGTTTACCTGCCTCAACAAGTGGATCATACTGCTCAACCAGCATCTTGTGATGATTCGCCCAGTCTCTAAACTCTTGGTCTATCTCTTCTTCGACTACTTGGGCGTCCCTATCTCCCGATGCCCTAGGACTATTCCAATCTCCTACCTCACTGTCAGCTCCAACAACCTCACTTGTTCTTCTTGTAAAAGTCTGTTGCGATCCTGCACGATCACGCCAGTGACTTGGAAGGGGACTTCTCCTTTCGTTATCGATATCCATGTCATCCATTGATCCAGTGGGCTGCGGCTCGTCGACCACCGCGGCACTATCAACCCAGGCTTTCGTAGCCGCGGTGTTACGCGTTTTCCAGTTTCTGGGAAGAGTGTACGCCCAGGCTGAGCGGATTCCCCCACTCTTGTACGCTTGCAAAGCTTTGATAGTGGGTTTGCGGCGGATGGTGCTGCTTACTCGCTCAAGCCAGGTTTGGCTTGTAGCGTCATCAACTTCTGAGGTTGGTGTCGGTCGCTGGCCGGCTTCCGATGATGAATCAGAGGGTCGTAGCTGTTCTGATGACCTTGAGGTGGTAGATACGTTTTGCTGGCCGGCAGTCGGTACCAAATTGGTGGGTTGCAGTCGTGGTGGTGGACTTGGTGTGCCGAATGGGTTGCGAAGCATCTCTTCTCCGTTGTCTATCTCCATCGACGGAAGCGATTGCTTTAGTCTCGCTCTTGTCTCTCCTTCTGTTGCTGGGGTTGCATACTCTGGTTCTCCACCAGTTTGTTCGAGCAGATCGTATCTTGTCAAGCAAGTATCCGCACCTCGTTGACGGCGAATCGAGAAGAACCTCTTGGAAATTGATCCCATTGTTGACTTATTCTGTGTTTGTTTGGTATCAAGTTTGAGCTGGGAATTGTTGAGTAAGGTCCGGCGGGCTGCCAGTCTTTTGCGTTTGCGCTCATCACGACGCTTGCGAATCTGTTCTTGCTGTCAGTGTCAAGTGTTCATGATCAGCGGTTACAAAGCATGCATCAGTGGTAGGATTGCATGAAATGTTTCACGCCTTGGCTCACTAATCGCGGTGAGAACAATAGAGAGGCTGAACTTACCCAATCCATGTTGAGAGTCTCTTGCGAAGCTTTTGTGTCGTTTCTACAGTCACAGGTTCAAAGTGGAGTCAGGAGGTAAAAATTGGGAAATACTCAGGGAAATATGGGCAGCATGATGGAGGGAGGCACTCTGACTGTGCATGCGAAGTTTGGTACCGTGTGTGGGGATGCCGTCAACCAGAGGTCGAACTTGATCAAGGGTTCACGGAGGTGTCATTATGCTCACCTCGTCAGGGCATAATCATCTTCGAGTTGTATTTGTTACATTTGTATTACCTGTGCATCCGCGCTATCCTAGCTACCGTTGACATGCCAGAGGGAAATGGCTCAGTCGAAACAGTCGATGCGCACTTTGCATGCACAGTGTTAAATCGAGTTGTGATACACTGCTAGCTTCTTAAGCCACCCTTTTTGAGCTGCCAGTCCTCCGAGAACTGATCTGCAATCTTGTTTCAGCTGCTGATAGTGCTCTTTCTCTGATGAAACTTCCTCGAACCACCTATCCAACATCTGCTCCTTCGTCTCAAGACCGAGCTCAATCCCTGCACTAGAGGTCTGGAGCTCAAGACTGCTCAAGAACTCTACGTATGCCTTCTCTTCTCGCACATATTCCGACCGAGCGACCTCCATTCTTTCTGTAAATCTTGTCTTGATACGTTCAGACTCCACTGAACTGATCGCGTTGTATTTTTCCATACGAGCCAGTCCACCATTGCAATCATCCAAAATTTGTTCGCGAATCGGCGCGGTGACTGGAGAGCACAACAGGCCTCTCGCATAGTGTGATCTTTTGTGAATATACACCAGGTCATCTACGAGAAGTTGATGTATGTCCATCAATGCCCTCAGGCCAGCTAAGTGTTGTTCGAAAGCTTCCTTTCGTGCCTCCCTAAGTGCCGCGACGCTCAGCTTATAAGCAACTTCGCAGTTGTCCCTAGCGTCCTTGATCTTGTTTTCGAGAGACTCTTTTTCGTCCGCCGACAATGGAATGGTTCCGGTGATAGTAGTAGACTCGTCCTAAGAGCCCCAGTTAGTTTACATTGCAACTTCGACCAACAGTCCTCATACAAGCCTCCGCTTCTTTGTCGGTCCACCTGATTGATCGCTTTCGTTCAAGTGCTCGTCGATAAGTTCGTCGACGATGGTGTTGAGGTTTTTCTTGGTATCCTTGAGCATGTTCAGTCGAACAGCATTTCGTTGCTTTAGACCTTCGGCGATATCGCTTAGTGTCATGGTGGGCTTGCGCAGTACCCGCTGATAGTCTCGCAACGGCGTTTGAGGTGGGTGCAGTAGTTGTATTGTTAAGGCAAGAATCAGAAACTTTCATAAGAAGGGCAAAAACGACTAGCGTGGAGACTAGCAGGTCACAAGTGAAGGTGAAGGTGAACACAAACACAACAAGAAGAGCGATTTCCATATTTTGCATGCCAAGAACTGACATGAATCTTTGCATGCTATGTTCTGGTATACGCGTCCATTAGGTCATGGAGGCTATGGCCCTACTCTGAGTCCGAATCCGACAAGATCATATCTCCCCAACGGTTCACGACATGGCTCCTCGCCAGACACAGCAAAGAGTCGTAAAACTTGATCTGCTTGACAAGAAGCTCCCTTGAGTTCCACTGACGCTTGTTTAGCTTCTCATCACATCTGGAGTCATGGTTCTCAAGCGCCTGTTGCTCCTTTTTGATGCGAACCAATTCCTCGCGACACAAATCAAACGTCTTTTGCCAGAGGTCCTGATTCTCGTGCTCCCAGAGATGACCAATACCAATATAAATCTTCTTGATGCGTGCCTGTTCATTGGCCAGGTCTTTGAGAGCTGCTTCCGTGGATAACTTCTTGTCTTCTAGCTCTTTGGCTGCTGCTCCGTCCGCAGAATCGCGTTGATGGATAAGTTCAGAAAGGATCTGCTCGCCGTGTTTGATGAACTTTCGCACGTCCGGGACTGGAGCAGCGGCCTGGATTCGATCGATCTTTCTATGTACCTAACTTATGATCAGAGTAGTTCGAGGTTGGATTTGACTCTACTTACTGTAGACAGTTGCTCTTGTAGACGGCCGCAGTCGGAGCAGTCCTTCTCATCGATACTGACGACTGGCACTGTAGGTCTCTGGCGCTTGTTTGCGCCGGCAGTATTACTTTGCCTCGGTCGATTGGCTGAAGGACCTTGAGCTTGACTTGATGGTTGAACGCTAATTACTGGAGCTACCGGTTCGCAAAAGATATACTCCTCGAAACCCGTGTCAAGGTCGATACCTGACAGCTCTGCGATATTGCGGAGGCATTCTATCTGCGTGCTGAGTGTGACAGAGTCTCTTCTGTACGCGTCCTCGGCCTTCTCAACTTGGCTAGCCAGCTTTGCCCGAATGTTCGCCTTTTCTGTCTTGATAGCTCCGAATGAGTCGGCAATGAGGATACCCTCCTTGGCGTCTTCGTCAACCAAAGCGTTGTGAGCCGGAGTAACGACTTGATTTGTAGGCAGGCGAACATGAATTTCCTTTCTCTTGTCCAAGATGAGGTCTTGCGTCTTGATGCGCTCGTGCCACTCGTTCATCAAACCAATCTCGGCGTGAAAAGATTGGTTCGCATCTTCGATGTCCTGTTCCAACTTGGCACTACTGTTATCCATAGCTTGCTTGCAACGATGAATGCCGTCTCTAATTGTCTTCGCGAGTTGTATTTTGTCTTCAGGCGCAATCGTTTCGATCGACTCTGCAGTCCCCTAGCGTTCTTGTATTAGTCTCCATTCTGCACAGATTCCCAATCTTACGTACAGCATCTGCCTGCGCTTCAGCTTCGCTCCATGCATCGTTCTGATTATGATGCCATTCTTCAAGGTCGTTCGTAGTTGGGTCATCACCGGCATATTCGTTTTCATGCTCAGTTGCGTGCATTTCATTCCATTCTTCAAAGTCTTCGCCACACGATTCGTGATCACTGTTGCGAGGCGAAGAGTGCAACTCATGGCCGTCCTCAGAATCGAGCACGTAGTCGAACCATTCGTCGATGCTAGGTAGCGAGCCAACAGCAGTCTCGTCAGTAGACATTGTAAGTGCTTGTCGCTAGCGTACACGATGCCGTGTTGCTGTTATCGTCTGTATAACAACTTCAAAGGAGCGTGATGCCGGACGCAGGTTTGGGTCAGGCGGCAGCAACCATTATCGTCAGATACATATTCACCGATGAAGGTGAAGATGAAAACCAGCTGCCTCATCGTTGCCGACCTAGCCGACGCGCAGCCGGCGATACTCTGCCTGTACCCTTTCCAGCAATTGTGAGGCGATACGGCATGTCTTGCTGATCTTGAATGAAGTACCATTCTGTGTGCTAGTCCGTTCTCATTTGGGGAGTGATTCCTGTGAAGAAAAGAAGAAAACGACTGAGAGGGTAAAGGTCGAATGAATGTATGAGGGAAGAAGCGTTGTATATAAACCCTCCAGTTATGAAGTGAGCGAGGTCCACGTGTTGGTCGATACAAAACATCGGCAAGATGCTGATCATCTAAGCCCCAAGAACAGCATGTGGTGGTAAGACATAACCAAAGAGATATACTCGTACTTCGTCTGGAGTCACTTAATCCACACGTGTCAGCCCTTCTCTCGTGCACTCACCCTGGTTATCAATATTGAATCGTTAGATGGAGTTGCAATAGAATACTTGTACATGCAATCGAAAATGCCGTCTACCTCAGCCGAAAAAGTAGGTTCAATCGTCTGATCATACAAATCCAGTTCAGTTACCAAACCCAAATCCTCGTGTCTAGCCCTACGCCTTGCATACGCAATGTACCGATCAAGCACAAAACGCTCAAAGCCACTACGCCATTCTCTTATATTCCTTCCCCAACCTTATACCCTGAGTAGCTTAGCAGCGTAGTCTACGATCAAGCTCTCGGTGGGGAAGCTCATCTCCTCAAGCTTCTGGGCGTATGGTGTGGGGACCTCAGCACCAGTGACACGGGCGGGGGGTGCCTCCAAGTAGTCGAAAGCGTACTCGCAAGTAAGCGCCATAATCTCAGATGCGACACCGAATGAGGGGAAACCGGACTCTACGCAGAGCATGTGGCCGGTCTTCTTGACGGACTTGACGATAGCCTCGACGTCGAGGGGCTTGATGGAGCGGAGGTTGATGACCTCAGCCTCAACGCCGTACTTGGACTTGAGTTGTTCGGCGGCGACGAGGGATTGGCCGACGCAGCGGGAGAGGGTGACGATGGTGAGGTCCTTGCCAGGGCGCTCGATCTTGGCCTTTCCGAACTGAGGGGTTTTGTCAGTGTCTGAACGTGGTGGGGAGGGTAGCGGGGTAGCTTACAGGAATGACGAAGTCGTCCTTCTGGGCCTCCTCGCTCATGGGGAACGAAAGACCGTACAGAAGTCTGCCACTGTCAGTAACATAGCCTTCCATGTCATATTTATTGTGACCTACTCGTTCTCGAGAACGACGACCGGGTTGGGGTCACGGATGGCTGCCTTCAACAGACCCTTGGCATCCTCGGCGCTGTATGGGGAGACGACCTTCAGTCCAGGAATGCTTCCGTACCACGCAGTGTAATCCTGCGAGTGCTGAGCAGCGACACCAGCGGCGAAACCGTTGGGACCGCGGAAGGTGATGTTGCAGGGCTGGATACCACCGGACATGTAGTGTGTCTTTGCGGCAGAGTTGATGATCTGGTCAATGGCCTGCATGGCGAAGTTGAAGGTCATGAACTCGCACTGTTGTCGCCGTCAGATTTGCTTTTTCAGGGCATGAAGACGGCTCAGAAACTCACAATGGGGTGGAGACCAGCGAGCGCAGCACCGACAGTGAGACCGGCGAAACCAGACTCTGTGATGGGAGAGTCGATAACCCTCTTCTCGCCGAAGCGGTCGAGCAGGCCCTTTGTGACCTTGTAACTGTTGTGGCTCAGTCAGCACCGCCCTTGATTTGATATCCATTGTGCATGTCCTGCGATATGCTCCTTCCCCAATTGGATCCTCCTCTTTCTTATCGCAGACATGTCACATCCGTCTTGTTTGTAGTAGTGGTGGGCACGTACGCTCCGTTGTATTGCGCGACTTCCTCTCCGAGAACGAAGACCTTGTCGTTTCGCTCCATCTCCTCGGCCATGGCCTCGTTGAGCGCCTCTCGCACAGTCATCTCCTTCTGGCCCGACGCATATCCTCTCCTTGCAATTGACGGTGTGATGGCTGCGGCGCGGAAAGCTGGTCGGAAGGCGGGCGCTGGCCGCGAAGCCGAGACGAGGCGGGAGGCCGGTCGGAGGAGCCTTGAAGCAGCCATTGTGGGTGATGTGTGAGGGTGGAGGTGTGGTGAGGTTTTGCCGTGGGCGAGTGATGGCCGCTGAGCTCTGCTGTACAATTTCTTCGGACTTCGGGGATGCGAAGTTAGTCGTTGGGGCCCTGAACGCGCTAACAGTCCAGCTCTGGTGCACGGCCCCCACTATAGCGAGAACACCCGACCTGCATCTTGGATTCCGTCTCAACACTTGGGACGCTCATAGATTACTCTCCTTCCTCACTATCATCTTGCTTGCATTGCCAGACTCTTCCTGATCAGGGCACGGATGGAGTCAATCACTTGGGCCATGATTTCATCATGTTGCTTAGATGAGCAGATTACTTCTTCTATTCTCTATGATCACCACGTTTCGCGTTACCATGACCGTCCCTAGACCGTGCCCTACTTCCAATTATTATAGTGTATATGCGCGTCTCCCAAGCGCGTCGTGCAAATGCTAGGAGAAGATGCTCCTTTATCGAAGGAAAAGCCTGCAGACCAACAGGGTCCTAGATGCGAAGAGAAGTCTAATGCAAAGGGAAGCAAGAATCGAAGGCTTATGCGTCGGCGGGTTTCCTTCCAACCATGAGGTACATGGGTGTGAAAAGCTTCTCCCGTCCACCAGCGACGAGGCAGTCAGCTGCAAGAGCAAGACTGTCGGCAGTCTTTTGGGTGCCCCTGGGAGCGAGTCCGATCATCTCCAGACCACCAACGAACTTGTGAATGATTCCACGTCCGAGCTTAGTCATACGGAGAATGGTGGGAATGTCGCCCAGGGTGCTGATGTACTTCAGCTGGCCAGAAAGAGGCCAGTACCAGGGGTAGGGGTCGTCCCTGTCCGCCAAATCCTCGTTGTGCTCCATCACGAAGCCGGCAGCTTTCATGGCATCAAGCGCAACCTCGATCTTCTCCATGTTTGAGATACCGTCACCAATCTCAATACCAAGACGGATCTCGCGGTGGTGGGGGTTGTCGTTGTCGTACTTGTCGGTCATGAGCCACTCATAGACACCAAAGACACCGCCAGGCTTGAGAACGCGGAAGATCTCGCTGTAGATGCCCTCGAGCGATGGCGCGTGAACAGTGGCCTCGATGGCGTAGACGGCATCGAAAGAGTTGTCAGGGAAAGACATTTGCTACACAAGTCAGTGAGGGGGACAGAGGGGGGTCGGGTTGGGTCAATCTTACCATGAAGTCACCCTTGGTGAACTTGAGCTTGTCCGAGAGACCCTCCTTCTCGGCGTAGGCAGTGGCACGCTCGATCTGGTAGTCGTTGTTGTTCAATCCGACGACGTTGACACCGGCGAACTTGACAATCTCACGGGCAGGGCCACCAACACCGCAGCCAACATCCAATACGCGCATGTTGTCCTGGAGGTTCATCTTGTGGGCGAGGTAGTGCTCGTGGCGAGCAATGGCCTTGTAGAAAGACTCGCCGTAGGCGTAGCGGGCGAAGTGGAAAGACTGTCCCCAGCCGTACTCGTACAGGTCGGTTGCGAGGTTGTAGTAGTGCCTTGTGAGGGTGGCGTATTCATCTCGTCGTTCCTGGGTTTGTTAGTATCTATAGTGTACACCGTTGAAATGCCACCTATACACACCTTACGAGTCTCCTCGGTCTCGTCGCCAGCAGCTTTGTTGTCCCAGTGCTTGAAGTACTCGTCTACGGCAGCTTGTTGGGCAGCCTTGTCCTTTTGCAACATGGCAGTCATACCACCGCGAGCCTTTGCAGACTTGCCGTGCATGGCCTTGTTGAACTCGGCATCGCGAGTATGGTCTTCCTTTTCGAGCGCAACGGGAGACATGGTGGGTATTAAGAGTGATAAAAGGTTATGTGGGGGGAGAAGTGAATGGAACGGATATCAGAATAAACAATTGGAGCGAGAGGACCCTTAAATGTTTATAAAGACAACCCTGGAGAGCAAAGAGCGGTATGGGTAGGAGATTGGGACTTGAATTTCTTAGGGGGTAACTGGCCTCGCCCAATCACGACTAACTCTGTACGCGGCCCTGGTCAACGGAGCTAGCGGTCGGTGGTTGCCACCCGAGCGCGTGAAAGCCAAGACCGTAAGTGCCGTATACTGCAGTGCCTAGATTTCTACTGTCACTCACCTTGAAGCCACTACTTGCCGTCGCAACAACCACTGCGCCCCACTATCACGTACTCCACGACCCAGGATACGCCCGTTGTTGTCGCGAAACCACCTTGCGCCTTCCTTCCACGACTTTACAGCCTGCGCATTACACTTACCATGCCACCGCAAATCAAAACCGACCTGAACCGTACGTCATACTCTTCTTTTTAACCACAAGTAATCGGTACTGACTTGTGTAGGATCCGGTTGGGAGACAACCGACTTCCCGTCCGTCTGCGAGAAATGCCTGCCGGATAGCCAGTACGTGCAAATGCTGAAGGAGGACTATGGCGCAGAATGCAAGATCTGCACGCGACCCTTCACCATCTTCCGCTGGAAAGCCGACCGCACCGCGCGACAAAAGCGAACCAATATTTGCCTCACATGCGCCCGTTTGAAGAACTGCTGTCAACACTGTATGCTCGATCTGTCGTTCGGTCTGCCCATTGTAGTTCGCGATGCTGCGCTGAAGATGGTAGCGCCTGGCCCACAGAGCGACATCAACCGCCAGTACTATGCGCAGGAGCACGAGAGAGAGATCGAGGAGGGACGGGGAGCGATGGAAGCGTACGAGAAGACAGACGAGAAGGCGCGCGACTTGCTCAAGCGTCTGGCGCAGAGCGAACCCTACTACAAGAAGCAGCGACGGATAGAGGCCGAAGAGGGCGAGAGCAGCCAGAAAGCGTTACCAGCGCCGGGCGGTGGCGGCACAGGAGGCGAGAGCAGTCACGTTCCTGGCCCGATCAGAACACGAGATTCGCGAGGCACACCTGCACGAGGAGGCATGAGGCCTGGAAGAGGAGGTCGCATGGGCGGTGCATCCGCTGAGCCAAACCCACAAGACTGGCTGCCACCTTCGGACCCCAACGTCGCATCGCTTTTCGTCACGGGTGTGGAAGACGATCTTCCTGAACACGAGCTCCGCAAGCACTTTTCACAGTACGGTCAACTTCGGTCGCTAGTATGCTCGCACCGAGCACATTGTGCATACGTCAACTACGTAAAACGAGAGGACGCCGAGACAGCAGCAGGGACATTAAAGGGCAAGGTGGTCATCAAGGGCTGCCCCATGCGCGTAACCTGGGGCAAGCCCAAGCAGTTGGACAGCTTGGATCAAAATATCAGAATGCAATACGCAAAGGAAGGACGACAGGCGGCAGGCTCATCGCGACGGGCAGCTGCTTCCCAAGCTGCTGTCGAGGCGGCACCACAAAACAGTCTGGATAGCATGGTTGTGGCTCCTCCGCCAGGAGCGGACGACGATGTGCAGTACGCCAGTTTGGCCGGCAATTAGGCTTGCATCTCCTGCATTGGGTCGGCGTTTTGGAATGTACGGGTATCATGATTTATTTTTTGTGGATAAAAGCCTAGGAGGAACAGCATTTGGTTCCTCCCAATGTAGTCTTTCCCTTTCCCTTCTTGATATCCTCGTTGTTGCCTCTTTCGGTGTGCTCGTGTATCCGCAGCTCTGGCAACTTTCAGCATTCGATTCAGATACCATAATTGAGCGAACGTACTGTAACTGTCCTGTTCGGCCGCTGCTTGCCCTTGAACGACGTTCTCTCGCAGAAATTTGGCTACTTCTTCGGCATGTACTAATGACGCTTGCAATTCCTCGCTTCCAACTCGGAGGTCGCGGTTCGACTCGAACTTCTTGCGGGCTTCGGCGCGGGCGGCGAAGAGGGTGTTCATGTCGCCTGTGCTGTGTGAGCTGCGGAAGTAATCCGAATAGTGCAGTGCATACCCTCGAAGGCGATGCGCGCAGATCGCAGCAGGTTCCGGTAAGCTACTAGCGCCATTTTGTGTAAGTCGGGGGTGTGAGTAGGAAACCAAAAGCGTATTGAAAGATACAGTTCCGTTCGGAAGTTCCGCGAGGAAAGTTGCTCGCACGTGACATCGTTCGTGCTAGGAAGATCCCTGGCGACGATCCGACACCCGCTGACGTCGCGAAGGCTGAAAGTGGTCCACACACGAGCACGCTTCGCTGGCCTCAACGGTAGAATTCTAGCTCCCACACCGGGCTGCGATCTACCAGAGCCAACATGGTGTCCTTCTGGCCTTGGAAGGTAAGACGGTTCCAACTACGCGCTAGTTCAATTGCTGACTGTGGCAGGGTAGCGAAGACGCCGCCTCTTTCGAGAGGACGCTCAACACTCTCACCGGCAAGATCAACAGAGCCGCCGCGCGCAATGACAAACAGAAGCAGCTCGCGCGACGCGCACGCGTCATGTGGACGCTGTATGCCGGTTTCGCCTACATTCTGGCTGCGATGATTCTCACCTTCGTGACGGGATGGCAGAACTGGGGCCCTATCGAGGGCAGTGTTGTCGCTGGAGGGCCAGTACTGTATGTCTACACTTTGCTTTTTTGGGTCACAAATCTGACTCTCCAGACTCTACGGCATCCGTTACGCGCTCATGAGCTACTTCGACTACCGCATTCGCAATACCGACATCTACCTCAAGAAGCTGAACAAGGAACGCGACGCTACCATCGAGCGCCTGAAGGAAGCCACCAAGTACAACTCTACCCAACAATTGCTCGAGAAGTATGGAGCATCGCCCAAGAAACCTGAGCAGCCACAGCAGGGCAACTCTCCCGGTCGCAAGAAGCCTCAAGGCCCTCAAATGTCAGTGCCGCCTCCAGGACCCCGCACTGGCATGGCACCTCCCCCAACGGCCAACATCCAGCGACCTCAGTCCCAGCACCGCCCAATTACCCCACAAGAGATTCCTTCGAATGTCTCGTCACCCCAGGGCCCGCCTCCGACGCAACATCTACCCCCACCAGAGGCTCCCGGAGCTGAATTCGCGCCCAATGCTTTCAGTGGTGGTCCCGACCTGACCAAGCAGTACACGCAAGACTCGCCCGCCGCCTTCACACAAACCCACTGGTACGATCGCATCCTCGACGCTCTCCTTGGCGAAGACGAAACACAGGCTAAGAACCGTTTCGTCTTGATTTGCTCAGAGTGCCGACTCGTCAACGGACAAGCACCGCCCGGCGCCCGCACCCTCGAAGACGTCGGCCGATGGCGATGCGGTGGATGTAGTGCGTGGAACGGAAAGGAGAAGCCCCGCGAAGACGACGTTACGCGTCTTGTGCAAGGCTGGGAGGCTGAGCGCAAGGCTAAAGATGCGCATCGCAGGCGGAGTGTAGACAGGGGAATTGATTCTGATAACAGGGAGACTGAGGAGGACGATGGTGGCATGATTGGAGGTAAGCATGAGAGTTCAGGGGTGGATGTTGCGGCCGATAGTGGCGAGGATACGCCGCCGCCGAGTCGGAATACGAGAAGCAAATCAAGGGGGAAGGCGAAGAAGTAGATGCTGATATGGCTGGGATGCTTCGATTCGTGCTTGGATGACATGACTATGGGCGGGATGAGGGCGGTCATGTGTACCAAAATATTGTTATGGCTTACAGTATGATAGGCTGAATATCTCAAAACTTTGAAAGACCTTAGAATATTCTAAGTCGTTTCAACCACTTCCCGTGACTTGCGCCTAGGCCCTGCTGGTGAAGTATAAATTCTTCACTTCCAGGTCTCTCTTCCAGTCTTCTCTCATTCATTCTTCATTCTATCTTCTCCAAAGCGGCTAAATGAAGATGGTATGACGTTCGCCTCCTCCTTCGGCTGATTCTACGTACCTCCGTACCAAAAAAGGAACCGTAGTTGACTATGAGCGGTCAATTGTTCTGTCCTTCAAAGACGAACTAACACGCTATATGACTGCAGTCTGCTGGCTGTCCAAAGAACAGCAAAGTTAGTACATGTCGGTGGTGGAAATCAAAACTTGACCAGACCCAACATTATGGGAACTATCTGAGGAGTCTTTGTCCGAAAATCGTTACCTGTCTACGGCATGTCGTCAAAAAACAGCTGCCCGATTTGCATGTTTTTTTAGAGCAGTCGAAAAAAATTAATTCTTGGAAGATCGATCAAAGCTCTTTCTCTCAAAAGCCCCCGCCGTCGCCGCATGGTGGGAAGTGAGCAAGATGCCCAAACCATGGGCCAAGCTTGAGGGTATAAAAACTTCAATCTGTCCGCTAGATTGTGTCATTGTACAGTCTACGCCTTTATTCGTTCTTTTCGAAGCAACTATCTTGCGATTGAATGTACTCTGCTCGTTTACAGACTCAAAAAACGGACTTGTGGAGAACGTATGCGAGCGCTCGACTTGCAAAAGCTTACAACGAACGACGATATGAGCATCAGCATACTTCCAGCGAAGGTACTCACAGGCCTGGCTTGGAAACACACCATTCCACACCCGATGGATCAATGCTTGGCGTATGGTTGCTGTATAAAACCTTTCGTTCTCGTTGGCTGTTTCTTATCTTCACCGTTGCACATTCGACTTGTTATCTCTCTTTCAAAACGATACTACAGCGGTAAATGCTGGCCTTCTCTCGCTGTCTCCATGTACACCACTGGTACCGTGTGGGTGAATACGTAGAAGCACCACAGTATGACATCTTAACAGTGCTTTTGTTGAACGAAGAGAATTTTTCAAAGTAACAAATTAAGGTTGATGTCTGTTTGAAGGCAGGAATTCGTACCAGACATCAGACTGCTGTCTTTAGTCGTGGCTTCATTCAGCAATGTTTTTCAAAACCTGTCGATGCTGAGTTATGGGAGTTGTTGGCAGAAGAAGCGGGTATAAAGCTCACCTTGCCGCTGTGCAGTTCTCCCTTCTCCATTGCACTTCATTCAATCTTTACTACAAATCAGTGGAAGGCGTGGGCATGTGTGCCTCCTCTGTCTCCACACTAAAAACTAGTCTGCCAGTTGTCATGACTGGGCTCCTCTGCTTCTAAACTATTATGGCCGCAGCATACGAATTTTGTGTCCTGACAGCACTCCAAAGTGAATGCCTGTTGTCAACTAGCCATGTGCGAGTCGCTGGGTACCAAAATCCATAGACGACGTCAGTTTGAGCTCTAAGATTTTTTTCTTGGTCTGTTCAGCTTGGTGGGCTGGTGCGGCGCGAGAACGTGGCTCTTTCAGCCAGGAAAGGTGTATATAAACCCTTCCTGGGTCGCCTCTACTTACTTCCTCACAACCACAAACTTTGCTATTCCATACCAAAAATCAATCTTGCCATCTCCCATGACTCTGTCTGTGTGTCTCTGCTGTTCCATCTCCAAATAATCACTTCGTCTCACGCATGAGCTGGCCTCTGTGTCTGCTCTCTCAAACTACCAAAACACGTGCACAAAGCCGAGACGAATCAGGCCCTTTTGCTAGGCAACTACATAACGAAAACAACCTAGAGATCAAATGTCTGTTCCTTCTGCTCTTCTTCCGCCACCTTCTTCTGCCAACTGCGAAGGGGTCTTTACACCTACCATGCTTCATGGGTTCTTGGAAGGCGGCTGCAACAAAATACTGCATTCATCACTCATGTTCAGCACTACGGGAAGAACTCTCGACGTACTCTTGGTGTTTGGAGTACCCGTACTAGGACAAAAATGCAGTAGCATACAAGGAATGTCCTCTCCGCTCGGTTCTCCCGCCTTTTCACCACGATAGAATCTTTTCAGACCATGTTGCATGATTTTAACATAAGAGCTGTTATATTTGATGGCGTATCCTGCGGGATGCTCGAAAAATACCGCTGTAACATTCAAATTGCGTCCAGCCTTCGTCATGATCATGTTCCTCCCCTGTGTACCTCAAACGAGAATGAAAGATCATGATGAAAGGACACAGAGGTTGTGTCGATGATCCCGATCGAGACGTCAGGCTGTTTTGTAGTTGCCAGAGTCATCAGAAACCTGATTTCAAACCTCTAAGTATCATGCTTGTCTCCGAAGGACGTCCTTCTGGGCGACCATGGAACAGTCAAGTACAGTAGAAGCCATGTCACCCCTACAGTAAAGTCATAGAGTACGATGGAGGTCAAGTACTGTTTTTCTGACCCGGAGCCTACATGTCGTCGACCAGTCCGTAAGCAAAACGGCACAATCCATGTTTTCCCCTCGCTGGGCTCAAAAAAAAACACCCAAGAACAGGATGTCCTCCGAAAATATGCAGGCTTTCATGCTCATGTCTGTCCCCCACTCTCTTGTTCTCTTGTTCACCGAAGAAAGCTCTTTCTATCAAAAAGACGATCATGCTCTGACTATGGCTGTCCTTAGGAAACGGTGTCTACCCATCCAAGAAACCACAATACAGTTCAGCAACACCTCAAAAATAGACCGACATGATGTGATGAGCGAAACAGAGCAGATTTGATGGTTACAGAAGAATAGATCTCGTGCAAGTATGTAATGACTGAAAGCGTCGCAATACAGCTGAGTCCACCGCATGAGAGCGCAGTGTTTACGCCGTTTGGTACTGCTTACATGATGCACGTGTTCTCTACGGACGAGTGGGTGTATATAAAGACCACATTCTATCTTGTTCTTCTCTTCTCTACAACGTCTGCAGTCATATGGTCCAAAACGGACCTCGATAAGACCGATGGTTTCGGCTGTGCGCTTTTTTCCTGGGCTATCTTTCAAAAGTAACTGTCAAAGGCCAAATGGAGTGTGTTGCTCGAACGAAAACTACTCATCGTGACAAGCAACGATCAACGCGCATCGAACTCCGTGCCTCAAAATCCCATGACCTCGAAACCACTCCGATACCGTACACTTGAATCGAAGCACCCTTGTACCACTACTTCTTTTTGTCAACATCGCGCTCTCAGCAGACATGTCGTCGTCCGGCCCGAAAGTAGAACGACACAGCTTCACGTCTTCTCCTCGCTCGGCTCAAGGAATACTCAAGCGATGGCCTTGGTGGGATGTATGCAGCTCAAACCCTGGACATCCCAGAGACCACAGGTTTGGAACTTTGATGTAGGTTGCTGCTTCAGATACAGGGTCTATGGATGAACGGGGGCTCAACATACGCATCATGATTGATGCACTGAAGCGGCATTTCCAAATGCTACAGCGAATGATCAATGTCTGGCAAGAGCCCGTGAACTATGACATCCTTTCTCCAGAGTGCATCATGAGGCGAATGGATCTAGAGAAAATCATGTCGTCTGAGCCTGTCCGTATTCTCATCACTGCTCTTAATTCCTTTGGATACGCACAAGACTTAGGCGATGCAGCTCGTGGCCGCGGCAGGTTTGCTGAGGGGACGATGAGATGATGTCTCAAAGAGCCTACGTCCTGGCTCGCCATTTTGGTTGTGCGCTGCGAGACAGAGAAGTTAGGCAGAGGAGATGCAGGACATGAGTCTCAAATAGGAGTTAGCCTACACTGGCAAATAGCTTAGGGTTGAATTAAGATTAGGTCGGATTTATAAGACCCTGACCCAACTACAACTATTGACTTAGAATATCCTCTTGTATCATGTCGACTCATCCTTCTCGACCTCCCACAAACTATCTCACCTACGACCCCTTCGGCTTGACCGTGAAAAAACTACTCATTTTCTTCATGCCACTCGTATCCACTTTCTTCAACTGCTTGACCCCTCTCCCCTCATTCTTCTTCTTTATGGCCTCCTCTTCCTTCTTCCTCTTCTTCTCTTCCCGCTCGGCAATCTTCTCTTCGTCTAGCTCAACGGCACGTTTCCGGCTTATGTTGTCTGACAGAGAGCGGAGTGAGAGGGCTTCGGATTTGAGGGCTGCGATGGAGGATAGGTGGGCTTCGAGAGGGGCGAAGCGCGTACTGAGAAGGGCGAGGAGAGGCGTACGCAGGGATAGCGACATGTAGGCGCTGAAGAGGTAGGTGAGGGATGTGCGGAGGCGGAGGAGGTGCGGTATCCCTTCAGGGGTTGTGAGGGTGGGTTTTGAGGCGGCGTCGTCCTCGGGTGTAGTTATGCTAGTTTCGACACTTGTTTGGGAGTCCGCTATTGTCGGCTTGTTCTCCTTCTCTTCTTCTGTGCCTGCTGTTGTCGAAACAGCACTTAGTGTGCTTTCCTCCCGCTTTATGCTCATGACGGGAATTTCCAGGGCGGTCTTGATATACTTTTCTTCCAGTGATGGTGGAAGTCCATTCTTAACCATGCGCTCGGCTTTTGCAAGCAGAACTTCGAGCAGTTTGGGATGGGAGAGGCGGTACATGGTTTCGTCGCCGGCGTCGACTGTGTCGCATATCCTTCGCATCTTGGTTTCTATCATGGATTTCAGGGAGGGATATTGTGTTAATAACGCTTTCCAGTGCTGTGAGGCAGACGAGAGCGAGTCTAGGTAGTCATCGATGGCGAGGAAGTGTTGTTTGGTGTCTTTTGCGGACTTTGGTGTGAGGGCGGGGAGGATGAGGAATAGTATGTCGATTGGTGTTGCGACGAAGAGGTCGGCAGATTTGGTAACGTAGCCACTGCCTATCCGCGAAGGGTCTGTTCCTTCTGTTGTGTAATTCTCGGCCTTCTCTCCTGTTATCAACCAACTCTTGCAGTCCTTCTTGGGCGCCGCGATGCGCGTGAACTCATAGAAGCCTTTCTCGGGGCAGAAGTAGTATCTTGACGGGGTGGCGTTTGCGGGGTTGTCGAGACTGATTATGCGCGCATCTTTTGATGTATCCTTTGGTAGTACGAATAGCTTTGGGGGGTTCGGTGTGCTTTCGGGTAGCGATTTGGCTGTCGACGTGGTGGGTTCAGGTGTGGATTCCTTTGGGGTCGCTTTTACTGGTTTTGAGCGTGTACGTGCCATTGTGATGTGTATGTTGGTCCAATTGAATCGCGGAAGTTTGTTATACTAGCTGGAATCAAGCGGGATGTACGTGGTGTACCGGGTCTGTTGGCGCAAAGTGAAGTTGAGTCGCGTCGCGTGGGTCGGGTCAACCGCAACACGCGCAATCCCTGTCACGTCACGGTTTCGAGTTAGATTAGTCTGGGGTGAACCACAGTCCGGTGTCAACAAACGCCAACGGGTCCCGGCTATGCGCTTGTGATTCCTGCCTGGAGATCCCAGATTCTTGCTTTTTCCCGTCTGTAGTACTGGCGTTGCTATGGGCCGCTGCGAGATAGCGCAATCAATACTGCACCATCACAACAATGATTGTGCGGGAGAGCCCCAAGTCAAAAGGTGAGGCTGGTAGCGAATCCAACGGTGCTGAGCGTGCGCTGACTCTTGTCACAGTCAAAGACAACCAGCCCAACTGGCCCCCGCAGTCGTCCGTCGAAGCCCTTCTCAGCTCGCCCTCCGGACGTAAAAAGTACGAGAGCCGCCGCCAGCGCGATTCGGCCTCACCATCCCCCTCGAAACGCCGCCCCATGTCGCGCGGAGGAGTCCAAGCCGGTAGCGATGGAGAGGAGGACGAGGAGACGCTTCAGCTGCAGCTGCAGGCCATCGAGGCCAAGCTGAAGTTGAAGGCGCTGCAGAAGAAGAAGAACGAGTCGCTGGACATGGACCGCAACGGCGCATCGTCGCGAGCCAGCATGGCCACCAGTATGCGCAGAATCGACCTATCGCGACCCGACAGCAAACACGACAACGACGTCGAGGTGCCACGCTCACCAGTCCGGACCCGTCAACCGCCTACCGAGCCCAAGAGCCCTGCGCGGGTCATGCTGGGCATAGACAAGGGACTCACTGCCCGCGATGTTAGTCTCAAGCGGCCGGGCACCCCTGGGCGTCTGTCACGGTTGGGTTCGTCTCAAGGTCTAGGAACGCCAAAGATCAAGTCCTTCAGCGAACGCATCGCAGAGAGCAGGAACAAGGAGAAGGAGCGCGAGGTCAAGGAAGAGAGGGCTGAGCAGAGGAGGAGCAGGGGCTTCGGCTTGCAGAACATCGAAGGAATCAAAGACCGGCCCTCGCTCTCACGAACGAGTTCCGACCAGAGCTCCCGCGACATGCCACCGCCCGCCTCCAGGACTCACGCCCGAACACAAAGTTTACAGAATCGGTCGTTCGGAAACCCACCTACTCCACGGCCAGCATCTACAATGTCCTTCAGACCTGAGAGCGCACGCCCCACATCATCCGCTTCCAAATCCTCATCCAGCAGCTTTGGCACAACCCCAACCGCTTCAAGATACGCCGACATCTCATCGCGCGACGACAGTACAGACGCGCCCAGTTTCGAATCCTTCTCTGGTCTTCACCTCAAGTCTAGAGAAATGCAACACAATGTCGTGACACGCACGCTGGAAGGCAAGACTGTACTCACCATACCGCAGTTGCTGAAGACGGTCAAAGCGCCCGAGTACGACCCGCCAGAATGGGAAAATGACTATGTTGTTCTCGGGGTCATCTGCTCAAAATCAACACCGCACAACTCCAAGAACGCAGCCAAAGACCAGACCACAGGCAAGCAGGACAAAGACATGGACCAGAATGGCAAGTTCATGGTCATCCGTCTAACAGACCTCAAGTGGGAGTTGGACCTTTTCCTGTTCGATACTGGTTTTTCGCAATTCTGGAAACTGCCTCTCGGTACACTGGTTGCGATCCTCAACCCAGACATCATGCCACCACGGAATCGCGATACCGGCAAGTTCTCACTGAAACTCTCAAGTTCTGATGATACTATACTCGAACTCGGCACAGCGAGAGATCTGGATTTCTGCCACGCGCAACGTAAAGACGGCAGAGAATGTGGTCAGTGGATCGATGGTCGCAAGACTGAGTTCTGCGAGTTCCACATCCAACTTCAGGTTGACAAAGCCAAGAAAGGCCGCATGCAAGTTAACACTATGACCGGTATGGGTAGTGGGCCTGGTGGCGGCATGTTTGGTGGTCGACGTGGTGGCCCCAAGGGTGATGAACTCAAGAGAGAAGGCAAGTACCATGATCGAGAACTCCACGAAACCGTATACATTGCACCAAGACCCGGCGGAGCAGCCAAACTCATCGACCGCGATCACCAAAATTGGGAAGGCGGAGCGAATCGAGAAGATCGCTTCCGTAAGCAATTGGCCGAAAAGGAGAGGGAAAGAGAACTCGCCAAGAAGCTTGGTACAATGGGAGATGGCAGTACTGGAGGTGATTACATGAAGCTAAAGGGTGCTGGTACCCAGAATCTGCCCGCAAGAGGGTATACATCGTCGCAAGGTTCAACAGGTGCAAAACCTGACAAGCCAGCCGACACCGACTTTAGTAGTCTGCTTAACCGTACGTCTGCCGATGTTTCTTTGGCGCCCGTTAAACGTAAACGAACAGCATCAGCGAAATCATCAACTTCGAGCGACCCTGTCGGCTGGGGATTCAAATACGGTCGTATCCCATCACCCAAGAAGGAAGTGCCTTCTGCATTCCGCGGTACACGAGAAGCCAGTCCAGCAAAGAAGAAAGCCCGTCTCTTCTTAGATGGAAAAGGCATTCGCGAGCCTGGACGAGAGAGTCTGGGTGGTCTAGACGCAGGACTCATTGCTGCCATGGACGACGACGACGATGACTTGGAGGTAGTTTAATTCTTTGAAGAAACCCTAGGGGAGGCAACAAAAAAAAGGGAGGATGTGGAAGGGGAAGGCGTTTGGATCACAAGCTCGCTGATTGGCTAGAGCTAAGCGAACAACGGACATTTCGACATTTCTGGGCTCTGGATACCTCAGGCTTAGCGTAACGTAAGCCTTGTAACGACTTTCCTTTGTGTACATGTACAATATTATACCCGTTCATCACGTTGATATACACACTGCGTTCAATTTCAAAAAGCCGACGTGCTAGAGAGGAGGCGCAGTTGCTTGCATGAGTGCCAGTACTTTGTAACTAACCACACGCAACAACACTCGTGCACCCACCCTTTTCAGAAAGAAAGTGGAGAGACAATATTCCACCAAAACAAACCACCTCAGAATGGCAGCCCGGAATACCGACCCCGACGAGAAGGTTTACGCCCTCGTCAACTACGAAGACCCTTATGTCCAACCTCTCATCCTCGCAGCACTGAAGAAGCGACTACCAGCTTCGGCTCACGAATTCATAACTTCGCCATCCCAACTCCCTAGTCCGTCCTCTCGTTTCCTCCAATGGGTACAATATGAGTCCATTGACTTTGATCACCTTATGGAACACTCCTCGAGCAGCCTATCCAACGCCTACGTAATTCGCAAGGCACTCATCCGGAAACACTACCTCAGTACCACAATCGCAAATTGGATTACCAAGTACCCGGAAAGCGCACTGAAGAAGCACGTCAAACCGAGTGTAGAGTTTGAAGTTGACTATGCCGAGTTCCTGGACGATGCGCTGGTAGAAGCATGGGAGTTGAAAGAGAGCTGGGCGAGGAACGAGGAGCTTGACAGCGCAGAAGATGGAGAAGAGGCGGCGAAGAAGAAAGAGTGGTGGATCTTGAAGCCGGGGATGAGTGAACGGGGTCAAGGCATCAGGTTATTCTCAAGTGAAGAGGAACTCACTGCCATCTTCGAAGAGTGGGATCCTGAGAGCGATGATGAGGAAGAGGAGGAAAACGTCGATGCAAGAAGTGATGCTGGCGCTTCCAACACAGACGACCGGAGAGAAGAGAAAGACGAAGGAAACGGCATCATAACATCCCAACTCCGCCACTTCATTGCTCAACCATATATCCACCCCCCTCTGCTCTTATCTCCGCCATCCCTTGCTACCCCTTACTCCTCTTCCTCGCCAGAAACTCTCCGCAAGTTTCACATCAGAACCTACGTCCTAGCAACTGGCGCCCTGCAAGTCTACGTCTACCGCCCTATGCTCGCCCTCTTCGCCGCACGCCCTTATGTACCTCCCTGGGACGCCGCTCTCCAGGAGAACCGCGAAGAAGCCATGAAAGCGCATCTCACAAACACTTGTCTGCAGGACAGCGGAGACAGAGAGGGTAGTGTAGGCTTGTTCTGGGACTTGCCCGAAACCATACCTGGACAACCTCCTTTCACCTCTACAAACGGCAAAACATTAGAAGTAGGAAAAGGCTGGAAGGATGAAGTGTTTTCCCAGATTTTGAATACTACATCTCAGACTTTTGAGGCCGCGGCGAGGGGTATGTCGATTCATTTCCAGCCGCTGCCTAATAGCTTCGAAATCTTTGGTTTGGACTTCATGGTTGGGATAGAGGGGAATGGGGAGCTGAATACGTATTTGTTGGAAGTAAACGCGTTTCCTGATTTCAGACAGACGGGAGATGAACTAAGTGGGATGATTGAGCGACTTTTCGAGGGCGTGGTGAACAAGGGGGTGGTGCCTTTCTTTGGGCTCAACGTGGAGCAAGAAGGGGATGACGAGATGGTCAAGGTCTTGGATGTTGATCTGGGCCGGCGGTGAGCGAAGCTTAGGGAGATTCATTATAGCAGCACTGCATGTTGATGAGCACAATGAGAGTAATCACTCATATTTTCCTTGATCTATACTATGGTTCCTGTCCTTTCCTCCCATTACTTTCATTTCAATCTGCAATCGCTGCATGCTGTGTTGGTGTCTAACGAGAAAGAACTCCCAAACACCAAACTACCGCATACCTTGATCGGCAGTTGAAGTACCCTTATCTACTTACTAACCATGGGGCTATTCATATAGCCAGAAAATAAAAGAACACCGATTACAATGCCAGAGCAGCAAAGAAGGTTTTGCTACCTTCCATTGCTAAACATACATTAAAGGCCGTCAGTATGCGCACCCTTTCGTGATGCTAATGTAATCGTGGGTATCCTGATCCTGTTCTTTGATGTCAAAGAACACAAAAAGCAAACGCTCGCTATGCAAACAATCAGTCACAAAGGACCTGATGCAGAAGAGGACAAGCTAAGGTGTCTTCAAGACACCCATGCTCATTCAAGACGAACGGGCTGGGGCACCGTTAGATGCTGCCAAAGGACATGGAGGAGGTGGAGTGCTCACTGCGAGCTCGCTTGTCTGCCGCCTCGCGCTCGAGCGGCTCACCACTGCGCTTTTTGGATGTCTTGACTGAGCTGCTTGAGCTGTGGGCTGACTTGACGCGCGACCAAGAGTCAAATGAGATCTCTATTATGGTATTAGTATGCGGGTAAATAGACCCGTGCACAGGATGACTCACCCTTCTTGAGCTTCCGAGTCGTAGGCGGCGGCGTCGTGGCCAACGATGGAGTTGGCACGACGCTCTTTCCCTTCCTACGGCTCGGGGTTGCGACTGCCTCGTCGACTTCGGTGGTGGCCTCCTCGTCGTCAGTCTCGATTCCCTGCGCGCGGTTGCGTGCTTTGATCTCGGCCTGGAATAGAAGTTTCGGCTTGATAGACGAACGAGTAAGTGGGCGGCGTGCCTCAACACCGATTTGGCGGCGCACTTGCTCGTCATCGGCGGAGAGTTCATCGTCTTGCTCTGCATCTGAGGCGCCGGAGGGTGCATCGTCGTGGAACTTGCGGAAGACCTTGCGACCTCGGAAGATGTACACCATGCCTTCGTCGCGGTCGGCAGCAGCCTCCATTTTAGCTGTCTTTCGGTCGACCAGCTTCCTTGACTTTTGAGGAGTAGCTTTTGCCTTTCCCTTGCCCTTGACGGTGATGAACGGGTTCTCTTCGGTCTGAGCGCCGGGAGTAGGTACACGTTCCTTGGAGTCGGTGAAGATAGGAATCTTCTCGGTGGTCTCGTCCATCTGCTCAGCAAAGCTCTCTAGGGTGTAGAGGTTCTTTGTCTTGCGGCCTTTGCGCGGCGTCGGCATGGCTTCTTCGATGGTGGATGGGCGATTGGTAGGGAACAAGACGCGGGCGGTGGAGCTGACGTCTTCAACGCGACGCTTGCGGGGTGTCTTGGCTGGAGTAGGAAGCATTCCCTGTCTAAGTCAGCATGTTTGTCCGTACGTGTCATAGCTGGAGGCGCTTTGGTACTCGACGCTGTCGTTTGACAAGCGCAGCGGGCCCGAAGCTAGCCTCCTCATGTAACGTACCGGAGCCATGTTTGCGAACAGAGTACGCCGAGAAGAAGTTGGTGCGGCGTTGTCGGAGTCAGAGTCGAGCGGATTGAGGTCCAAGGGCGCGCGACGGATCGAGCGTGGGGAGCGCGGTTGTTGTGAGGTTACAGGCGAGGATGGCGGCGACAGGGCGAAGGAAGCGTTTGCGCGAGCAGCAGACCGCTTAGACGACGAGGCCGTTGGTGTGATGTCGCGCCTGGTCCGTGGGGTGGACCGCTCCTGTTGGTGAGAGTGAATGTCGCGTTGGGCGGCCACTCTGCTCGATCGGCGCGGTGAAAATGGCTCGTAGGTGTCGCCGTGCAGGGGCGCCGGCGGGGTGTGGATGCGACGGGGCGGCGAGGGTGTGCGCTCCATGTTGTGGTGTGATGCGAGCGTTTGTTTAGGATGGGGCAGTTGCGGTGTTGTTGTAGCAATGTAGGTAGGAATGTGGATATCCAAAATCAAAACAATGGCACCAAGCTTCAATTTTGCAACGCCTCGACGTTTAAAGGGTCCAATTGATGATGCAATATCGATATGCGCGCAAGTGGAAAGTTCGGTAGGGCTTGTGATGGTGAGGGTGAAGGACAAAGCCGGGTGGGTACAATGGGCTATGTCTCCGATGGGGAAGGGAAGAAAGCGCGAGGTTGGGAAGGAAGGCGCAGATGGCGGGTGCTCCTTCCTTGGCGCAATGCACGCGCGGAACATCAACAAGACCCCTGCTAACCGCTGGCCCCGCCAAACCAAATACGTCAAACACGCCAACGCCTGCCAACTCGAAATGCTGCCCGTGTCACCAAATCAATTCGTCTAGACGCGTCCAACACCATACATAACAAATACACAACGCAATATGGACCCGCCAAACCTCGGGGCGCTTGATCTCTCCGACTCGGACGAGGATGCTTTGTTCGACACGCCGGCGGCGCGCAAGACCAAGCAGAAGACAAAAGATGCGGACAATGATGCGGGGGAGGGTGCAGCGGGCGGGAAGACACGCTCCAAGGAGTCGCATTATACCACAGAAGAGGCACGAGAAGCGGCATTGCGGAGAGAGTTGGAAAGCATACGAAACGTCAACAAGGTCATTGAGGGCGTAGTGGAAAGCTTGCAGAAAGCAAAGGACAACATGGCTGTAAGGGACAAGTTTAGAACTGCCGCAGTCTTCAGACTGACGATGAATAGACTGTATCACGCACTGTCCAGAACGCGTCCACTTTGCTGCAAACATGGACACGCATACTTTCCCAGACCGAACACAATCAGCGCTTGATCCTAAACCCTCAATGGCAGGGTGCTTCACAAGATTTGATAGACATTGAGGAGGAAGAAGTACATCGGCAGCAGGCCGCACAACGTCGGGCAGCAGAAGAGCAGGCTCGGAAAGAAGCTGCGGCGAGGAAGATCGAAGAAGATCGTAGGAAGGCAGAAGCGGCCCCGAGACCAGGCACACGAGGCAGAGTGAGGGGCGGCGCTAGACCACGAGGTGCTTCGACATCGTCTACAGGGAACTATGTTGGTGTGGGTGGCCAAGCAGGACGTGGTGTCAGTCGCAGCGATTCAACGCGAGGTCGTGCAGGCAGTGGCATTGGGCGAGGGCTGCCACGGGGTAGGGGAAGAGGTCTGGGCTGATGAATGTGCATGCTCCAGCATCTTCACCACACCTCGAGTCGACATCGAATAAATACGTGAAAAGCTCGACCAACAATGAACCTCGAAACGTAAACTTCGTAATTTCAAGGTCTCGAATGCAAATCAATGTGCACTATCGAAAATGCATCGTGCAATCCAAATCGGACTAGCTGAGCATGCCACTCACCCAAGACTGGGGTGCTTGGTAGCTTGTCGAGGCATGGGACTCTTCTCCAGAGCAACCGGCACTAGAATTTGTACCTGCAGCTCGATGCAGTGAGCGCGCCGGATTGGTGATGCGGGTGCATTTCTCGAAGCGGGAAAGCCTGAGAACCCCACTTGTCGTCAGTTGGACCCCGCCGTACAATTGCTTGAGATCTTGCGACCGTCGGGAGATTCAAATAGATTCTCCGTTTCCTGCTTTTCGACCTCTTTTCTATTTTTCCTTCTCTTCCATTCTTCTAAAATTGGACGTCTATATCACACAATGGAAGTTCCAACAGCAACGTCGCTACGCGACATCTACCCCGAGGACGCGCTCCCAGTCGAAACAAAGCGATGGGAGAGCCTACTCGCCAAGTTCAAGGACCTCTACGGCAAACAAGCAGACTTCGTCGCTAGGAGTCCTGGACGTGTCAACATCATTGGCGAGGTAAAATATCTGCAAGAATTCTATTCCCATTGACTGACGATCGTAGCACATTGACTACTCCTTATACGAGGTCTTGCCCATGGCTATCACCGCCGACTTCATCATGGCCGTTGCTGTACGACCGACCGAGGAAAAGCCGCGCATACGGATAGCAAACCTCAACTCCGAGAAGTTTCCCACCCGCGAGTTTGACATTCCCGAGGGAGAGATTCCAATCGACGCTTCCGAGCATGAGTGGACCAACTACTTCAAGTCCGGATTGAAGGGCGTATCACAACTACTACAGAAGAAGCGGGGCAAGTTCACATCCGTGGGCATGGACATTGTTTGCGACGGCACAGTACCAAGTGGTGGCGGTCTCTCCAGTTCGGCGTCCGTCGTTTGCACAAGTTCTCTTGCTGTACTAGCTGCGAATGGCGAGGAGAAGATCGACAAGACCGAGCTATGCGAACTTGCGATTGTTTCTGAGCGCGCAGTCGGTGTCAATTCTGGAGGGTGAGTTTGACCGAGTAGTTGAAGGTATTATGGCTAACAAACCCATAGTATGGACCAGGCAGCTTCCGTCTTCTCCCTTCGCGGTTCCGCCCTCTACGTGTCTTTCAAGCCCAGCCTCAACTACACAAACATCGAGTTTCCGAAAACAGACCCTGAACTCGTCTTCGTTACCGCCCAGAGTTTCGTCGCCGCAGACAAGCACGTCACAGCCCCTGTATGCTACAACCTACGTGTAGTGGAATGTACACTAGCAGCGGTCTTCCTAGCCAAAGCATTCGGCCTGAAGAAAGATCTCCCAACAGACTCATCCCCTCTCGGCGTCAGCCTGCGCGGCTTTCACGACACCTATTTCGAAGACAAAGAAGGCGTCTCAGACAACACCAAGATCTCTGTCTCGGAGTTCGAAACGCAACTCACAAAGCTTATCCAACACACCGAGGACTACCTTCCCCAAGAAGACGGCTACTCGCGCCAGCAAATCTGCGGCCTCCTAGGCATCTCCGAAGACGAACTCAACCAACGCTACATGTCCAAGTTCCCTGTCCGCGCCGAGAAATTCATGCTCCGCCAACGCGCCCTGCACGTCTTCACCGAAGCCCTCCGCGTGATCAAGTTCCGATCGCTACTCGCTTCACCGCCGTCAAATGACCGCGCGTACCTGCAATCACTAGGCGATCTGATGAACACAACGCAAGACTCGTGTCGCGAAATTTACGACTGCAGTTGTCCCGAGCTGGACGAGTTGTGCGACTTGGCGCGTGCAGCGGGAAGTTGTGGTAGTAGACTTACTGGAGCAGGCTGGGGTGGATGTAGTGTGCATCTTGTGCCTAAGGACAAGGTTGAGGCAGTTAAGAAGGCGTGGGTGGACAAGTACTATAAGAAGAAGTTTCCAGATATTACCGAGGAGAAGCTCAAGCAGGCGGTTGTTGTTAGTGAGCCCGGAAGTGGATCTATGCTTTTCAAGGTTACGGGGAATAAGCTTGCTTAGATGGGGTAGACATTAAGTGAGGCAGTTGGAATCTTCGGGTAAATAATACCCTTGTGTGGTTCAGACGTGGTAACGTCAGACCAGGTTGGCCGTTTGGACATCTGTGGTCACGGCTTAGAATACGATACAGAGACACCAGGTTTGTCTCGTTTACCTTCTCACTGAGAGTCAGAATATGGAATGTTTCGCACCACAGTCTTCATGTTCTTCAATATGCAGTACATGTCACATCAACTCCTGCTTTGGCTTCACAGTATCGCAGGCCATGCAGAAAATCATGCGGACTGTACTGCATCAATACCGTAGTAGCTTCTATGAGGCGCCTTGCTATATCCTCACGTCGATCATCTCTTCCAAGGCGGCGGTATCACAGCTCCTGCACCCAACAACGATATACAATCTACTACATTCCGATCAGGACGTTGCAACTCCTGTCTTCACACCTACACGCATATCACAATATCGACAAGTAACCCCCATCCAGCGACCCACCACCAACATGCCTAGACGCAACCCCAACCGTCGTAGAAGACCATCGCGAAAGACGCATTCTCAGGAACCAAGTTTCGATCGAGCAGGTCATTATCAGCAACATTATAATACCATGTACACGAATGGAGATGTACTTCCCGCAGCACGTTTCAGCGAGGATAGCATACGAAGACAACTCGGGTATACGACTCCACAGCCACAACAGATAAGTGGCGATATAACACCAAGATGGCGGACAGGATATTGGTATACATATACGCATCCTGTTACACGCGAAGATGTAGTTGTTTGGATGAGTGGTGGTGATGGGGGGTTCACACGTGGGTATGGGTATGAATATGCTGGAGAGGGAGAGCATTACCGTAACGAAGACTATGCGATAGGTGCGGGGCTTTGTGATCAAGAGTCTACGACTTGCTATCAGGATACGCGAAAATCTGCCGAGCTACCGCTGTTCGGATATAGAGAAGGATATCACGATCCGATTCTGAAAGATCAGACTGAGGATTGGTGGAGATTGTTTGGTCATGAAGTACCGAAGCAGTTCATCCTTGGTGCTGAGTCCACTCGAACGGCGGATGAGGAGTGGAATGTTGCGGCTTACTTTGCGCCTTATCGCACGCCAAAGCAGGAGTCGTGCCCTAGATCTGAGAGGGAGTATCGCGACGGGAAGGAAAATGCCTCAAGGAGGAGTGAAGAATCCGGAAATGAGCTCTCGACAGGCGAGGTTGGTGGTGGGATATCGCGGGCATGCAGGGGAAGGGATGATTGGGAATGTGACTTTTGTGGAGTAGAGTGCTTTTGTTGGACTGTTGAAGCCGAGATGACCGAAATTTGGTGATATCGTCGAAGCTGAAGGCTCATCTATAGAACGCGTGCCATTCTTGCCGAAAGCACATTTCTGATACAGAATTTCAGGTCGCTACTAATCTCTATCCAAAGTGGTCGGCGAGTGGTGTGAGTATGCTCCAGTGCCTCCGCGTGGGGAAAGCGTCGAGGCTCAGGTGACGGTGTTGTGTCAAGCAGGCGGAGTGCTTCGGAGAAGCACAAGGCCGATACCTCGCGTACGGTCTTGTACGGAGTGGCTGATTCCACGTGGTTGCTGGGAGACCACATGCTCCAGTCCTGGGCTGTACGACTCTCGGTTATTTGGGGTGTGGGATGATGTTGCAGCGCGTATGGACGGTGTATGAGTCAAGTTCGTGGCTCTTCGCATCACAAAGCTCCTTATATCATCATATCATATGGTGAGGTAACTTGTTCTGGATACGAAATGGTGTTAGATGATTGATGTAATTAGAAAAGACTTGAGTATTCTCATCCGTGAAAGCATTTCCTGATGTGTTGCCTTCGATACTGGCACGGAGGAATATTCCAAAAGAGAAATGGTATCAGCCTTGTGGCTATGACGTGGGTTCGGTATACTTCATAGTACCCGATTGATAACCCGGCAAAGCTGCAATGATATCCTGAATATTCGCAAGCTAGAAGGGGTGTTGTTATTCGATTGCCTGACCGTCGCTCTTTCCCATGCGGAAGGCTTGTCGCAGAAGGATAATAGAAGATCTGTTATAGCAAAGATCTGGTGTCATGCAACGCAAGGAGAGTCGACACACCTTGCTTTTGTTTGTGGAGGGTGAGATCAATTTGCTCAAGCGCCAGTGGCGCAGGAGCTTGTAGGGAAAGACAACACCAGAATGATACCGGAAACGTACAATCTACACTCGATCCGAATAAGCCGGAAGAAGCGATAGGGTGGCGTGTTAAAGGTCTGCACCGTAGTCAACGTGAAGCCATGTCCAATGAGGCTGATTAGCTCTTGTGTGGCCTCGCCCAGCCCGAGTGGACATAGTAAGCCATTTCTGAGTATTGTTCTGTACGGTCGTGAAAGCTTAAAGTTGAAGCTACCAACGGCTTGCATGAGGCTTCCCCTGTGAATAAAGTTCAGACAGCTGCGCATCAAATCTCAAATGAGCAAAGTGTATTCCTATCTCATTCCAAGGTTGGGTCAGCTGGGTCAGGCATCATTCAGATTGGGCAGTCGATGCGCTTAGGTCTACTTGTGCTACTCGAGCAGGATACCGATATGGTTTCAGTCATCTCGATGGATGTTGAAGCTGTCATGGTTCATTTTGCGCGTCGGTGACCAGAGTAAGCCGAGGCTTGTAGCTGAGAAGTGCACGTTTTGCGACGGCTGCAAGGGGGACCAGGGAGCCACGCGGGAGAAAAGGAAACACCAGCGTCACAACCGATACGCTTATGGCGTGGTGCTCATGCATGCGACTCGAAATTGAGTGTCGGCTTGCAATGCAGTCGAGATGGAGCAATTTGATATAGGATATGGACCTCCGTGTTGGGTTGCCCTGGTAGCGTCGCGAGCTAAGCGTGCCTTCTGCGGCGTCACCAATAGATCGCTTCGCCCAGCTCCAGTACACCCACATACCTATCGTACGATGTAGGCTTTTCGCGATTGCTGGTGCAGATCAGACAACATCTCATTACCGCATGCCTCATGCGCGACACATATAGCTCTACCAAAACACCCTACCCTTACCGGCCGTTCCTGCACATCCCGAATTGCGACGGCTGCCATGTGTGCTTCGTTATTGCGCGTGCCACAAACCAAATGCCTGCGTAACATGATCTTGGAGACCAGGAGCCGTGGTACTATAGGTAGATACGACAAATACGGAACATATGCTACACAACTCATGTCACTAACCATCAATTGGTCAATCAACATAACTTGAAATTTGACTAATTTGAGAAAACGTTAAGATGGCGAATACCAGTGTTTTCAGGTTGGGCGCAGGATTTCTGCTATGCATACCTACCGAGACGCTGTAGTCGGCATCATTGTGTTTCGCCCGTATTAGCTTTCAGTATGGTTCGATTGGATGCCGTGGAAGACATCGTTGACGGAAAAGACACGCATTGTTACCTCAAGATTCGACAACACTGGAGGACAAGGCATGAGGCGAGAAGTCATACGATTTGCTCAAAGAGTCTGGAACACTTTTGACTTACAGCCTCTAGCTTGCACAAACCTCGCCATCTACAGCGGAAGAATTCTTTTCGGCCCCTCTTAAGGTCAGCCCCATTGTTGGTTCCGTACCGATCATCGACCTCGCGTATCCATTGGATCCACTAGAATCTGTCTGGAGATGTTCGCTCGACCATTGTGGGGGTCAGTTCGCTCTGCAAGGGGAATTTGAATCATACCACAACTGGGTGGTATTTTCACCATGAACATGACTGATCCGGGCTTATACGCCTCAGCACACAATGGGTCCCACGCGGTACTTTGCACTCCACATTGCCTACGAATGGATCGACTGGAAACCGTTACTAGCTATCGCTTGTCTATATACGTCCCAAGTATGAACACGATAACGTGCCACTAGCATGCTCCACTGCCGAAACTGGTAAGCGTATCGTGGTCACAGAAAGGCTTAGGCCGTCCGAGATATCTGCTCGTTGCAGAGACAGCGATAGGCATTGCGATCACAAGCTTCCTGCCACTGAAAGCTTGATGCTACTCCAGATCGAGGTTTCATTAGGTGAATCGCCTCCAAAATACCAGAGGGTCGTAAGATACGAGCTATATTACGTCATGATGAGCGAGTCCCATGAGCCATATGAGGCACTTCGCTCTCCCGGATTGATACTTATACTCACACCGCTTGATAATGGACGTACAACATCTCTTTACACCGATCTGTGCATAAACACAACTACAAGTCTGCTCGCCCTACTGGATGCTGTACTTTTGAGCTTGCCATACATGGTCGACATTGTCCTTTTCAAAACCCACCCCAATGAGCATATGAACAACGGCGTGTCATATAACAGCACCTACACGCTAGACGCTGGACAAGCTACACACATCAGACCATCTAAATTTCATTGAGGAACGCTCGACAATGGGGCAGTCTCGAGAAGTTACAACATTCCTCAGCTTACCCGCTGGATTGCGAGGGCGAATTTATGCCGAGGTTCTGATATCACTCAAGCAAGGCCCAGAGATACTCCGCAGTTGCCGCCAGGTTGAAAAAGAAGCTCGGAAGTTCTTATACCAAAGACCCGTCAATTTTCCGACTCAACTTTCGATGTACGAATGGTTAGATGCAACACCTGACAACCTCCTCGCACAGGTCATCGATATCTCAGTGGCAGTCCAAGATATCGATCTTCGATCTATACTACATCCTCATGCGTCGACGACACTATCACCTGGCCTCCCTCGACTGCTTACGTCGGATCTGTACGAGGCGGAAGTCAGTCGGTTCACGTTTGCATTAAAGAGGTTGCCGCACGTTAAGACAATTGCTATCCAAGCATCCTCGAACTCTCCATCTCGCCTTTATGACGAGTTCGTGTCTAAGATCTTGATAGAGTTGAGGTCGAAATTGCCGGATGCCAAAGTAGTACCCGTCGTAAATCTGAATTCGCGTAATACAGTCGAGTATTGAATAAGCTGCGAACTGGCTATTCAGCATCGACGGAGGCTCTACAGGGTTCGGGCTGATCCCACCAATAGGAAAATTGGTCTTTTCATCGGTTCGGTTCATCGCGAGGCTGATGAAAATAGCGGACGCCTACCGAACCTTGATGCAGAGGCAGTGTGATCTTCGCAGAGATCTGATGCAGGAGCGTATCGATACCCAAGCTGTCAGGCATCGCATGAAAGCATCCTATGTCACTAATGCTAGTCGAAGGTTGCGGACTGATCGAGTTGGATACACAGGAACATCTTGGTTGAAGTATGAGAATTGTATGTCATTGCGTGTGTCTATCGAACTCGAATTGATGCTCATTCGGCAATTTCCGCTAGTAGCTGGCTTGCGAGAGATCAATCCTAATTGTTTCGAGGTTTACCAAGGTCGGAACTAGGATGCACTGAACGAAGATGTTGCAAACGAGTATGTGAGAGGTGAGATGCCCAAGTCTTTTGATGAAGCTAAGACTGTTGGCACCAAGGTTATGCCTCATCAGCTTCTCTGCGGGTTCGGGTTCGGGATCGTATAGGAGCGGAACCTTAAAGAAACATGCTGGCACTTCTAAAGTCGTTTGAAATGTGACCTCGCGATACAACCTATCACATCCAAGCTACCTTCTGCGCGCAGTCAACCACTGCACGTCATTGTTGATCGCGATATTTCATCGTTTTTTGAGCTCATATCAACGTATAACGGGATGTGACAGTGTACTAGAATTGCATGATGAGATCATCGCAAAGATGATGAGGCGTTCTAGCATCACTCTTGGGGAGGTGTAGATGCTGGCCTGTTGTAACTTCATGCACTCGTTGACAGCGACTGGCAGTGCTGACTAGTGCGTATTTGTCAGCGCCGCTGGACTGGGATTGGCCGTTCTGCTAGTAACGAAAGATCAGACCGATCGAGCATATGTCAGCAAAGCATTCCTTTGATCAGCCAACTCACAATGTCAAGTGCTGGTGTCGAAAAGCGTGGCTCTGCCTCTACTGTACGGGTAAGCAAGTTTTGATGTTTTCTCCCGGTCTAGTTCATCCGCGGCTCCATACATCCGGCAAGGGCGCTCCCGACGCGACTCAGCCTCAACATCCGCGGAGAGCTATCTAGCATCGAATGTCGCTTCTAGAGCATTTTTTTACGCGCCGATTTCCAAACTGACGCGTCTTTCAGGCTTGCGATCTGTGCCGCAAGCGAAAACGAAGATGTGTATGGAATTCTGGCCCCCAAGGCTGCTCGCCATGCACCAACATGAAGGAGACGTGTACGACCACGTACACGCGCAAGCAGAGGTCGAAACCACAGAGAGGGTATGATCTGAGTGCGTGCTCTAGTTTTTCATTGTAGGCTAACGATGGTTTAGTAATCGCATAGTCGAGTATGAGAGTCGAATCAAGAGATTAGAGTCAATTCTACATGAGCGGAACGTCACACAACCTGAAATACGTCAACAACCGATCATGCAAGTCACAGACGCTTCCGTTCCGCTCTCGAAGTGGGTTGAATCATTGCGCCATGAGGTAGAAACTGGGCCTCAACCTCAGCTTCCGGATCTCAATCCCTTTGATCTAGAGGGTCTTTTGCAGGGCAGCGACGGAGTATTTGCAAATGAACTTGGTGCTCTGTCTATGGGCGACACTGGTCAAGGTTCTTCAGCATTAGACGCTCCACTCCCGATTTCCTTAGATGGCATCCAACCATCAGTTGATCTCCAGGAGGATGCTGCTTTCTTGCAGGGCGGGTATTTCGGCCCGAGATCGACCGAGGGGCTCAGTCCGCTCCCTCAGCCAACATCAACAAGTCCTGATAGTGATTGGTATCTCCCACCTCCAGAGCTTGGAACATCGCTGCTTGCAGAGTTCCTGACAGACTTGAATACTGCTTATCCACTCTATCAGCCACATGTTATTGCCGACCATCTCCGGACGTGTTATGCAGGGCTGTCCGATGGCGCGGCAGTTGCTTGGACGAGCGCGTACATTGTCTTCGGTATGGCACATCATCTTCGCGGGATGAGTGTGACCGGGAACAGCTACGATATGGACATGGCTCAGTATTATCTCGCCCGCGCATATTCCACACTGAACACTCTTCTTGCGGCGCCACCGTCCCTAGGACAAGTACAATGTCTTGTCGGGTTAGCACTGCTCATGGTGGCCAGTCCTTGCAGCTATAAACAATCAGCGGGACACTTCGTCTCCACCGCACTACGTGTTATTAGAAGTCTCGTATACCAAGAGGAAAAGGACTGTCTCACGATAGAACAGCTAGCCAACAGCGCACAACAACGTCGCGTTTTCTGGATCTGCTTTATCAACGACATCACTTTGGCCATTCTGAACAACGCACAACCTACACATAAGCTCCAGGATGTTGCCAATTGCTCTGACTTTGTAGCAGACGAACTCGGTGCACTTACTGCAGCCGAGGGTACGTGGCGAGTGCTCATATTTTGGTTGTTCACCAGGATAGCTTTACTGCAAGTCGAGGCTATCGATCAGGTGTTCTCCCGCACGACAAGCAACAACACTCCTCTTGACTTGAGCGCTGCTACTTCCATTGTCTTCGCACGGCTACAGGCGTTTCGCGAGCAACATCACATCTTTCACCTTTCCGCTGGTCAGATTCAACAGTTATTGTACCGGGCAGATATTTGTCACTGTATTACGCTTGAGGCTTACTACTTCGCTACTATATATCGACTGCATGCGTTCATGGCCATGGATATGAGCTCGAAGATCAACCCTTTCGAGATGGATGGCTTGAGTAGGATGTCGAAGATGAAGCAACATAAATCATATTCGGAGGCGCGAAGACTCTTGAGTCTGTTGCCGGTCGCTCCGCGAGGTAATGTCGCCTTGTACTGGTAAGTGATATGTCACGAGAGCTTCTAAGCTCAGCCGTGTAGTCAGCTACGACAAACAGTCGCTAACCACTTTGTAGGGTGATACATTCCATTCTCATCGCAGCGCTCGTTACCATCCTTGCACACCATATTCAGAACCCAATGGCAGACGTCCCTTCGCCTACTGAATTGCGTATCTATCAGCAACTAGTTGCCGACCTCGATACCATGGTCGGTGCAGGCGATAATCCGGATTTGGCAGACAAAGCGACGTTATGCAAGCGCTTATTATCAGCTTACGAAGCACGATTCCGTGCTCAGAGGATAGGGGACCCTCTACGCAGCATCGCAGTGACGAGCTAAAAAAAACGGCGGCGTTGTTCGTTCGCAAACTCGCGCCAAAGAAATCAATTGTCCTCTATCACTTCTATCATGTGAACCCGGACAGTGAATTGCTATCGCAGATACAAGAGATCGAAATCAACAAATCTCGTCAATCAGAGAGACCTCCTGTATCTCTAACATCATCCGCAATTCGATACCCTACGAGTCCTCATCATATGGCGCATCAGTTCCAACGAAGATGTTTCGATTTCTATGATCTGTACAAAGCGCGCGGCCACTACATGTTGTGTCTATCCCACTCCCTTTACAACGAAAACTTGTATCAATTCAGCCTTTTGTCATTGTTTGAGGCATATTTCTGGGCGATTGGGCATGACAGGAGCAAGAAGATACCCATCTAGATACTAAGCATGCAAAGCGCGGATTGCCTTGGCGTCATTTACCCAGCTATTCTACCGCCGGCACAGTTATCATACGTGGCTGAGCAAGCTACAAATCATCTCGTTCGTCCTTGACGTTATGGTATGTCCCTCTCAGCTCTCGACGCAGTGTGTCAGCTTGGTGTCATTAAGCACAAAAGTGGAGCTGCTTAGGTGACGCTAACCCAGCAAGCGCCAACCTCGGCTCCCGCTTTCACTCAGCTGCACCTGTTTGTCCTTAGACACTAACAGTTCCTTGTCACTCACAATCTCATCGCATGTCCAACACCTTGATTGACCATCGCACGTAACGATTTTTGATGCGCGACGCCGGTTCCTCGCCTTATAAAGTCGCACGCGATGCGGAGACAGCTTCAGCAGCCACTATCCTGCAGTCGGGCCACACAACCTATATCAGGCAGCAACCCCATGGCTAGTAGTATCACAACCTGCCCAGACCGGTCAAGATGTTTTGCGCTGGGTTGATTAGATGGCGTTCGTCAGCCAATCAAAGGCGGAGGGTGTGTGAAGCACGGCTAGGATTTGGGGGCCGATACGACAGCCTTGAGAACGCCTTTGTGACGATAAAAGTAGCGTGTGCCCAACGTGCCTTTTGCCATGAATCAGCATATGGTTTAGCAACTACCGATTCCAGCAGAACTGCAAGCTTTTCTGCGCGAAAGGCTTCCGAGTACAAATTTCTTAGCCTCCGGCGTACTAGAGCTTCGCCGCCTCAGGGAGCCCTCGAAGCTCCATTGTGCTTACTGCAACATGGGATTTAGGCGTAAAAATGACGAGCCGGACCCACTAGATCCGGTCTTCGACGAGGACCAAGATCTCAGCGAAGTTTGGCCGCAAGTCGTGCGAGAGTATGAGAACACCACCAAAACGAAGCTAGACACGAGGATGACCTTCGAGAGCTTCCAGCTGCAGGTCGACGCAAGCATAAAAGAGTCTAATACTAAAAGTCATCAACATGCTCGAAAGGTTTTCAACAATGTCGGAGCCTTTATCGAAAAGTTTGGGAGCATCGTCGCACAAGGAGCAGGTATGGTCTTTGGGCCCACAGCTCAATGCTGGAACGCGATAAGCTTCGTTATTCAAGCAGTACGGGGCTTCAATGACATGATGGACGGGTTCGTCACTCTAATGGAACGCTCATCAGCCTTTCTGCGGCGCCTAGTGCACTTTATGCAGCAAAAAATGGGCGCAGATGGCACCCATCTACCGCGCAATCTTCGCAAACCGGCGTACGAAATTCTTGCCCTATTCCTGCGTGTACTTCAGTCTTCATACAAGCTAGCGACCAGCAAAAGAGAGCATTTCAAGGCTATGGCGAAGATCATTCTGTTTAGCTCCGACGAGCAGGTTGCGGATTCACTCAAGCTCATGGAAAGTCATGTCAAAGACTTCACCATGGCTGAGATTGATGAGATCTTGTTAGACGTCAAAGGGCTAGCAAGACACCTTGACAAATCGGATGAGGAGAGGAAACGCTATGAAAAGGATATCCTTGAATACATCCAAGAAACATGCAGAGTTGGCGATCAGGTTCTGAGTATCACTCAACAGATGAAGAGCACTTTGGATGGTAGAGTTAGCAAGGAACAACATGAAAAGAACCTGGACAAGATAGCAAAGACTCTGGGACTCAAGAAACCTTCCGGGGACTGGGAGACTTGGAGCAAGCGACATAGCGAGCTCTGCAAGACTCATGTACCTGGAACAGGAGAATGGCTTAGTCAAGACGAACCGGCGTTCACCCAGTGGGCTGATCTTGATCAGCATGACAAGAAAGTCCTCTTCCTGAAGGCTGATTCTGGTTTCGGCAAAACACATCTGTTTAATTATGTCGTTTCGTATCTCGAAAAGAAATGTCGAACCCCGCGTGGACCAAATCAAACTTTCCTGGCCTATTACTATTATGGAGAGGATAAGGATGATTCGCTCGAGCGATGTATAGGATCCATCGTCTACCAACTCGCAGTCGCAGATGTTGCATATGCTCAAGCCGTAGTTGAAGAGTGTGGGCGACCCGCAAGTATTGCGCGAGCTGAAGATCGGTGGAAAAACCTGGTAACAGGTTTGCGACATGCCATGAAAGGCACATACTTCATATGTATGGACGGTTTCGATGGCCGTGGCCAGTTGGACACGGCAGAAACAATGATGTCAACTATTTCACATCACACTACGTCTCCAGCGGAGCCCAACGGAATTATCCTGCGTTTCTTCATATCAGGGAACGATGAGGCGTTCTCTGAAGTATCACAAGCAGTCGAAAGTATTCCTACCATTGTTCTCGGACCCCGTGGAGACATTGTCCGTTCTCCAGAGCGAGCTAGTGGCAATTCAGATATTGCATCGCTGCCAGAACAACTGCCTAACGCAAGTGATCTAGAAGCTGTCACGAGGGCCCGAATCAAGGATGTGTGTAAGACCAAGCCCGCTCTAAAAGCGATCCTCACCGAAGACAATATCAAGCTTCTGCTAGAAGGCATCCGTGGAAACTACAAAAATCTCGAGGCTAAGATTACGGAGATCAACGCTTGCGACACCAAAGGAAAGGTTCAGGACGTCATTAACAACACAAGCGCCGACATGGATACCGTTCAAAGGAACAGACTCAAGACGCTGGATGCTTTGCTGAATTCACGTCAGGCTCACGTGCTCAATGATCTCCTTGTTTGGGTTGCTGGCCTGAGTTACCAACCACCGACTAAGCTACTCGAAAGCGTTCTCTTCTACAACTTTGGCGAGGAATTTCTCCTTGCTGATCAAATTGCTACCACTTATTCGCCTGTACTCGTGATTGACAAGGAGGGCAGAGTAGGGTTGAAAGACGGCCTCAAAGACATCCTGTCTGTGAGCGACTCCTCAGGATCCGAATCAGCGATCTCTCAGTTACATGCCGAAGCAATCAGCGGAGCTGAAGTCAACCTCTGTCGCCGGTTCATAAAAAATGTGTGCGACCCGACAGATTACGCCAGATTCAGATTTGACGACTTCTTCCAGGCTATGGAACAGAAAGTCCATATTCATCTTGACAGTGGAAACGACGTGAACGTTACAATTCTTGGGAAATGTGTTGATGCTCTTTTCGACAGTCGGAAAGAAGATAAGCTTGAAGAACTGCGCGACTATGCTTCGAAGTGGTTCTACTCGCATCTCAAAGATCTGGTAGAGGCGCTCGACGACTTTGAGCCGAGCAGGAAATTTCTCATTGACATCGGAGTCAAGCTGGCCGATTTAATTTACGACCCAAAGATGATCGACTCGTGGTTTTCCGAGAAAAGTCTGTCTTGGCTGAAGTACGACTTTTTGTATACTGAGGACTTCATCGATCCTTTACTGAAGTTATTGAAGAATTCGCAAGTGGCCAAAGGCTACGCAAGAGATGCAGACAAGAGTACATGGGTTAAGGCTGTCATGTCTGACACCGCAAAGAAATACTCTATCTTCAAACGCGTCGCAGCACGCTTGGCAAGCTATTGGTTCAGCTCGACTGGAATAACAGATAGAAACTATCTCTGGATTTCTTACGGCATGGTTGCCAAGGTAAGCGCTTCGCTATGGGATCAAAAAGGATTGGCTGACGGTAGTGATAAGGTATCTAATCCAGATAAGCCCTTCGAAGAATGGAATCCGCCTTCCCTTGTAGAGACTGATAAGTTCATCTGCTGGGCAAAGGAACATACAGATACCGACATCGACAGCTTCACCTGGGATTCTCGTGTGGGTGCGACGTACATTGTGTTTGAGCATTTCAAGGAAGCCATTGTTGCGTTGGAGAAAGCCGAGCAACACTCTCAGACAAGCTGGGGGCTGTTGTTCAATCTAGCAAAAGCCCACGAGAGCGAGAAGAACTATCGCACGGCAATAAAGTACATGCAAGACTTCAAGTCGCTCAACAAGTCATCTCCTGAAACAGACGATGATTACAAGACTGCTGGCTGGGAATTGCTTTTGCTGGAAGCAAATTGTCACCGACAGTGCCGTGAATACGACTCAGCCATCAAGTGTTTTCAGGGTCTTCTAGACCAGGATATTGACGACTCTTCCGAATTCAGATGGATTCATCTCAACGCTCTGGAAGGACTCTTCACGACCTGGACTGAAACAAAAAGCTACCAGTCTATCACAGAATTTGTTCGCCAATGGAAAGATTCGTCAGCCCACAGTCATGGTCCCACTTATTGGCTGCGAAGGGCAGCATATTATGATGATATCCATACCAGCATTATCGTCGCCGCGAAGATTGCCAAAGTCGTGAAAGAGGTCATCTCTTTGTACCAGGAAGCCATTGATTACAAGCTGCTTGACCTTTCCAAGGCGGATGATCAGGGGATAGATTCGTCTACCGAAGTAACGGAGCAGCTGCAATACTTTCAAGCCGTTCTTAGGTTTCACGGAAGTGGATCTCAGCATGATCAGCATCTGAGTATACAGTACTGGGAAGAGATTATCCGACGATCTGACGAAGACCCAGCGTTGTATATGACAGCATGGACAGCTGGTCGCAAGCTAGCTCCGACTCTTCTCGACAAGGCAGTTGCTGAACTTGTGACGGCCCCGTCAAGCTCTTCGGAGAACTACATTAGCAAATTGGAGAAGCTCGCAAGCTTGAACACTTCGGTAATCTGCAATCTTCGTCAAGGTCATTTCGACCCTCGCCTCTGTTTGACAAGACTATACTGCCTGAAGGGGGACCATTCCTCAGCTGCTGTGCAAGCACAGGCTCGACTTTGCAGTGTTTTCGACAAGTGGCCTGAAGCTACAGATGACGATTCATTTCAGCTTCGTTTTGCGAACCTCGCCCAAACATTGACTGTTCTCGATAAAGATGAAGATGCTATTGCATCGTGGCAAGCGATCAGGCCGCATCAACCGTCAAATACCTCATCTGTGGTTCCAGACATTGTAGGTACTGCAGAGATCTCACAGCCGAGCTCTGAAAAATCTTCTACAAACGGTGTATCTGCAACTGTCGACAATAAGTCTGAAGACGTTGCAGAACCATCTGCGTCGGTTACAACCACGGCCAAGGCGTACATATCGGGTTATACATGCGATGGGAGCTGCGGAATCGAATGGAAGGATATTTTGGCCGACTGTTACGTGTGCAGGCACTGTCTCTGCGTACAACTTTGCCCAGGATGTTATGAAAAGCTTCTGACCGATGACCTGCACCCTCTGGTCTGCAACAAGGACCACAAGATGCTGTTTCTACCGCCATTCGACTGGGATGCATGGCGCAGTATGCCAGCAGAAATGATGACTGTTGGCCAGAAGTCAGTACCACGCGCAGAATGGGTGGACAAGATTTGCAAAGAGTTCAATGTGCAGCAGAACGAAATCGATCTGATCAAGATGGAGAAAGCCAGAGAATTGAAGGCTGCCAGTGTCATTGCGGTGCAATGGCGCAACAGATTACAGAGAATCAGGGCTAGAAAACAGGCGACAGCACCCAAACTTCGTCGAGTGAAGACAGTCGGATAGAATGCTCATGAGATTTAGTGAATCTCCATCTTATCGTCTCTGAGAGCGGTGTAGCATGGGCCAGTTTTCTTCCTGTGACAGGATAAGATATGATCAACAAAAACAAAGCGGTTTCTGGACTCACGCAAACGATGGCTGCGCACTGCTGATCAGTAAAAGTTCGCATTTTGGTATTCCAGTCTCTCAGCTTCTCCATATCTCCCATTATATGCACCGCTTCTGATTGACCATTTGACATCTGATTTAGTGAAGCATTGTAATAGACCGCAAGAAATATCGGTTGCGATGATGAGGTCATTAGGCAGTTCAGGTTGTCAGCCATTGGCCTGTAAGGGTCTGGACGCCTTGCGCAAGCTCTACCCATGCCTGGTATCTTACCCTGCATGAGCTTACCCTCTTTCGCATCTATCTGAGACATGCAATAGTCTTGTTACACGAGTGGCAAGGTCATGTGCACTTTGCTACAGATAGGCCACCACGTCATCAGCATCATTCACGATCCTCCTCGCTTGAACACAACTGTCCATTGCAATGGGCCGCGGTGGATATAACGGTGGTAGTGCATCTGTCGACGCGCCAAAAAGCGGCAATCCTTACATCTTCGCCGCGGACCGAGAGCTAGACGCCAATCTTCTTCGTCGCTCACGTATTGTTGAGGCCGGAGACGGGTTACACAACGAGCACGGCGCCGTGCAAAGCGAGTTCGGATACATTCTTAGCGTGGAACCAACAGTAAATAGCAAGCAACCTGCGCGAGCCAGCTTTGTGAGAAGAATTCTATCGATTTTTAGAAAGACGGACAGGGCTAGTAGCGAAGTCAAGCCAAACATCAAGTGGGTGTCAGCGTCGCATCTTTACCATACAGCTCCTGACGGCTTGGGCTTGGATCTGGCGAACAAATATCATCTGGAAAATCCGGAAGCACCAACACCTTGGGGTGATCAATACTGGAGGTACGAGTACAACTAGTCGAGCAAGAGTGGGGCCGCAAGCAGGGCGCAAGAATGCAGCAAGAGAAGCATGCACCGAACTCGCCATGGCGACATCGACAGTTTCCACCTGATGCTTCTTCCGAATTACCTTGGGACGATCAGTTTCGGCAGTCGGTGCCCCCGCACGATCGGTGGAAGAGCCGAGTCGACTTCAATGCCTTCATCAACTCAATGGACGACGAGTCTTTTGGATATCTGTGTCTCGTACGCGAGTATGCGACTCGCGCTCTACAGGGTAAAGCGGCAGAATACAGTGGGCTATACAAGGCCATTGTGTCTCAAACGGCTCGGGAGGAAGACATGTCTCGTATGTCGGTCATCGAATTCGAGGCTGACGGACTACGCTCGAGGACTTTTCTGACATTTGATGACTTTTTGATCTATATGCATAAGTCTTTCGAAGAAGGAGAGACGTCTGCGAGGCGCTTGTTCGTATTGGAAGACATGCCTGTACGGTATATTTGTCTTCTGGGGTCAAGACTACGTATCCATCCTACGGTTTTTGCACGCCATTATAGCACCGAGGAAAGTAGCACCATATCAGACAACATCGTTGGCCTTCCTTCTGTCGTCCAAACTAGTACAGAGAACGGCCTAGACTATGAGAGCGATGACGAACAGCTTCATAAGCCATATAAGAGACGAAGTTTTACGCTTAGGTATCCCATCGTTATGCCACGAGTATCTGCAAAGCAAGATCCCGACCCCGTCAAATGTCCACCATGGCTAAAGCCTAACGACAGACTCAGAGATCAAAGCGCCAATCCACGGTTCATAGTGGAGAGAAGTCTGGAAACACCGACTAGCTATGATCCATGGGATACGAGAGGCGAAATCTCTGAATTAGAAGGTCAGGCCACGTACTGGTACCGTGAGCTTCCAGAATGGGGCTGGGAAGGTCAGTTTAATCTTGAGCTTCGTTCTTTGCTCGGTATGCTTATGGTTGATTATGTAGGTCTTCTACTGGTGGATCCATGCCTTAAAGACCCATCGCATCTAGCTGTTATCCAGGGCAGCCCATACACGAATATAAGTCGAATAATCCGGTACCCAGAGCTAGAGGATGATGAAAAAGCCGACATAACTCCTAACCCACTACAGTGGCATCCCAGTGCCGCCTTCACGAAGTATATCCTGCACGACGATGTCATGATTCATTTTTCCGTCGCCAACGCTGGCCCAGGAGGGAATCCACTCTCCGTGACTCCATTTATTCGTGGCTTCGTGATTAGCAAATGGACTGCGCAGCTGAACCACATCCGCAGAAGCTATGGTCATACGCGTGCAGCGCTCTTTTCCAAAGTACCATCGTGTCATCGCGTAGGTACAGGCATTTCGGTCAGACACACGGTGCTATGGGGAGCAGACTGGAAAGAATGGATGTTTGAAACAATGACGCGGTTTACGACGGACCTTTACCTATACCGTTTGGAGGTTGAGACCAACATGCGTGCACTCGGTATTGATGTCGACGATCTACAAAGTTATGGATTCGTCGGTAAACGCGAGGCACAAATGTGGCGGTTTCTGCGTTCTACTTGTCTTGATTTGCAGGATATGTTCCAACAATTGACCAACTCATATACACAGGTTATTGCGCTGAGGGAGGCGCAGGCGAGTAATGCGCAAGCAAGCTCGATTCGCTGGCTTACTGTACTGGGAACCCTCTTTGTTCCTATATCAATCGTTGCAGGAATCCTGTCAATGGGAGGCGAGTTCTTGCCGGGAGAAAAGAAGTTCTGGGTGTTCTTCGCTGTGGTGTGCCCTGTGTTGTTGGTCATTGGCGCCATTCTTGTTGGGACACTAGGGCGGCGCGCGGTGTCAAATTGGCTATGTGCTCACGGCTTCATGACTTGATGGGACAAGAGGTCGAAAGCGTCTCTAGCGTGTTGTCTCAGCAACATCGTACTAGGCGTCAGGCTTTGTTTAGCTCAAGTCTTGACTAGAAGGCGGTATACCAACCCCTTATGTACACAATCACACCCACCCAAGCCGCTTACCCAGAAAACTCGATCCACCAAGGAGTGCTGTAATACCAGTAAACACGATGAGCGTGCCATAGCCACTACCATACGCAAAGCCAGCTTCCTCACGCCACGGAAAGCCATCGATCAAGGCCTCACTGAGCGGACCAGACGCCACGTTGCCAACTCCTCGTCCTGCCGCCAGGCATGCAAAGACGATACTCGGATCGGCCGTGTCGCTCTTCTTGGTAACATCGCGCATGATTCCCGGCCAGGCACTCGTGAAGCTACCTGCGAAGAAGCCATAGATCAGGCAGAAGATGTAAAGTGGAGCTAGGGAGTTCGAGAAGCCCCAGATGACGAAGACGCTGATGGTGGTGCCGATAGTCGAGATTAGAATGCAGGTTGTGACGTGCCATTTGTCTACGATCGAGCCCATAGCAACGCAACCGAAGACAGAGGCGACGTTGAAAAGGATCACAGTCAAGGCGCTAAGGGTGTTACTTTCGGCGCCTATGCTGCGAGCAAATGTAGGGAGGTAGATAGACGGGAGAAAGAAGCCGAGAGCCTCGACAACGTTGCATGCTTGATGAACACCGAACGTTGACGTGCGGAGAAAGGCGAAGTCGATCTTGCGGGCGCGTTGCTTGGGCCCAAGTGGGATACGCGGCCTAACGAAGTAGAGTAGCGGGGCGGTGAGCATGAACAGACAGATAGCCCATACGCGTAAGGTAGTGCGAAAGCCGTATTTGTGCAGCATCCAGTCCATAACAAGAGGTAGTATCACCCCGGCCAGGCCGGTGCCCGCCCACATGATTCCGTATGCCAAACCCTTCCGCTTGTCGAACCACTCATCCATATACAGGATACAAGGCGAGTAAGTCAAACTGCCTCCGAGAGCATATATGACTCCTTGTGAGACTATGAGCTCGGTAGTATTGTTGCAGAGGGAGCTGAGGCCGAGGGCAAGACACATGACGAGCAGACCGCCTGCCGTAGCCCAACGCTGAAGGTGCGGCCATACTTTCAGCACGGAGAAGATGACGATCAGGTTGAGGTACATAATACCCTGTTACGAGTCAGTATAGCATGGGGTTTATGTTCGGATATGACATACCATAGCGCAGGAACCTACGACAGCAATGTTGTCGGAGCCAGCAAAAGGCTCGTGGGTCGAATAGTACTCCTGGAACACGCCATATGAGAATGGGAAGCCTTAACCACATTAGCACTATCATCTCTAGTACGCATGTAGAGTGGAACACGCGCTCAGCAGGAAAACCTACCCCAAACCAGTGCTTCTACGATGAATGCTGCAGCCAGAAATAACCATGCACCTTTTCCACCATCCACAGGTGGTAGCGAGACTTGCCCTTGCTCTGGAGCATGTTCTCCCCGATCTGCCAGCTCGAGATTGAAAGAGACTGAGGTACTCATCGTAATTGCTCAATGTTAGAGTATGCGACGTGAGAGAGATAGTCGCTTTTGTATCCTTGGAATATCGGCTCCAGCGCTAGAATGTAGAAATTACATATAGGGCGCGTTTGCTTGCTTTTGAGGCCCGCGCTAAGCTATCTCAGCCACATATTACGTGCCAAAGCAATTGAACGGCATGTCAGAGAGACGACGGAGACACAGTATGGCTTAGTTGGGCCTGAGTTCTGTCATGGGTGCGACGATGTGATGCACGACAAGAGAGGTCTCGTTAATTGCTCGTTCGAAGAAATCGAGAAGCTTATGGTGCGCTGTGCGTAGGCGATCCTTAACCACGTGCCGGTTGTTCAGCGACGCCGCTAACGCTCCATGACTGATTGAGCTGACTGAGACCGATAAGGTGTGCCTTCTACAAATCGTTGTTCGAACTGCCCAAGAGCCCCGCCACTTTGCTCGTGTAACAAGGGCCCCACTCGGCTTGAGGCTGCATGCCGGACTACTAGCCTATCCTTCTGCGATTTCGTTACATATCTGCCCTGCGTCTGCAAGGACAGTGTACCGAATATGCTGATGGATCTTGGAGCGCAACAGCCGGTGGTCCCGACGCAAAAGCGATTTCTCATACACGCGACGCCCATGATCATAGTTGTCTGACACCAGACAGATAATTAGTGGAGATGCGAGTATTTTCATTCTCCAATAAGTGTAACAGAACTTCAAGACCATGTGCCGAGTTTTCACGTCTATACGTGCTGTTTGTCAAAACATCTTCAAAGTCTTATCACTGGTTAACATCTTCCGTACTTTTCATGTATACACACCAAAGCTGAGCCAGCTACTCTTGAAAAGGCCGCGGACGCCGTCAAAGCCCTGCTAATATCAATGCAGCTATGGCACCTTCCACCGGATCTTGCTCCATCGCATTCTCGACTAGTCCTCGTGAGCGGTTCAGAAGCTTCGCTTGGGGACGCCACGCAGGGTACTAAAAGCTTAGCCAGTTAGACCATCGTGAAATCGATAGAAGGCTGCATAGGCCAGACGAGGCTGCTCGATACACAGCTGAACCTTGCGCTACGGCAGAATGCATTGCTACAACAAATTAACATGGCGACAGTGCTGGCTTTGCTTAGGCCGACACTAGATATCGGATGCCTGATCAGGTATATAGCAACTCAGATGCTTGCGTGATCTTCTCGTTTGAAGCGCTTTCAAGTCGTAGCTGTTCACTATGCATGTCCCTTACCTTAACATTCTCTTCGCCCTCGCACTTACAGCGGGTAGTATACCCACACCTCCCGCACCTCTCAAGTCTTGTTACCTACCAAAGCGCCTGATCGCACTTGAAGAGCATGTCACGTCGCCATCTTTGGAAGCTGAGGTGGTTGCCGCAGGCATAGTGCAGCGCTACCCTGGTGTCCTGGAAAAGCTTAAGGACGTCGGAGCCGGTCGGATCGCCGCTATGGATGCCGGCCACTTGTCTATGCAAGTCCTTGCCCAGCAGTCTGCCACGGGTTTGGACGACCCCGAAGGATGTCGCGCAGCAAATGATGCTATTCGTTCCGCAATCAGAGCCAACTCTAAGCGCTTTGCTGGCTTTGCCGTCCTGCCTATGTCCCTGCCGGAGGAGGCTGCGGTGGAGTTGAAGCGCAGCGTTACGACGCTTGGCTTCAAGGGTGCGATGATCTGGAATCATCTCAAAGATGGCACGTACTACGACGCTGCACGTTTCGATCCGGTGTTTGCAATGGCGCAGGAACTCGATGTGCCGCTGTACCTGCACCCTGCTGCCCCGACTGCCGATGTTGCGTCCAAGCTGTTCGCCGGAAACTATCCTGCTGCCGTGGCTGGACGGCTTGGGACGAACTCGTGGGGATGGCACGTCGATGTCGGGACGCATGTCTTACGGCTTTACAGCGCAGGCTTATTCGATCGATTTCCAAAGCTGAAATTGATCATCGGACATAACGGTGAAGGACTGCCGATGTTCATTGATCGAATCGACTCGACAGGTTTGCGTAACGATACGACGTTCGGTCGGGTGTGGAGTACAAACATCTGGAGCACGACGAGTGCTTTCTTCACTGTGAGGCAGTTTGAGCAATTGAGGCAGGTGAGCCCAGTTGAGAGGATTATGTATTCAGTAGATTACCCGTTCAGTACGAATACAGATGGATGGGCATTCGTCGAGAAGTTGGCGCAGGCGCAGGTCTTGACTGACGCTGAGATGGACATGTTCGCGTGGAAGAATGCTGAAACATTGTTGAAGCTGTGACGGATTGGTGCAATAGAATCAGCGATCCAATTGAGCGATGAAATGGCAATTATTGAAGACGAATATGTATTGAAGCTGATAGAAGGGGTCGATGATGCAATCTTGGACCCCATATTCAAATCGCGCTTATACGTAACAGGAGTAGCTTCTCAATTAGCGCGACGCGCCCCCCATCCCAACGCGTCTCCTCGAATGTCTTTCTCGAGCTCGCCAATAGTTCAGCTCCACTCGCCTGCCGTCCCCAGCATCGATGGTGGCATCAACCTAGCTCTTAAATATCCTCAGGTCCTGCAAGGCCTAGTGCTTGCCTACGAGTCGGCGCATCCGCCTTGAAGAACGGCTTCTCTGCCAGCGACGTTACCCTCGTTCCGTGCCTTGGTTCAATCCCTCCATAGTCCCAGCTCGCATTATGGATGGTGATTCTGTTGTCCCATAATGCAGAGGTTCCAGGAGTCCATCGAAATCGAACCTGGATATCGACGTTGTTCTCGTATACATCGAAGAGATAGTTGAGAATGGCATCACTCTCGGCCTTATCGAGCCCGACAATGCGGTCGGTGAATGCGCGATTGACCCAAAGAGCTTTCCATCCGGTTGCTGGATGCACACGGACGATTGGATGAACGCGTTCTATGTGCTTCGGGCCAGCGCTGGTATTCTCACGTTCAAGATACGGGTGCGCGCTGCGGTACACTGCTTCTCTGCCGTCGATGATCTTCCGGAACTCTGGAGAAAGCTTCTCATACGCGGCGTAGCCTGAAGCCCAAAGAGTGTCGCCTCCAATCTTTGGAATAGTATCGTTGTGGAGATGAGTCACGCTAAAATGAGTCAGGAATTAGGCGCTTCATCTGAAATAGTATCACTTACCCGGCGGGTTGGCGTTCGTGCACCAGATCAGTGTGCCACCTGGATGCTCCGCCTGTCTTCCTGAAGCTTGCTGGCACCTCGGTAGCCTGAAGAGCAGGCCAAAGAACGGTCACTCCTGGTACACCGGGTACGAAGGGAACTTGCGGCTTCATCTGCTGTCAGCATGGCAACTATATCACGAGCAGTACAACCTACGTGAACCTCGATTTCGCCATAGTACTCGCCAAGCTTCTTTTGTTCTTGGGGCGAGAGGTCTTGGTCACGGAAGAACACTACACTTCTTTCGGCGATCAAAAGACCAAGCTCATCCTTTTGTTGGTTTGTAAGGTCCTTCAGTTGAAGTCCAACAATCTCCGTTCCAATGTGTGAGGTCAAGTGGATAATCTCCTTTGCAGCGCCGAACAGCGCCTTCTTCTCTGGGTCAGCTCGAGAACCTGGGTCAATGTGCTCACGATCGTAGTCCCGGATCTTGTACACATCGTCAAGGTAGAGTGGTTTCGCTGGCCTGTATGGATAGCCGGCCGACAAATCGATACCAGCTTTCTCAAGCCTCTTCCTGGCAGGTTCTGGTAACCCTAAAGAGTCTTTCCGTGGTTGAACGGTATCCTTCTCCTGGATGTGCTCGTGAACAGGAATTGCGATTGGAGCCATGATGAAAGTCGTTTGTGATGCAGTTGTGCAAACATCACTACTCGCGATGCCATCATTCTTATATCTTGGACTCGTTCTACCCCACTTCCTGCTCGTTGTTCGCTCACTAATTCAAGTTACAAAAATGGTCGAGCGATATGGCGGCGTCCCGTGCTGGTTGCGACATGTGTTGCGGGGTTGATCACATCATAATCTTGCAGATGACGAATATCCAGTCAACGTTTCTCATGTTATCGCTCGGAGAAACTTCGCTTCACCTCAAGTGCAGCAAACTGTGGAGTTCGCATGTTACCCGCAGGTAAATGTATCGGTTCCGACTGTCTGGTGTTCTCGTAACGAGGGCTTCCCATGATGCCATTCGTATCCACCATCACGCGTTGTGTCTACTCACACCACAACGGAGATATGCTCAACGCTGACAAACTATGTAACGAGGATTCGCACGAAGAATGCTGACATGTAGATGCCTTTCGATGTCGGTTTCAACAAGGTGTGTCGAAGTGACCGTCGGTTAATGATTCCGGATCGATACAACACCCAGACCGCGAAGATTTTCTTGCTGTTGTCTCCGCAATATCCAGAGCATGTCTTTCCCCATCAGTCGCGTTGCTGTAATCGGCGCAGGTATCAGTGGTGTCGTTGCTGCAGCGCATCTCAAGAAGGAGGGCATTGAGGTCGTAGTCTTTGAGCGATCTAGTGCTGCAGGAGGCATATGGTACTTGGCCCGAAACTCTTGGATTTTCAGCTGGACTGACGAGAGTAAAGGCGTTACGATGAGCGGAAGCCCTTGGAGCCATCGTATTCGAGTGCGAAGCGTTCGAGAGCTGACAGTGTTCACGCAAGCGAAGCCCTGGAAGATGTCGAAAGCCTGCTACATGCGCCACCAGGGTACGTACCACAAGATTGTTTATCGAATTGTACGTTTGAATGACTTCCCACAGCCCGTGTTACGTGGGCCTCAAGAACAACGTGAGTACACGTTTGTTAGAAACCACCTTGAACCAGTTTTCACCCGGGACAGAGGATTATGTAACGCACAATGTCTTGTGCGACTACATACAGGCTACTGCTTTCTCAACAGGGGTACATGAGTTGACACAGTACGACACCGATGTGAGAAGCGTCACCAAGAACGGTAGATTATGGACTGTCGAGACTGCGACTTTGCAGACCGATGCGCAAGGTGTGTTAAGGCGACACGAATCTTCCCAGGTAAGCATCTTGTGATTGTAGTCTCATCTTCGCGATAATAACCTTGGGCTAGCCCTTTGATGCTGTAGTAGTTGCATCTGGTCATTACCACGCGCCGAGGATTCCTGATACGCCTGGACTCGCAGACTGGAAGCGACAATTTCCCAGCAGAGTACAGCATTCCAAACTTTATCGAAAGCCCGAAAATGCTCATGACAAGGTGCGTACAGATCTGATTAAGAAGAGTTTTGTTATCTCGGCCTGACTTTACTTCAGAACTATCTACTTGTCGGTGGGAGTGTGTCAGCAACGGATATCGCGCGCGAGCTCAGCCCGTATGCAAACAAGATCATACAAAGTCAAAGGAACGGAAAGTTCGACCTGCCTCCAAGCATGCTCCCAGACAACGCGTACCGCGTGGATGAGATAGCATCGTACGACGAACCACGAGTGAACACCTCAGCCTCATTGAACCAAACTGAGCCGATTCCAGCTACCGTCACGCTGAAGTCAGGTGCAAAGATTTGTGACATTCATCATGTCATACTTTGTACAGGTTACCACCTAACACTGCCTTTCCTATCTCAGCTCACCTCGGACGAGACACCAGTCGATCAGGCCGACGATACGCTACTAGTGACAGACGGTACACAGTTTCACAATCTGCACAAAGACATCTTCTTCATCAATGACCCAACGCTCGCCTTTGTCGGTGTGCCGTTCTTCACAGCGACATTCACGTTGTTTGAGTTCCAAGCCATGGTTGTTGCAAAGGTACTCTCGGGACAGGCAAAGCTTCCAAGCAAAGATGCGATGAGATTAGAATATAACGTCCGAGTTGATACCAAGGGTTATGGCAAGGCATTTCACAGTTTGAGAGACCAGGAAGTGAGCTATGTTAAAGAACTCATAGCTTGGGTAAACTCTGATTTGGAAAAAGCAGGCAAAGAGCGACTTCGTGGGCATTCTGATAAATGGCATCTTGCGAAAGCAGAGCAGGTGGAGAGGATGAAAGCTTTCTTTGCCAATCCAGGCATTGAACGGCAACTCGAAGCGACATGTTTATAGCGGAATGCGTGAATGTGAGCAATTTCGCAGTTCCACGTAGCAATGTGCCCACGGGTTCTGAAGCACAAACGCGCCCATGACTTCGTGCTGCTCCAATGCCTAGATCAAGTCTAAGACTTGCGCAGATACTATTCAGGTATCACCAAAGTGCATGACAGGCATTACAAGCATCGGCGTTACTCGCTTGGCTATCACCTGAGTCAGGCACGCCATATGCATGCCTGATCACGACACGCGACACCAAAGCATTGCCATGCTTCGCGGCGATCTTCTCACATCTTAGCATCAGACACGCAATATTAGTCTATGCTTGTTGGGTCCAGGCTAGCTACTCGGATGAATCGACCCCACGCGTACCCTGTCATTACGCAATATCATACCCAGTATGTCGAATCGCGCTACGCTTCCTACTATGCAGCAACCACTTGCCACTGGCGTGCTGAACGCCATGCCGGCAAGCAGAAGCCGTAGACAGTCTTATCGACGGCAGAGATAGCTTGTGTTGCTTGCTCGATAAAGCTGAGGCTTTCGCCAATACTCTTACTCTAGAGACACGCTTCATACTAATAGTCCACGAACATGGGTCAACCTCAAGACGTCTCGACGGAAGTCAACCCTGCAATAACCGTCATTCAGTCTGACAAAGAGCTGAAAGCGAAGCCGCACAAGTGGTATTACTACCTTTGGGATACCTTGGACAAGCCGAAAGAAGAACGATGGTTCATGTTCAAGCTCGATGCTGCTCTGCTTACTTTTGCGTCTTTGGGGTACTTTATCAAGTACTTGGATCAATCCAACATCAACAGCGCCTTCGTGTCTGGAATGTATGTAGCAAGAACTTGTTGTGGAAAGCTGGCTGACATTGCGACAGGAAGGAGGATCTTGGGCTTTACGGCAACCAGCTCAACTACATGCAAACTTGCTGGACTGTTGGCTATGTCATCGGCGAACTACCCAGTAACATCATTCTAACTCGAGTGCGCCCATCAATTTGGATACCAGCTATGGAGGTATGTCAGTCTAGTAACGCGGTAGTGGAAGCTAGGTACTAACGACAACAGCTTACATGGGCCGTCTTAACATTCTGTCTTTGCCGCGCAAATAACGCAGAAACCATTTACGCTTTGCGCTTTCTTATCGGTCTTGCTGAAAGTACGTTCTACCCAGGCATGCAATACATTATCGGATCCTGGTATCGAAGGGAAGAACTTGCCAAAAGATCTTGTATCTTCCACACCAGCGGCGCCATCGCGACCATGTTCTCCGGCTACCTAATGGCTGGTGTATACAAGCTTGACGGACGCGGCGGTTTCAAGGGGTGGCAGTGGCTGTTCATCATCGATGGTGTCATATCCTTACCTATCGCATTGCTTGGCTTCTTCGCATTGCCCGATCTTCCCGAAATCTCCAAGCCCTTTTACTTGACAAAGGATGAAGTTGCATTCGCCCAAAAGCGCATGGAGCTCGAAGGCCGGCAAAAACGGAAGCCTTATACCAGAGCCAAAGTCAAGAAGATCTTTACGTCGTGGCATATCTGGGCTCTCGTTCCACTTTACGTATTTTTCAACAACGGTACCTCGGGCGGGCAACCGGTATTCCAGCAATTCCTCAAAGCCAGCAAGGATCCAAAGTATACCGTCAGTGAGATCAACACTGTAAGCACTACGATACCATCGCGTTGTAAGGACTTTCGTTAACACAGCTCGCAGTACCCGACTACTACCAATGCAGTACAAGTCGTTACCACACTCTTGTATGCATGGACGAGCGATAGTATCCTCAAAGGATCCAGATGGCAACCGATCGTCTTCGGTGGATGCATGAACATCGTATGCTCTACCAGTCTCGCGATCTGGGATATCCCTATCAAGTGGAAGTGGGCTTGCTACATTCTTTCCGGCTTCGGTGGTGGTCTATCCGGCTTATGCTTTGCATGGGCTCATGAGATCTGCACACACGACAACGAGGAACGAGCCATTGTCGTCGCAGCTATGAATGAAATGGCTTATGTGCTTCAAGCATGGTTACCACTCCTGGTCTGGAAGCAGGTCGAGGCACCTCAGTATCGCAAGGGTTTCATCACGGTCACATTCTTGAGCGCTGCGCTGATTGCGACTGCGCTCATAATCCGGCTACTGCACGCGAGAGAGGTGGCCAAGAGACAGCTTGCTCAAACAGTCGAGCATGATGAGCGGACTAGCTCTGATGAGGAAGGATCCGGTGTAGGTAGTGATGCTGATCTTGATCGAATCAAGGCGACTTGATCGTTGCCATTCATTAAGATCTGGTATTGAACGATCGGCGTATTGTGGTTATAGTGTTTCTGCACACACCATTAGACTATGTAGGGTCGCAAAATCGAATGTTCACACGTACATTTTTCGATGATTAATGCAATGCGACATCGGGATCGGGTCCAACGCGTTTACTGTTCAAGGAAGAGTCTCTCAGTGTGTATGACGTCTTCTGGCGTCTGCCTGCCCCTAGTCTGCAGCTTCATTTGAGCAAACAAACGCTCCTAACCGCGCCCGCGGCTTTACTTGTCGCACTTGTCCTTTTATCAATTCTTGATCTCTACATCAAAACGACCGTTCGGTACATACACAATCCTATACCACCACACGATTCGGTATAATCACGATAGTCTGGATTCCGACAGGTACACCGCACGACATCTTCGAGCCCTTCACCGCGGTTGTCCGGAGTATCATGAACGGCAAGCCCATAGGTCCAGCTCCGGATATGATCTGCGACATCGTCAAGACCTTCACGTTGAACAACATCGAGTAGAAGCCTGGTATGCAAGGTGAGATCCTGGAGAAGGCCACAGATGAGGATGGGGTGCAGTGGGTCCGTATCTTTATCGAGAGCGTGACGGAGACTGGAACTGAACCTGGCGACCGCAAGAAATGGGTGCCTCTCGAGAAGATCAAAATCGGCTCGGATTGGAGAGGTCATGACAATGGCTGGTATTCTCACGGAAACGACTTTGTCAGCGCCGCATCGGCAGGTCATCAAGAGGAGCAGTCAAAATCTTCGAAGAAGACAGTCCACAAGGCATCATGATCTAAATGCGTTTCCAAAAGGGCGTTTGGGTTGCGGCTGAACAACAACGAAATTGATCGGGTGGTGTCAACCAAGCGGACGAGGGGTGTGGCAATGCAAATCAGGGATAAGCTACTAGGGTCTGGTCGAATGTACTCGGAGAACAGATACGTTCATCAATGGCAATGACTTGTGGAAGTCGATCTTGCAGCCTACTCTTCTACTTATATAAGACAAAAAACCTGTTCCTGTGGTGCAAATATCCTTGCGTCGTGGAAAATCTCTCCGTGCATGATCTCATCGATGTAAGCCTGGCCCATAAATATGTAAACATCTCCCCTTGGTCGCAATATATAGGGTGTATTGCCGCCATAAAGTACAACCACAACATCTCCACTTCGCATGCAGTGTGGACCTAGACCATATGGTCCCTTGTCTGTCCAGAACATGCGCCGATTGTCGCAAGCATAGCGAGCATCAATTTGGAACCGGAGAGAATCGGCGTTATGGGCATATTCGCCCTCTTCGCCAAACTCTTGGATGTGTAACAAGCGAAGCAGCAAATGAACGCACGCCGCACTGTGTCTTGCTTGCATTTCCGTGCTTAGACGCTCAATATATTCATTGTCCTCTCCCCATTCACCTGCTGTCAGAGTCCGAGCGAACCTTTCTGGAGACGATTCTACGTCTGTTCTTTCGAAATTGTCCACATATGGATGTCTTCCAGTTTGGTCAAAATTGGCCCAGTAGTCTGCGCAATCAAGATCGCTTTCGTCGGCATCCCTGCTACCATTCACAAACTTGGGATCGTTGGCGTACTCAGGATCTTTCAGATTCCAGTACTGCATGACATTGCCGACTTCGTCTACTCTGCCATAGATCACACCCTTAAGGCAGAGCTGTGTCGGTTCACTTAGTTTCGTGACGATCATAGCCGCTAAGTTTTCTCCACACGCGCTCCAAGGACAGTATGCGTCGTTGATACCAACTTTCCTGCACATTCCGGATAATCCCATCGCGGTGCCCATGACCTATATTCTGATATCCCTTTGAGGTTCTTAAGATCCTCATGATACTGTGAGCCTGGCCCATCGTAATCCATATCGTGTGTGATGTGAGCGAAGGCGGTCAATCGCGAGTGTCGTTGGATATCCACTAAGACAGTGTCCGCATATACTTGTCCCACACTCTTGCTATAACCCACACTAAGGGCTTCGACTTCGAATCTTGATGACAGTAGTTCCAGAAGGCCGTATACTTTGCCCCTGGGATCACAAGCCTGGAATCCATCACGAAAGCATTCCAACGCATCAAGAAGACGATACCTTATCTTTTCGCCCATTTTGATTGCGTTAAGGACGGGAATGTGGTCGAAAAAAGATGTAATATGGTCGCTAAGATCCGGGAACATGGAATTGTCGTCAATAAAACATGCGCTCACATATAGGACGTCCCACGGGATTTCGTCTTCACCCCACATCACAAGAGCGTCTTTGGCTTGGCGAATTTCCTGGACACACCAAATTCTGGAAAACCAGGGCCGTTTGAATAATTCATGTAGGCTGCGAAGTGTGGACAGATCGAACCAACGCTCTGATAAGGGTAATCTCGAATAGCCCGTGTCTCTTCCACGCAGACGATCAACCTCGTAACAAGCAATGGCGATATGCTTGCAATTTTGAAAAGCTCGCCAGGTGTACCGCTTGTCTCCTGGCCCTAACCATACCACAACCTGTTTCGCCGATGAATAGATGCAGCCCATCAGAGGCACTTGATGGCTCTTCTCTGGGTTGTCCTCCGGATTTATACAGATTGCATCCGCCCAGATGATGCGTGGAGAGTCTGGGAGACGTAATCGCTTCAGCGCGTACGAAAGTTCTGGCGCAATGGCGATCGATTGTCCATTACATAGAATCTCAACAGATGGGGTAGGACTGCCCCATACATAAGACAAAGCTTCGTATGGAGGAGCATTATCGATGTTGTAAAGGTCACAAGTGCACTCCAGTTGTTGATGCTGATCGATAGTGGGAACAATATGGAGAAGTCTGAATGTACGGCCGTTCAAGATCCGTTGCGCGTAGTACAGAGGACCAGGCATCAGCTGATCCGCATAGGGCGAATGTGGGACGTAATTTGGAAAGTAAGTACAGAGCCTGGACACGGACGAACGATCCTAGATACATTTTAGCCATGTTATGAAGGATTCGTTGAAGTATCGCAATATGGTGCGTGCGTTTCGCATGAATTATTGGGTGGCTGGGGAGGTCCACTGAGCCACAGTGGCAAGTACACCTTGTGAAGCATTCCTTTGTGAGACATTCCTGGTGTGTTTCGCAGAGTCGCTGCCTGCACTGAAATCCTGATTTGTACGCATGAGGAAGCCCGGAGGACGCCGATGACGTTCACGCCCTCGAGACGAGCTTTGCGAAGATAGGGACAGGAAGAGATGCATCATGTAGAAGAGCAATAAGTCGCACTGCGATAAGACCTCGGTAATGCGCCGTAAGCGTGGCTAGTCTGTGACATATTGACACTAAGGATGAGGATTTATTGCTGCGCCTATTGTGGTGGTGAGCTGAGAGATGCGCCAAGCCACGCCATCAACCGTGGCTTCAACCGTAGCTTCGTTTCTGCCGCTGTCATCACCTACCTCGGTTGAAACACGAACCTTGAGCAATTGCCGACCTACAACGAATCAATCTACTTCATAACCTCCCGTCGCTACTGTTTGAGGATTTTGTAAGCTGTCTCAGTCAAAGGCGTCCCAATCGAGTCATATTCAACCATCATTCCACCCTCAATCTCCACGAGCCGAGTACACGGGATACGGCCCACTTCTTTCATACTATAGCACGTGCACCGTTCAAGGCTGTTCCTTGGGTATGGAATGCACCAATGTTTCCGATTATCCCTGCAATTACGGGAGCTTACTATAGGGTTGTTCTACGATGTTCGGCTACACGTCCAGCCTTATCTCTGGTGCCCCTGTGCTAGCTAAGGCAAATTCGTCAGATCAAGCGAGCTACCTGCCTCTTTGCGGACCTCCATCACCACACGTCAAGCACCTTCGTAATTGCTGCATGACTGTGTGACTTTTATTGGTTCTCAGTCGGAGAATCCATCTGGCTTTCTTCATGTCGCCGACCTTCACCGTTTTACCCAACAGTGCGATCGACATCTTAATACCGAAATTGATCATGTTTCGGACCATGAGGGAGAATATGGTAAGAACGCATGGGTCTCTCAACGGTTTTGCGTCCACGTGTGGTGCCGTGGGAACCATAGGGAGATCAGTACGATCTTCGCGCCCACCCACCTAGGTGCAGATGCTGGCTACACCATATGGCAAGAATGAAATGCGCAACCTGCCAATACTGCGCATACCTTCCGCTGAACAGGCGTGTTCATGCTGCGTACCCAGAGTTGGTCAATTCAATGATAGTACGATATTCTTGTCGCCTATTGCGAAGGATTCCGTCCAAAAGATGACACGAAAAGCCACATAACGATGAAAACGCCTGGGTGTTTTCAGCCGCACAAAAGCGTACGTTGTCTGGACCAGTCGCGATTCTCGGGCGGTGGTGTCGTTTCAAGCAGGTGGCAGGAAAGCGCCACTCACACTATGCAAGGGACGTGCATAGCTCACTTCAAGTAAGTTTCACGTCCTGCTCCTACAGACCGCGGGGTAGCTGGTGTGTATGCCGGCTCTTGCTTCAAGCATGCCGGTTATAATAGCCGCGGGCGCTCCCGACTATTCAGGATTGCTTTTGTGCTATCCGCGGGCCACCCATGTGGTTATTGTGACTCTTTGCGTCTGGGTAAACACGACATGACTTCAAGATTTCCGACGCCAGAAGAGTTCGCATCGTTTCCACCGCCCAACTATGTCGACCCAGTCAATCAGTTGCCACTGGCGATGGCCGTGCTGATTCCTATGACTGTTCTGGTCATTGGTTTCATCTCTTGTCGATTCTATTGCCGAACGGTTCTTGTCAATACTCTGGGTTGGGATGACTGGGCGATGATGGTAGCAGCTGTAAGTAATACACCTTCTAATCCGGCGAATGAGGGGCCGAGCACTAACGTATCCAGGTGATGTCTGTTGGAAGTAACATCATGCTCATAATATCCATGCTGCCAGAATACCAGATGGGGTACCATCTATGTGGGTAAACCGAGATCATTCAGATGCAGAATGACTTACACTGAACAGGGGATATTCGTCCATCACGACTTTTCGGGACGATGAAGTCCGCGCAGGTATGATGCACGATCTGATGTCGCGCCCATGCTAACAGCAATGCAGATGGGCATGTCCAGCCAGTTGCTCTTCACAGCCATTATCACTTTTATGAAGGTCGCGATTCTTCTCACCTACATCCGCATATTCCCATCAAAATTAGACAAGTGGTTTTGCCGTTTGATGATCTTCTACACGGTATCTTTGAATACAGCCTGCTTCTTCATCACCTTGTTCCAATGCTCGTAAGCACATACCTCCATAACCTCCTGCAAATGGGGGGCTGACAATCAGTCCAGGCCGGCAAGCACCTACTGGGAGATCTTCAAATACATCGGCACAGCTAAATGCCTCAACATCAAGGCCATCTACTACTTCCACTCGGCACAGAACACTTTCAGCGACTTTGTCATATTTTTGTGGCCTGCAAGGAACCTTATGAACGTCCAGGTATCGCTCCGTCAGCGCGTGACATTGATAAGCATGTTTTCACTGGGTGTTATGTGAGTCCGCCGTTCTCGATCATCCAGAGTGGGACTAACATATGAACAGTGTTTGTATTGCCGGTGTCGTGCGACTGTACTATACCCATCAATATCTGGTATCCTTCGATGTCTTCTGTACGTACCGCTCGAACTCGAGTTGCAACAACAGCTGGCTGACATTGCGCACAGGGTACGGAGCCACCACATTCATCATCATGTCCGTGGAAAGTGGTGTCGGTGTCGTATGTGGCTGCCTCCCGGGTTGCAAACCCCTCATGAACAAGATGTTCCCTCGCGTCTTCGGCAACACCTCCCAGTCATCGTCTCGTCGTCGCCCATCGACAAACTTCCTGTCAGGGAAGCTGTCGTCCTCCTCGGCAGCAAAGTCTGAGCAAGGATCATATCGTATGCAAACTCTCCAGTCTCGTCCCGATAACCGACGCGGTGTGACCTTGGAAAAGCGATCGCCGCCAGACGTTGAGAAACAGCTTCCTGCGCCCCCACAACCGTCGCACCAGGGTCTGCGCCCACCCAGTCGAACAACATTCACCAGCAGGCGACAGGCTGAAGCGTATAGGGAGCTACAAGGCAACGGTAGTGACTCGAGTATAGAAATTTTCCTTCTGCAGCGTAATTAAAACTTGTACATTGTGTATCAGAGAGAGAAAATAGATCCAGACGGAAACGGTAAAATGCGCACGCTGCAGAAACGCGTGATCTACGCCAGAAACGATAACCTGATCCCAAATGTGCCACCGATATCATGAGCTACATTTCTTTGGCCCGGTTCGTCTCCATCGTCCATTAATCATTGCGGGCGCTAGGAGATCGTTGACCCCACCTTCGACTGCACAAATAATCACGCGTCGCGTATCAGACGGGTCTGCGGGAGGGCGGCTCGCGTGCAGTTTACCCCACTTCGCGTGCTTGTCACCTCACCTCGCTGCGTCTTCTCGTTTCGTCATTGCATCCGGTGCTTGATGCCTGGCGAATAATCCATCGACACATTGAGTTGCATGCTGGGGCGGCATATACCTAACACTAAAGATTGGTCCCTGACTAAGCCTGATGTGCAAATACAGTCTTCCCTGAAAGTGCTTGTAGAGTTCCAGGACGACAAGCTAGTAAGATGTATTACTACGTATATCTCTACACATGTTGTCAGTCGGAACTCTAACATAAGCATCCACGTATGCACAAAACCGTCGTCTCAATAGATGGAAATGTCTCTTTGTTGCCATCGATCGTCGTCTTCGACGTACGTATCCAACTGAAAGGTGCCGACGCGCGTGTACTTTTCTATGCTGCTTGGTTTCGCTTTCAATATCAGCCCCTTGCCAAGGGTGATTTTAGCTAGTAACACTGCATGATCTCCCGTAGTGAATTCATCCCATCGACCCGAAATATCGCTCCACTCTTTTCCAGATTCGGGATCTACGAAGAGTAGAAGTGGAAAAACCTCCTCTAACTCTTCGTGTACAGTCATCGGCCACGAGTTATCGACTAAGTCTGTCGGCCACCATGGTGAAGACGGTTTCTTATGTCTAGTCACTCTAGCATGAAGCGTCAATGTTCGAAGGCTGATGTTAGCGTTAACAATGTCAACGTCACTGAAGTCGTCACCACGCGTGCTATTTTTGATCGAAATCTCCAGTATCTGGTAGGCGGCGTGACCTTCGTAATCTCTGAGACTGATGGGCCCCTGCATGGAAGCCCAGGACCATGATGGAGCCGCGGGCTTAACGGCTCGAGTAGCTTTCGGAAAGAGCTTGTCGTCGTTGGTAGTCTCCCAAAGCAACTGGCTTGGCAGGTGTTCTGCCCAAAGTCCAGCATAGTATCGTGCCGATGAAGCCTGCTTCAACTTTCTGGCGATAGCCGAGATAGCGCGCAACCTATCGGTACTGAAGCTCAAGCTTAAATGACTGTAATGCATGACGATGTTATTCCACATAGTCAGGAACTCGGTTCCATCCACTGGTAGGGTAGCCCAGTTGGCGGGAAGGTCGAGCGGACGACCGGTTCCATGTACCGCGAAAGTTTCAGAGTTGGTTATCCAACCATCTGTCTCGGGTACAACTTCATCCGTGCGATTTGCAGTGCACAAATACCGTATCTGATGAGTCCCAAACTCCAGGATGCGAGGCGAAAGGATTTGTTCTTGGAAGCACCATCCGCGTTGGTTGATCGGCTCTGCGACTCCAACGTCTCTACCCGCCCAGAGAACCACGGAACCTATCTGACCGTCGTTGCAGATGTAAGGCAAGCGATACCCTCTTTCCTTAGGTATATATCGCGGTTTTAGGAACCCATCTTGCACCGCAGGGCTTCGCGATGCTAGCAGGGTAAAATGAGCCTTGGAGTAGATGTCACCCATCCTGGCAAGCTCCACACCTTTGTCGGCATCGTTATCCTGGATTATGCATAGAGCGTCTATCCAGAGATACTCAAGCCCAAGCTCGGTTGTTACAATTATGGCATCTTTTATAGTTTGAGGTAGATTGTGAAAAGGGATTTTCGACTGCCAGGGAGCTAAATTGCTCATTGTTAACTTGACCTTCTGATCTCCTCCCCAACAGTAGCTCAAGGTTGCATACTTTGGCCACGAAATGTACGTTGTATCGACCAGACATAACCTTGGATGTACAGTTATGGCTGGGCCTGCAGACCGTTGGAATATTTTGATAAGCCGACGGGGTTTCAACGTATGTGTGTCGCTCGCTACAAGCTGGTCGCTGTCGAACTCACGAGTAGCGCATGCTTCATGCGTGCTGCAACATCTTTGCAACCACGTGCGAGCTTTAGACATGGTTTGATTGGACGATGGAGTCAAGTTCGGCGGCCTTTGTTTGATGTCTGCTGCAGCCACGTCGCTGAGCTCCATTGTTAGTGCACAGGGCGAGCCGTGTTCCGCGAGGTACATACTCAGCTTCTGCGCACAATACTAGCTTCCGAGAAAAGTCCTTATTATCTGTGTACTGGCTAACTTCTTCAACCCAGTCCAATGCTAGTTGCTCTTCAGAGACATGCGTGTAGTAGGCTCTCAATTGGCTGTCTGTCGTTGTGTCCGGTCGGCGTAGGGTAACAAGCCACTTCATCAACTCGCAGCCATGCTGTGCCAATTCAACTGCCTCACCATACCACAGATCGAACCAATATCCCCGATCGTGGCCAGTTGTCGACCAAGGCTCAGTGATCTCCTCCCATGAATCTCGATTGTTGAAGAGCAGCTTGGATTGGCAGATATTGCAGGCGTGTGGCTGACGAAGTACCAGCATGTTTATCGAGCTTGCACCGGGAACATACCGCGCAAAGAAACGGTCAGTATGCGGCCAGGCGCCGTACGGAGTGGAAGGGATGAAAGATGGGCGCTGGCGTCCGATCAAGCATGAGACCGGTGCGGGGGCGGGATGACGCCCCACTTCGCGCTGTCGCTTCCTCGCGCCACCGCGTTTGCGTTCATCTTCAGCCTTCTTGCTGCTGCCTTATACACAACAAAACTCTCAGCATATTACTTGGAATACAATTCGACTTCTGAATTCGCGTGCAATCGAATCGAGTCCAGCGTATCGTGTAGATCGCTGAGCTCGTCGCACGCATCGCGCCATTTGTCCAGTTCGGAAGCCTCACTCAGCCATTCAGGATCATGTCCAACGCACCTCGAGGTGGCGGAGATAGAGGTCGCGGTGGTGGGGATAGAGGCCGAGGTGGTTATCGAGGTGATCGTGGTGATCGTGGAGGTGGCCGTGGTGGCGGAAGAGGCGACTTTGGAGGGAGAGGGAGAGGAGACGGTGGATTTCGCGGAGATAGAGGCGGCGGTTTTCGTGGCGACAGGGGTGGTGGTTTCCGCGGCGATAGAGGTGGGGGCTTCCGAGGAGATAGAGGTGGAGGTGGAGGTCGTGGTGGTAGAGGAGGTTATAGTGGGCCGCCTGGAGGTGGCCAACAAGGCATCGAGGCTTTCTCGTAAGTTGCGAAGCCATATTCCTGCCTACCGGCTTTAACTTTCATCTAGCAACTCCAATCCGCAAGACCCGAAGGTCGCCAAGATTGAAGATGCCCTGCTTCCGATTGCAAAGAAAGGGCTCGATCTGAGCACTTTGAAGCTGAAAGAGGGTAACCCGACTAGGCCTGGGTATGGAACTAGGGGTATCAAGGTGGAGCTTACTGCAAACTACGTTGAGTTGCTGCCACCATCAGACATGGTATTGTATCGCTACGATATCGATGTTCAGCCCGAAGCGACTGGAAGGAAGCGGCACAGAATTGTCGAGCTCCTACTCCAGACGCCGCAAATGGCTGTACACAAAGCCGATATTGCAACCGATTTCCGAGCAACCATCATTTCGAAGACAAAATTCAAGCATGACGACGACATTTTCGAGATTCAGTTCCGGTCTGAAGGCGAGGACGAACCGGCAGCCAACGCCGCTGTATACAAGGTTCGCGTCAAATACACAAAGGCTTTGAGCATTGGTGAGTTGGTCAACTGGATGAACTCTACCAATATTGGTCAGTCATTTGGTGACAAACAAGAGCTGACTCAAGCGCTCAATATCTTTTTGAATCACTACGCTAAGTCGGCAAACAACCTTGCCACGATAGGGTCGACGAAAAGCTTCTCTCTCAACCAGAACACGATGAAAGCTGATCTGGGCTCTGGCCTCAATGTCATTCGTGGTTTCTTCTCCAGCGTGCGTGTTGCAACGGCTCGAATCTTGGTCAACATCAACGTCAGCCACGGAGCGTTTTACCACGATGGGCCCCTACCAGCGCTTATGGGAAACTATGGTACCCGAAACACCAGCGCCCTAGAGAAGTTTCTTAAGTTGGTTCGTGTCCAGACAAATCATCTCCCTGAGAAGCGTAACAAAGCTGGTCAGGTCATTCCACGAATCAAGACCATTTTTGGACTTGCTAGGAAGGACGATGGACACAAACTGACCAATAGACCACGCATCAAGGCGCATGGCGCAGGCGCCAAGGATGTTGAGTTCTGGCTTGACAGCGATGCTGGATCGTCTGGTGTACCCAAGGCGGAAGCGAGCGCTTCGAAGGGCAAGGGCAAAGGAAAGGCTCAGCCGAAGGGACCAGCACCTTCTGGATCCGGCCGATATATCACTGTGTTCGACTTCTTTAGAACAAGTATGCTCTTCTTCACCTCTATCTTACAATGATGCTAACATCATATAGCATACAACCGTATCCTCCAACACCCTGAACTTCCTGTAGTCAATTGTGGCAACCGGGAGAATCCGATGTACCTTCCTGCAGAGGTTTGCATCGTCGTTCCGGGCCAGCCATCGAAGGCCAAGCTTGATGCCTTCCAGACACAGCAAATGATCCGATACGCTGTTCGTAAGCCATGGGACAACGCAAAGTCGGTTCTTGATGAGGGCGTACCGACTGTTGGGCTCGATGGGAATGCGAACATACTTCTGGTAGGCCGCGGGTCTTGCCATCATAGTTCCATATGTTAACTACGTCTAGCGCTCTTTCGGTCTTACCGTTACTCCGGGTCTAATCAAAGTACCAGGTCGAGTTCTCGCCGGTCCAAGGGTCATTTACCAACAAAACAAAACTGCTTCAGTTGACCAGAAGTTTGGCCGTTGGAACATGATGAACATCAAGTTTCACACCGGTACCAGACTGGCGAAGTGGTCGACTGTCATGATAACTCTTCCGAATAGACAAGGTTCCTTTGACGCCCAGGCCTTAACTATAGTGATGCAGGAATTTCATCAAGGATTGCTCAAGGTCGGTGTCATGGCTGAGAAGCCCATGCCTGTGCAACGTCTCCAGCTTCAGCACGCAGATGACGCTTCCCTAGGTCCATTCCTACGAAAGGAGGCCGACCGTGTCGATCTATTGTTCATTGTCTTGCCAGAGGTAAACACAACTCTGTACAAGCGCATCAAGACGCTCGCCGACAAAGACTATGGTCTTCACACCATCTGTTCTGTGGGCTCTAAGCTCTGGAAGGACCGAGGACGGGACCAATACATTGCCAACGTGGCGCTGAAGTTCAATCTGAAGTTGGGTGGCATCAACCAGATCGTCGAGAAAACGAACTTGGGTTTGATTGAAGCTGACAAAACCATGGTAGTCGGTATTGACGTCACTCACCCATCGCCTGGCTCAGCTTCTAACGCACCATCGGTGTCGGCAATGGTCGCGTCTGTTGACAGGTTCCTTGGTCAATGGCCTGCTACTCTGCGTATCCAGCGTGGAAGACAGGAGAATGTCGACGACCTCGCCGAGATGCTTAAATCACGACTCAACCTGTGGAGGACCAAGGGCAAGGATCACCAAGGCCGACCCCACCAATCTTTGCCTGAGAATATTCTGATCTACCGTGATGGAGTGTCAGAGGGACAGTACGATATGGTGCTCTCACAAGAGCTTCCCCAGTTGCGGAGAGCATGCGAGGCAGTGTACCCAGCCACCGATACCAAGAAAGGTCTCCCGCGTTTCACGATCGTCATCTGCGGCAAGCGACACAAGACACGCTTCTACCCAACAGCCACGAAAGATTGCGACGGAAATCCTGATATTGGCAAGAGCTCCGGCAACACGAAGCCCGGTACTGTCGTTGATCGCGGCGTAACTGAAGCCCGCAATTGGGACTTCTTCCTCCAAGCTCACGCCGCACTCCAGGGCACGGCTCGCCCTTGCCATTACTACATCGTGCACGACGAGATATTCCGTCAGATCTACGCGAAACAGGTTCCGGCGCCGTTCAGCAACATCGCTGATATTGTCGAAGACCTCACGCACAATATGTGTTACCTGTTCGGTCGTGCGACCAAAGCTGTCAGCCTCTGTCCACCAGCTTACTACGCTGATCTGGCTTGTGAACGTGCGCGTTGCTACCTTGCGAACTTGTTCGATACGCCAACACCGAGTGCAGCACCTTCTGTTGCTGGAACTTCTGCGGCTGGGGGCGCGGGGCAGGATCCGAGTGCGGCGGATGTACAGATCCACCAGAAGATCAGGGATACCATGTTCTACATCTAGGTGGTGGACTCTTGGTTGTGCCGCGCTACAAGAGAAACAGTAAAGCTGTTTCAAACTCTAATCATTCGCTTTATATCATTAGACTGAACACATCACTGCCATATTGAGGGAAACCTTTTACTGGCGTGTTGTACAGGAAACAAACAGAAGACCTGACGAAAGGAAAAAATTGGTAGTTGGGTAAGAGATGGTGGTAGGGAACAAATTGAGCAGGCGTTTGATCATACTGCATTACTACATAGAAGCTGCATAACAGCTGAATACACTCATTTCATACGATTCTTTGCTTCCTCTGTACTTGTAGTCTCCTTCATGACCGTGGCGCGTACCCAGGATTCTTCGGTGGTGCGTCTATCCAAGCGGCCATCTGATAATTCGCCTGGTCTGCCGCCGTCAGCCTAGTGCTATACGGTCGACCGCCAAAGATGAAGTTTTGCGGAAACAGTGGGTTGAACGGCGCAGCACTGTGTATTTCTTCAATTTCCTCTTTCGATAAGGAGATGGCCAGTGCGGGTACCATTGCCTTGACATGCTCCACAGTCTGCACACCCACAATAGGGAATACGTGAGTGGATTGATGGAACAAGTATGCCAGTGCCATTTGCTGCAATGTAACACCCTTCTTTTCTGCCATTTTCTCGAGGACCTCCGATACTGCTATATCGCTCTCTGATGCATTGTAAAAGCCTTTACCAGACTTTGGATCTTCTTCTGCAGCCTTTCTTGAGGAGGTCGTAGCCAGTTGGCCGCCGCCGAGCGAGGCCCAAGATACGATTGCTAAGCCTTGGTCCTCGCACATGGGTATTATCTCGGCTTCCATATCACGGTAGGCGGCGTTCCATCGGCCTTGGTAAAGAGAGAAGGGTGTTAGGCCGTGGCGGCGGGCGTCTGTATGACAGGTTAACGATGGTTCAAGTGGAGGGTTGTATATACTCGCGGTACATACATTCGTTTGCTTTGACAACTATCCAGGCTGGCGTATCCGAGACCCCGAGGTAGAGGACCTGTCTAGCCATGACAAGTGCATGAAGATGGCGCATGATCTCTTCCACATTACCACCAACATCCCACCAATGTACGTATAATATGTCGATGTAATCAGTCTTGAGCTTGCGGAGGCTGTCTCGAACTGATACGTGCATGCTCTTTGCGCTTGTGCCTGTAAAGTTGCTCTGCAGCGGTTCGTTCTCCCGATTGTAGGCTCTGTAGCCCGCTCCGTACTTAGTTGCGATCACCATCTGGTCTCTGTTGTTTCGCTTCTCCATCCACTCGCCGATAAGCTTCTCAGATTCTTCCGAGTTGTAGGTATTCGAGGTATCGACGAAGTTGCCGCCGAGGTCAAAATAGGTGTCCAGCAGAGAGTGGGCATCCTCACTGACACCAAACAGTTTGCTCCACGAGTTGCCAATACTGATTCCGCCTAGTGAGATGGGTGAAACCTTGACGTTGGCAGCGGGCGACAAGACGCGGTGCCAGCCCAAGGCGGTCTTCGGCTTTGGCGGTGGTGCGAAGGGGTCCATATCATCCGCGCTTCTCGAGGGACAGCAGTCTAGTCGCTGTAGTTGGCAACCTGAATACCTGTACTACAGATACGATGCAGCGTGTTCGCATTGTATAGGTATGGTTTTGTCATCTCGAGCCCATGGCGTCACGCATGCATGGCCCACTTCCACCTGCACTCTGCTGACACCCTTGTCGTAACTCCGTTAGCGGAACTGGTCTGGCAAACTCCTTTGTATCGTGTTATGCCACTGCTGTGGAGTAATCGGCTTCTCGCCTCTTGTTCCGCGCCAGTAGTTTGTGGCTTCGTACACTTCGGGGCATCCGCTGAGCAGCCAGCCCCACTTCTCCAGGAATATGGGATCGATCTCCCAGCTGCGATGATCTTCGGGAGGACCCCATACTATCAGTATTGGTCTGCGATCTAGATGGTTATACTCGCAGACATCGATGCATAGCTCGTCTTCATAGTCAACGGGCTCTGTTCGTTGAAACGCTTGCAGCATGTTGTCGCGCACCTTGGGCCAGGGGAACAGATCGAGCCAGGGGTGATGCTCTATGGAACTTTGTAATTCAGTGGGTTGTAGACATGCAGGCCATTCCGCTCCAGCTCCCAAACCCAAGAGTGGACCCTGCTTGTTTAGTGGCGAGATGCCATACCAATCATAGTATTGTGCTGTAACCCCCAGTAGGTCTGCATTTCGCGCGAGACCACTAGCTACGTTATACTTGAGAAGCAGTGGTAAGTGTGACAAAGCGGGTGTCCCTTGCATGTAGCTGGCATATGCATGTTCGGAGAAGCGCTGCATGAGCTCTTTCACTTTCGGATGAGCGGCCATGCATGACTTCCGCATCATTGTGCCATCCGGCTCGCTGGAACCATCTTGAGAAGCATCGGACGTGCTGCCTTCACGACCCGATGCATCGCTCTCATGGGTATCGTCCGGAACGATGACACTACGTGGCTGTTTGATGATGGCATTCTTCTTTTGGGCGCGGTTTCCTGAGACGTGTTAGAGTGTATCCTTTGTTTTTGGTGAACTGTCTGACAGGGCCACTCACTCCGTGCTCGCTGGTTTAAGCGGTTCTGCAATTTTCGCCTTTCAACGGGATCCGTCACGCCCATCCAATCTTCTTTCTCGCTGCGCAGCTCGGGTCGCTGAGATGACCAAGCTAGCTCAACAGGAGCGCCTGATAGGCTTGAATCTGATGACATCGGAGTTGCTGACATTGCGGCAAGGGAAGATCGCGTTTGAGGTTGTCATCCTCCGAGCGAGGTACGAGCATATATGCAGATTGATGACGGTTCGCAAATCGGACCTTTGCGTTTGAGCCCCGCTTCGACAAACAGCATAGCCGCATCACGTTTTGAGGTGGTATCGAAGATTTGACGTCTAGTCTGCGCTGATGATGCTTCGATTGGCCGTCAGCAGCCTGCATAAAGTCCGCGTTAGCTTCCACTAGTGCCTGGGCTGATGCACCGGTGCCACGAGAACAGCGGCTGGACCCACAACCGAATCGTTTTCGCACTCGCACTCTCAATTCGGCTATGTGTAAAGAAAGAGAAGTGCGCGCTGTCCTGGTTGTAATCATGAACAAACATGAACAACGGAAGCCAAAGTCAGTCTCATCACTTGATCATACGTACGAAGCCTGTCGCGCAGGGTGTAGATATAGCTGGACAACTCACACAACGGTTCGACTTGTATAAGTCTCAAATGCTCGGATTCTTTGACTATCTCCGTTCATTGAATCTTTATCATACGGAGCTTGGCCTTCTTGTTGCCGATGATTCCTAAGCCCGACGGAGAAGATATTACGCATGCTTCGTGGCTCAGTCAGTATCTTACGTCCTGTTACGCACCGGATCAGCAGTTTTTGTAGTTTTGATTCGTTTCCACGTGTAGTGGTCGTATTTCATTTATTGGTTTTATGGCTTGATCACCGAGAGTCAGACAGACTTCCTCGATCGTGTAAGCTTGTCTTTCCATCGTTCTCGTAAGGGCCAATAAGTGATCCTTCTACCATGACCTAACCTTCTCATTTTCACCCTTGCGACACTAACGGTCCGTAAATTTGTACGTAGAGCGTTGCTAAAGTTATTTAGTCACGCGCCCGTAGATTCGCAGCCCATCAGATACAGGACCTCTGTCGTAGAAATGCTCACATACATCTCCCCCGTCGTCGTAGACCCTAGCATCGGACAACTCAAGCACTTGTGCTCTATTTATCAGCAGCAGGGACGCGGTCGAGTGGAATGGTCTCGTTATCCCGGATAAGTACTGCTGGCCGGTCAAATTCGAACACGATCTCTAGTGCCGGCCTGCTTTGGGTAAGAAACTCAAGGAACTCGCGACGGAAAGCCTCGTGGTAGACGCCACGGAATTCGAGGTATCGCAGCTTGGGTACGAAAGTCTTGTCGTTCAGCCATTCGAGTGTGCTGTTGAGACGTATGCGCTTGGACTTCTGGCCTTGGACGACTGTCAGGGTGACGGATTCGATGTTCGCACAGTTCTTGAGAATAGTTGGGAATGCGGTTCGAGTGAGCTTGGATGTGCCGTGGAGAGCAATAACCTCTAGTTGAGGCAGGGCTTTGGTGAGTTTCTCCACGCCCGCACTTGTGATCTCAATTGCCTCCTTCCTTTCGGCGTCACCGGCGACGAACACACGGACTGCACTTCGGAACGTAGCGTCTGCATTCGCGATGACGTCAATGAGGGTGCTGATTATGATCAGCGAAAGTGACTACAGTTTGGGACAGAGTCAGCCATACTCGTCTAAGTTGATACCTGAAGCGAAGACCAGCTTCTGAACAGGTTTCGCAGTGCTATCAAACTTGGTAGATGCATCTACATGTAGCGTCTGCTCATCGGAGATCGCAGCGGGCTGATACTCGATGGGCTGCCCTTTTCTGGCCTTTGCACGCTTCTCGAATTCAGAGTACTTCTCAGTTGGGGGTTGAGCCTCCAAACGTGCATCCCATTTCTCTTTTGGCTCTTCCCAAGGTCCATAGGGCTGGGTGGCTGGAATCTCCTCATCAGGGCTCGTGTCCGACCCCGCTTGTCGCTCCTCAATCACCTTGAGGCGTTGGAGCTCCCTCTCCTTCTCCTTCTGCTTCTTCTTCTTGGCTGATCCGGATAGTGGCGCCATGATGTCGTTTGTAGGTATACGACGTTTTGTGACTTGAAGAAGCCAGGTGTCGAGGTATGGAAAGAAGAGAATACCAGAAGGCGGGGGTTCCCCACAATTTTCATCCACGTTACCGTAAGAGGCTTAGGCACCTCGCGACCCTTTCGCAACTCAAGCTTTACACCCCGCATGCGTTTCTCTCTTGTCCTCACCAAGCGTTGTAGTCCCATTACTACAACTACCGCAATACGTCTCAAAATCTCACAGTCGCGTGCTGAGACGACCGGCAAGCTATCACCCCTCTTACAGTATCAGTGCTGAGAAGACGATGAAGTCAGGGGGACTGAGTACATCATATGGACTGGCAACTCTGTTCTTCATCTGAAATTTAGGTTTACCGGGACTGCTATAGATGACTGGCTCTTCAGACCCATTTGATTGGCTCGCAGGAATGACCTGACCGAGAGCGAGCAGGTTCGGAGTAATCTCTTCGGATACAAGATCGATTGATCGGAATGTCTAGTCATCCGGAGCAGTATTGTCCGGAGAAACCACATACAACAGTACTGTTTCTTGAAAGGAGACTACGCGATACCAGCATCGCCGTTTCTGAGCTTCCTCATACTTCCTAGCGCTGGCCGCCTGAGGGAGCAACGTTGATGACTCATATGAGTCTAGGCTTCCATACGTACCCCGTTGACGCGTCCAGTGTATGTTCATAAACAAACCCATGGCAGCGGAAGCCTTGGTTACTAGCAGGCATCAACAGAACTCTCTCCTCAAACTTCATAATGTCACCATACGACTTCCACTTCTTGACTCCTCGCCTTTACCTTTCCTACTGCGACCCATCATCTGATGCACACTGCGACTTTGTCATCGAGCTCCTTCACGGGGCTCCCTCTGTTCGACGGCATCCAAACATTGTTGAAGAAGTACCAGATCGTGAAGCTGCCACGAAAATTATAAGCAACGGGGATGAGAAACTCCGCACGACGGGCTATGGACGGTACCTAGTCAGCTTGAAACCATCCCCACCGGAAGAAGAAAGGCACGCTGGCATTCCGTTCTCACAAAGGAAACTGGAACATATCGGTTATGTCACCATGCAACTCGGTCGTGTTCCAGGCGAACAAGCACCTACCATACCGGACTTGGGCTTCAACATGATTGAGCGTTATCACGGGAAAGGGTATGCGACCGAAGCCGCACAAGGTCTGATCGCCTACTTCAGTGAGGAGAAGGGCGTAAAAGAGATTGCAGGTCTGACTGACCCCGATAATGAAGAAGCGCAAAAATTATTTAGAAGATTGCGTTTCAAGAACCATGGGGTGAGGAGTATAAAGGGTGTTCGGTGGTCAGGTGAGGAACTCGATGTGGATGTTTGGACCTTTGGATTGGAAGATGGCAGAAAGCTGGAGGACTTTGGGCTCTAGTCCAATCCAAATGTTTCCCATTATATCGTCTTCTATCTGTCTTGGACTTGACTCGAAGATCGAGGAGACGCGTGTGTCCCAGCTTCAACCTTAGAGCCACCAGCTTTCCCGTCGAGTGATGGACTTACTGCCTCAGTATCAACCTCAACCCCTTCCAAATACTCAAAGCCGGTTATAATTCGTGGAATGAGTGTCTCCTCAGCTGGGAAGAACAGGTTGCAAAAGTAGTACAAGAATATGGACAAAAAGAACCCATAAAGCCAATTGAACGTGAAGAGATTCTGTAAGCCAGCTGAAAGCTTCAAATTCGGGTTCACTTTGTTGGCCAATCCTGGTAGTAGAGGGATGATGGTGACGAATGTGGCAACCACAGCGCGCCAGTTTGTACCATAGGGACCATATCGGTAGATACCTCGTGGATCATACAAAGCGGGCACGTCGTACCTTCTGTGCTTGACTAACCAGTAGTCGGTGAACAGGATACCTGCCATAGGCGCCATGAAGATGGCGTATGCGCTCATGAAGTTCAGGAACGCTTTTCCAGAAGCCACGATAATCCAAGGGCATAGCGCCCAGCCACCAACGAAAGCCACAAGAACGGAGCCGCGGCGCACGTTGATGTACTTTGGTGCGAGTGTCGTGACATCGTTAGCAAAAGAAACGGCATTTGCACTAATGTTAACGCTGAGTTGGCCGAGTAACCAGATCGAAGCGCAGAAAAAAGCTGCTGCACGACCACCAGAAGTGTCCATCCAGGTATCGATGATTTGCAGTGGTGTCCAATAAGCCGTGCCCCAGATTTCCTGGGCTGCCGATGCGGAGACAATCCCCATAAGAGCGACCATGGTCTTGAAGAACGGAATCACCGGCATTTGCCAGTATTGTGCTTTAGGATCTTTGCTGAAGCGTGAGAAGTCAGAGATGTTGACAGCGAGAGTGCTGTATCCACCAGTGATGCTAGTCATGCTTGATAGCCAGAGCCAAGCTCTCTCAGCACCATATACTGAAGCCGGACGCGTGAAAAAGGTCCCATTGCCACCTGCTTTGACAGCAACCCACACAGTCATTCCAATAGCCACCGGCGGCAACAATACAGTCTTTACCCAGAACATGTATTGTAGCCTATGTGTTGGAATGAGAAGAAACGGAAACTGGATGAGCCAATACAAGAAGTATGATATCATCCCAGCTGTGGTAAGACCAACAGATGCGGGCAGGTGATTTGGAACATCCCGGAAGCTTGGCCAGATAGCATTCAATATCTGAAAAGGCAAGTCAGATTATGTCGTATACATCGTAGCTTGCCTAAAAACGTACCGCAGTGACACATGTACCTCCATTGGCGGTTTGTACGCCGAACCAAAACATGGCTAGGATACCTCTACTCACGACGGCAAAGTAGCTGAACCAGTATCCGAAGCTAGCACGAGATGCGATAGGAAATGGGATATGTAGATTCGAGCCGATGGCGCCATTGAGCACTGTCGGCAGGGCGTTGCATATGCCCGCCACAAGCGTTATAAGCACAGCGTCAGTCGCCGTCAAACCTGCCACTGTCAGTATGACATTCGCAGAATTCGACACAGAGAAAGTATGAGCGCTTACCCAAGGTGAAAATGGCAGATCCTGAGCTCCAGGTTGATATCGTGACAAGGTCACTGAACCAGTATGTTACAAAGGCACTTTTTCCCCACGTGCGTTTTTCTGGAGGCACTGGCTCCATGTCCGCGTTAGTCCATACATCAGGTGGTGCGATGCTACTGTTCTGTTTGGGAAGCCGCCAGCTGGATGGTTGTGTCACCCGGAGCTTGACCTTCTCTTGTGCCGCATGGCTGCGATTGCGCAGGTTGACTGGTGTCAGCATGATGATGAAGCTGCGTAGATTCAACACATCGTCTGACAGCACAACACCCTATTTGAACCCTGAGACGTTTGCGCTACATACTTGAATCAGTATTCAAGATAGATAGGCATGCTTACGTTCCGTCGCACTGAGGTGAAGATGGGGTAGCCTAGACTGGCCTTATCATCCGAGTCAACATGATTGGACCGACAGGCATCGCTATCGAAGATTGCGCATCCCTTGTACAGCTCGCTATCGCGTTGCTGCATCCGATGAAAGGTGTTCCGGTTGTACTGAGACTCGTTGGGATGATATGCAAGTGTACGCCACCTGGACAGGGTGGTGCAGCCGAACCTCGGCCGGTGTCGCGCTAGGTAGCTCACGCTTATCATTTCTCCCATCCCCAACATCTCGCATCCTCCGTGCTTATCATTAGGACATTTCAGCTCTCTGGCACCATGGCGACGACCACATTCGCTCCGAACCTATCATTCAGTCTTGCATTGGCATGTCGGCTCAACCGCGAAGTCGGCTGACTTGCACAGCTTGCGCAAGGAGGAAAGTCAAATGCAGCAAGACGGTACCCTGTGACAACTGCGTCAGAAGAGGCCAACAGGATACCTGTGGCGTCGACAACTTCCATCGCGATATAAGCCCTCTACTACAATCTTCGGAGTCGAGAACCCATGAGCTCGACTATCTGCGACAGCGAGTCGCACAGCTCGAAAGCGAGACGAGCCAGCAAAACTCCATGGATGTTAGGACCCCGCCATGTAGCCTGCAACCCGATACACCACAACGTGGACTTATTGATGTGTCTGTTGATGGGCCCGACGACTCGGCCGTCTCGAGAGATGCTGCGACAGTGTTAGAGTTTCTGGCTTGGGGAAGACGGAAAGACCCCGACTGCCACACTGTCGCCTCTCTCGAACCCGCCGATGATGCACCCCCTGGAGCTGGGTCGGGTATACTAGAGGACTTGTCGCAACTTCCAGTGCTTCAGCTTTTACTTCCCAGTTCAGACCAAGTGCAAGAGTTAGTTGATTATCATCGCAACTGTCTGCTGTGGTATCACGGCAGCTACTTCGCGCCCACTTTCCAGGCACAACTTCGCGACTTCTACGACAAGCACAACGGACTCATAGATCAGGCCTCTATAGATCTCCAGTGGGTGGCTCTATTGTTCTCCGTGCTCACTGCAAGTCTCGTTTGCGTACCTGATGTACGTGCGCAATCATGGGGCTTCGATCAGATTGAACGACAAAAGCTGTCGCGGCGATGGTACCAGGCTATATTCATCTGTCTTAACCGCGCAGACTACACGAGCAATCTGAGCATTCTATCGTGTCAAGCCATCGCCACGGCAACTGCTTCTGCTCATCTCCTGGGATTCAGCACGAAGCAGAGCATCCATCTTGCCACCGCCGTTCGCATTGCACAGTCTTTGGGCATCCATCGTTTGGGGCCAGATGCCAGTGGAAGCGATGTAGCAAAAGAAACTGGTCGCCGGGTATGGTGTCAGCTTTGCAGCCAAGACTGGTTCAGCATACCTTTCTCGGAGAGCTATCTCGTCAGTCCCAGGTACTCGACATCTGCACCGCCTTCGAATAGTCACGATCATAATTTGCTTGCAGTAGATCCTGACATACCTACCATCACTAGCTACTCTCGATTTCTGCGCGACATCGCAATAATCATGCCCCAGCTCCAAGATGGCCTTATCTCATCTAATACTCCCTACACTCGTTATGAGAAAGTCCTGCACTGGGATGCACGACTTCGCGGTTTAGCTACCCGCGAAAGGCCGTTGTTCATGAAGAATACACCCTTAGATCCAACCTGGCCAGAGTGGGTACCTTGGGCGCGACGTGCTCTAGCCATCACCTCAAGTCACAAGATCATCATGATTCATCGCTCTTTTCTACTAGACAGTTTTGCCAACCCCGCCTTTGCATTTACCCGTCGAACATGTCTAGCAGCCTCGAAAACGATCATCAAAGAGTACAAGTGCCTCATTGGCGAAGATGGCCCTACTTTATGGATTCATCAAGCATTCGCCGTCGCTGCATCCATCACCTTGTTACTCGATGTACTCCATCGCGATCTGCATGACAATGAGGGTTACGAGCACCGCGAACTCGCTCAAGATGTAATGCAGATCCTTCAACGGCACCCAGAGAGCATGATCGCTACGAGAGGTAGCAAACTTCTTGAAGCTCTGATTGGCCAGACGTCTCAGGATGCTCTAGCTCAGCGAGGGAGGAAACGCAACAGAGACGGTACACCTGTTACCAGATTCGACGTTTCGGCATTGGTGAAAGACTTTTATCAGACGAATAGCGGTAACAGAAACTCTCCGCCAAGAAATACGGCAACATCGCCCTCTTCGATCGAGCCGCGTTCCACATACCACTCGCAGCAGTGTGATTCGCTCACCGCAGGTTTTGGACAACTAGAACCTAGCTTTTCGTTATCAGCTTCTGGTTTAGGCGGTACCAACTATTTCGATGATCTCTTATATCTAGCAAATCACGACTTTGCAGGCACATAATTTACTGCTAGTACCCGCTCGTTGTGGTATACATTTTCCCAGCGTAATGTGGAATGAAAGTCATACCGAATGCTGCTTTTTCTGATCATTTGCACAAGTATGCAGCATTTATCACCTTATTCAGCCATGGCTTCGAACAGCTGTTGTACCGCTCTCTCAACGCCAGGAAGGTCCTCCAATATCGGCTGATGTCCACTTTGAACAACAACTACGCGGCTCCTTCCTCCCACCAGTGAACTGAGATCGTTCGATCGCTCCACTGGGCTGATCATGTCCTTGTCTCCAGCCACGAAGACAATAGGGCAGGTAATATCTTTGTATTCTGGGTCAATGTGACTAGTAGCCACGATAGCTTCACATGTCTGCGCATAAGCTTCAGGATTCGAAGAGCTGACGTCAGTTCGTACAGCTTCTCTAGTAGCTGGGTCCACCTTTCGGAACTGACTATAAGTTTATCGTCAGCAAGTTACTAACCATCCACGGGGTTTAAAGCTATACATACGTGTCCTCGTAAAAGTTGGACTTGGCTGCGGCAGCCGCCGCATAGTTGATGCCTTCCTTCCTCACCGCAGCCGCAAGGTCGAGCATACGTTGCCGGACTGCGGGTATATGACCTGCTGCTCTACCAGGACCGATGAGCGTGAGGCCTCTAACGATTTGGGGATACCTTGCGGCAAAGTGCAAAGCAACAATGGCACCGAGGGAGTGTCCGATGATGACGACCCCGGATGAAGCTGGGTTGCTCGAATTTCCTTGTAAATATGTGACGAGATCGCCCAAGTCGGCGACATGGCCTTCTATAGAAAGTGGTCTTGCGGATTCTGTCAATGGCGTCTTTCCGAAGCCAGGGAAATCGACGAGAACGACGCTGTGGGTCTGGGGCAAAGAGGACACAAGTGGCAAGAATGTCTCGGTTGAGCCTCCCAACCCATGTAGGCAGATCAGAAGCGACCCAGAAGGGTTACCACTTTGCAGATAATGTGTCTTCGTGCCAGAAGCTGTGGTGAGGTATGAAGACGAGAGGGTTCGGGCGATCATATTGGAAGTATGGGAGTAATGTTACAGATCATGAACGAAGACCTCACATCTGTACAGATGAAAATAGAGATTTTGTATGGATGTGTTCTTGAATGATAGGAATGGTTCCGTAGTTTTCTCGCTATGTCTGGGGGTTTGTAAACAAGGGTACTCGGCCGAGATCCCGAATGTGGCTGATCGGATCCCGAGGTGGTATCAATCCACTCAACCCGCGATCGCCGCCTCGGGGTGAATATCATGCAGACGTACCCATGGCTGGTAGCTAAGACGTATCTGCTTAGACTACGCTGAGTATTTGATACTACCAACAATAATCTATAGACTATCTAAGGGCCTTCTTGGTTGTAGTCCGGGTATCTTAACACGAAATTCCTGTACAGTAAATCACCACCATGGTCGTCACAGCAGTCATAACTGAAGAGTCTAAATATCTGCATCTCAAAGCAGAGAAGCCTATCCTCGACCTTCCACACGCTGATGAATCCACTGGACGCATTGTCCCCATCAACCACGCGAAAGGCAGCCAAGCAGACTTCGGCGCAGAAATTTACGGGATCGACTTGAACAACTTTACAGATGCAGACTTCGCGTTCATCTCTGATGCTCTGCACAAATGGAAGTTGCTGGTATTCAAAGAGCAACCACAGATGCTGAGGCCACAGCAGCAATATTTGCTGACTGCAAAGTAAGTCATACACATATGCTAGACCTGACCGCGCTGACCCAGAATCAGCTTCGACCGCGAGGAGACTACCGGTGGCTTTGCGCACGGGCATGACCCTTTCCTTACCCACCACAACGGCGTCGACTTTTATGGTATTCCCAAACGTCCAGCGATCCCCGTGCAGCCACAAGTTCATATCCTTGGTCGTGGGCCCGTTCCAGAAGGCCACTTCGGTTTCCCACCCGGCTTCGAAGTCCAGGGTATTGACCACGAAGAGTTTCATCTTCCACCGCACATACCAGCGCAAGAACGCGAAGCTGGAGCTTCACGTTTCTACCAATGGCACTTTGACGGGTCTTTGTACGACATCCCTCCTCCACGTGTAGGCTGCCTTCTAGCTGTTCGTACCCCCAAGGGACCAGATGTGACTGTGCGATGGGAGGATGAGGCAGGGACTCAAATGAAGATGGCACCAGGAGCCACGGCAATGGTCGCTGGTAGCCGTGCGCTGGCTCTACTTGACGAAGAGACCCGGAACATCGCGATGAATAGCAGAATCGAATACGCACCACACGCTTTCGTGTGGATGTCCAAAGCGCATAGCACCCGCCTTGGACATTCCATCGAGACTGAAGGACTTGAGATGCCGCTGGACAGACTTCCCAAGTGGGACAAAAGTAAAGTATGTACCTATCCAATGGTATGGACAAACCCGAAAACTGGTGAGAAGTCGCTGCAAGTCCATGGTCAAGGTGCCTTTAAGTTGTACCTCAAGAGTAGCCCAAATGGGTCAGAAACAATTGTGGAGGACTTGAAAGAAGTCAGGGCGTTCCTTGATAGGATCATGCGGCCGGCATTGCAGCCTGAAAACATCTATGCTCATCCGCACAAGGAGCAGGATGTCATCCTCTGGTATAACCGGGCGCTATGGCATAGCATTACCGAGTTTCCGAAGTCGTATGGGCCGCGCGTGATGCATCAGTGCAACATAGCGGCCAGTGATCATCCTTCGGGTTGACGGGGGAGCTACCAATGTGTGTATGTGGAAGGAGAGAGTTACTTGGTTTTCTGAAGTATGAAACAATACAAGTGGTCCTTGTTGAGATTCGCGTCTTAAGATGATCCCTTGAAGACGCCCAGGTGTGACTGTGAACAATAGTGTCGATGACGTATGGCGAGTCATGCCACAACCACTAACTCCCCAGCCACCCTATGCGTCCATCTTCAAATGTTCCCTACGGCACGGCTCTGCAAGCATTCTTACTTCGGCTTCTTCCAAGCCACGCAACAGGATAGTGATGTCATCATTTCGACATGACCACGGCTACTTTGCACGGCACCCGTAGCGCGTCCGCACCGTGAAGAACGCGTCGCGTCGCGTCATGTCAGCCTCTTAGATCTTCTCTATACGACACACCGAGGACAGACATTGCAAATCCTCTGCCACATCTGTTATTACTTTCCCACGCGAGAAGGGCTTATCAGGTGTGCATCGGCAATGGGTCGGAAGGCCTGCAACAATTGATGTTGTTGCCAAATGCGACTGGCCACTGCCTTCGACTCTAATGACAATATAACCTCGATCAATTCACCATATCAGGCATCACGAGGAAGTCGGCCGAGCACGGCAAGATTCACAAGTTCGGGTTTCGGCCGAGATGCGCTAGCTGATAAGATAACATGCTAGCGACTTCTAGCAGAAGGTTCCCCTCACGTTCGGCAATGCATCAACATAGTATTAAGAACATTTTGGACAGGGCTGCGATAAGATCCGAGCTCTCTGTCGGTGATGCGGGGACGACGTTCGAGTAAGAGTGGGTAAGCGGACATCACTCCAGACTTCAACATATATGCAGTACAGTAGTCATGCATCTAAGGACCATATTTGCAGACGTGTATGACATCTGGCTTCGCGTTTTCACCACTTGAGCTTTCGCTTCTTCTCTTCAAGGCTTCTCAAAGGAGACCATATCGGAGGAAGATAGCTGGTCACCAAACTTCACGACATCGACAGAGAATCATGGCGCCTGGTATACTAGCCCCCGAGCCGACCTTCACGGTCAAGGAGATGGCGAAAAGTACCAAGGAGAAGCACAACTTTGGAGCAATTATTGACGATCTCGACCTTGATAACATCAGTGGTGAGTACAACACCGACCCGATGATGAAGTGTCGTAAACTGACACTCTGTTGTAGACTCCGACGTGAAGGCACTATCTGATGCGATCTGGACCCATAAGCTGGTGGTTGTCAAGGGCCAGAAGGATCTCGCACCCATTAAACAATGGGAGCTTGTCACACGCTTCGATCCTAAAGCACCTCACGTGCACTCCCACGGCGATGTGAAGACCTTCCACAAGCAGGGCGGCTTACTTTCGGTATGAAAACCTCCATCCCAGAGTATGCGTCATACTGATTTGCCTCCAGAAAGGACGTGATGTTGTCGGTATACCTGGTGCAGAAAACGTTCGTCTAATCGGCAAAGGCTACCAGGGAGCAGACCATTACGGTATCAAAGACACGACGATCAAGAAGGAAATCGCGCATGCATGGCATGACAAACCGCTTCCAGCAGAAGAATATGCCTCAGGCCATACACGCTTCCAGAGATGGCATATCGATGCACCACTCTACGCCCGCGATCCTGCGTGGTTTACAACGCTCCGCTGCATCAAGCGACCTACATCCCCTGAACTGACCATACATTGGGATGACGGCAGCGGTTTGACTATGACCACCGAACCTGGTCTGACCGCCTTCTTCAGCAACGTCCAGACATACAACATGATGACAGAGCAAGAAAAGAAGATTGCTGATCACTCATGGGTCGAGTACGCACCTCACCCTTACCAGTGGATGGGTGACTGTAAAGCTCAATCGCACGGCCTAGGCGTAGTAAGCCAAGGTAAAGAGAAATCATTGGAAGACCTTGGCCCCTACGATGAGAAAGACATCAAGCGCTACCCAATGGTATGGGTCAACCCCGTGACCGGCGAACGAGCTTTCATGGTCCATGGTATCTGCGTCCGGCGAGCTTTTGTTCGCTCCAGCGAAGACGAGGAACCGACTATCATCGATGATGTAGCTCAGATAAGGGAGTGGCTAAAGCCCATTCAGGAACGCGTTCTCAAGCCTGAGTACATCATGCTGCCGAAGGTAGAGGAGGGTGACATCATTATGTGGGCAAACTATCAAATGTTCCATACTGCGGTTGATTACCCAGATCATTGGGGTTCGAGGACAATGCATCAGGCTAACATTGGTGCGAGTAGTGGGCCAGTTGGACCGGTAATTGTTCCTGGTGTTGCATAGAGGAAGGTAGTAACTTAGCATGGCACCAGCGAATATGGAACATGAGAACTCAGTCAGTATGCTTCACAATATCTCTGTTCACGGAGATGACAACACGTGCAATCTTTTCATCCTTGCATTACTGTATAATGATAAGAATATCTACATCGCCATATTATTCCGTCTTTATAACATCATCCAGCCTCAGTTTAGATATCAGAGATGAGAAGATATATCTTTTGGTGCCTGACAATAACTGTTCTTTATGTATGTCATGCCATCTTTTCTAGTCTCAATGCAGCTACCCGAATAGCCTCTCATTTTCCAGCTTTGTTTAAGGAGCAATCGATAGCAGAAAGCGTGTTGACTACATGGGTGGACAGGCATCATTAGGACAAGGCAGCGTGATGTTGATGTTGCCCATAAAAAGTTGGTTTATCGTAGCAATTGTCCTAGTATGAGGGGTAGGTTGCGCCGTAGGGTGCGTCGTAGACTCCATCATGTTCTTCATCGTAGAGGTGGTGGAGTTTGCGGTAGAGCGGCTGGCAGATTCAACACCTAGAGGAGAGGTCAACCAAACCGAGCTCACATGGACTACCACTTCTTCAACTTACCGTCTTGTCTAAGGCTTTTGCTCCGATAGCGTCTAACAAGGTGCCAGATGAGAACGACTGAAGGAGGACAAGCCACAAAAAGAGTAACGATAGCAATGATAGCCTCATTCGACAGGGACGGCATATTTTCTAAACAGAATAGAAAATGAGTGAATGTAACGATTACAAATAACTCAGCTAACAGGTAGTATATACAATCGAGATGGAGATTTGGGCGTCGGTGCTACTGATTGTCGTCCTGAAGATGTCATATCAACAGCGGTTAAGGACCATCTTATGATGAGTTCACAGATGTGCATTGCCGAAACCAATGCCATATCCTCTTGAAGAGTTAGATCAATATGGGCTCTTGGAAAAGAGGGCCAACGATTTTGACATACTGCGCCTCTTTCCAGCAGGCTGGAGCAGCTATCGTGAAGATGCATTTGCTCGTACAACCTGCCCGAGTATGGGAAAGGGTTAGGATAGCGTGCGGATATATTTTCTTGTACAACCTGATCGAATCAGAAAGAGAGTTACATAACATGTGGCCACGTTTCTCTGCATGTCACCGATGATGTTATAAGCTTTGCGCCTCGTCACTCTCTTTTGTGCTACCACAGAGCTCGTTTGAGGGAACGAAGAAGGGTTCTGGGTTAGTGAAAAACGGAGTTCAGCGAAGGTATGGCATAGCTACCAAGATGGTAGTAATGCTACAGAGTATGAGACACTATGCACGTAACGGCTGCGCAAATTCTGTTGTCTAAGGTCCCATTTCCGTGTCTACCTGATTGACTGTCATAGAATGACTTACACCTTGCAGACGCCGAGTTTTCCGGAACTCCTAAACCGTTGCCGGACTCAGAACTTCGGGAGTTGATGAGAGAGTTACCGAGATTCCGAGCGATATCGGGACGGAACAGAGGGAGGTGGGTGTAGGAGAGCCCGACAGTTAAGGCCTCCCTAGGATTAACACCCACGTGTACAACTCACCGGCAGGCTTACCGGAAATTCTGATATCTGCTGTCAACACAGTCTACGCGACTCTTAGGTCTTGTGCGACCAAGCCAGCCTCATGGCTTCGATCGAGGTTTGTTGTCTTACAAGGTGATGTGATTACCCTAGAGATCGTTGGGAGTGACAGCTTCTCGAGAACGCGCGCGTCTCATTTCTTTTGACCAGGTATGGACAGCAGCTCGAGTGCGGTCATTGTCTCTTCAACATTCCCTGAAGGTTGTGCTAGTATCTGGGTGACATCGGTAGCGATGCGTTTAGGGGACGAAGTGACGACCTTGCGTGACATCTACGCATTCCAGGAAGGTGAACGATAGATCTTGAAGATAACTCGCCGAGCGACTCGATCCGGCTGCCAACAGGTGTGTGCCTTGCCTTTTGCCCCAATTCCAAGACACTAGGCGCAATTGAGTATCTAGCTCATGTCGCTTCTCTCCATGTGCGTGGTGTCGGGAGATGCGCTAGACAACGATCGTATAGGGGATGCAACTTCGCTTGACAGCAATCATGACGGTATGCCTAATTTTAGGGCATACGGAGGGCAAAAAGTAGCTAGACGCATGTGTTGAACGCACTATAGAGTCGTGTCAAGTACAGCTTGTCTCGCTGTCGCTCTTCCTTGCATGTTCATTCACACTCTACCCTCATGACCAAAAAAATGGCAAAAAAGAAGGTACTGGACGCTGTGGGAATTGAACCCACGACCTTTCACAAGTACGCACGTTTGATGATGCGAAGCGACTGAAGAGGAATGTTAGGATGTTGAACGATAATGAGCGGAAGTTCGGTGGTGTCTTACAAATCATACCCCTAGACCAAGCGCCCTAGTGAGGATTGATGGCAAATGTGTCGGATGTATAATTAGAGTACTCGGCAAAACCACGTCCGAAGCGTAAGTGGACTAACGATGGAAATGGCATGTCGAAATCCTTTAGTGGGGTCGGATCATCAGAGCCGCGGTGGGCAAGGTAAGCATGGCGGGGCAGTAGGCAGCGACTGAATGCGGGAATGCAAGCCCTCTCTAATATTATTTCTAGTTGCACACTTCGTAGAAGCAGAACAAGAGTATTCACTAGCCTAAATATAACGGAGATGCATATGATCTAGATGATGTGTTGTTTGTAAGATCTTACAATGCGTCTGGCATACGCCTCAATTACCGTGTTATTTCTTCTTAAGATGTCAGACACAGAGTGGGTAGACTATAGCACAGAAGAGTACGAGACATATTTCGACAAGCACAAATAGTGCATCTCTATAAACGTACAGTCATAAGCATCAATCACGCAAACAAGACACAAGGACAGCACAAAACATTGTTATATGAACATTATCATTCGTTTATTCATTCATCCTCAAGACCGCCTAATGATTTCACATAGGTCCTACGTCCGAGTCCTGGCTTATGATGCCATATCGAAAGGAAGGTATCGCAAACTTCAACATTTCCTATCCTCGCTTTAGACCTTCTTAGAGGTAGTCTCCTCGGCGTGCTTCTCCAGAGTGTGTTGGGGGTTTGAGCTCAGGCTGTCCTTGGCGTTGTCGCTGGCCTTCTCAGCGCCCTCCTTGGGGCCGGCGCCTTGTTGGTTGACGTTGTCGGAGGTCTGGCCGGATTGCGCACCGGATTGGCGCTCGGGCTCGGGGGACTGGCGGCCGGCGTTGGGGGCAGACATTGTGATGGGTGGTGGGTATGTGAGTTGTTTTGGTGGCTGAATGGCAGGTTAGTAGATGAACGTTCAGTCGTGTGGAAGTAGTTGGGAGGTGGATTCGAGGTGGCTGGCTAGCTAGCTGAGAGCTTCAGGATAAACATACAGTTGAGTAGTTGTACTTGTAGTCTGTTCGTCGATTAGCCAACACTCGTGAAACTTCACGTTGATTATTGAAACATACCTGTAGTAGAGCTTGTGAAAAGATGTGAGAGTGTCGATGGAGTTGTCCTCCGAAGCTGCCCCTCTGCCTCTTTTCATGCGCGAAGATGCCCCACTAGGCCTGACGTCACATAGCGAAACGCGCTTGAATCGGGCAACATCGACGTCAACTTTCAATCAAACAGCGCGCAAGGGCCCATCGCGGGCTCGCGGGCCAGGGGATGCAATGCTTAGCAAGCGCGTGTGGTGCTTGCTAACAGGTTCGTTTGTGGTTCATGCAGCGATGCCCGGCCGGTGGCTGTTATCACTCAACGCGTTGGGCGCGCCTCTTTCCCCATAGGCTTCGCCGAGCTGTCCGGACATCTCGGTGGGTGTGCCGAGAGTGCGAAATGTTTGTACAGCGTTGTATGAAATTGTGATTAATGCATTTATGTTGTCATGAGTTGATGATTACGTGCTTCGCTTCGCTTCGCAGATCTATCAGGCATTCTTGCCCATCTCTATATCGGCATCACCACCATCACCGTCGTCATCCCATTCTCCTCCTTTGAGCCGCTTACCCAGCCAAAGACCCAACACGGTAGCTGCACAGGCAGTCAAGAACCAGCCTTCGAACCATCTCTCCGTGAAGCCTGGTTCTAATGGCGCACCCAATGCATCACCGATCTTGCTCTTCATCTCAGGAGGCAAATTGCTCCTAAGAAGTAACGCTGAACTGATTACATAGGTCGCTGTGATCTGCGAGATGATGAGGGCGAAATTTGTTCTAGCGTGGTGCAGAAGACCGGGCACTACTCTGGCGAAGAGATAGAAGGTCTGGAGGACGCTGTTGAACGATAATAGTAGCATCACGCCAGAGAGGAGGAAGGAGATGGTGCGGCTCCACGCAACTCGGTCAATAGTTGGATCCCAATGCTTCGCTAGTAGGGCGAGGACGTTGTTGATAGGATCGTTGCTTGCGAAGCTCGCATTCGGAGATGAGAAGCGACGCAGGGAAGTGACAGTGGTCGCAATGATGCGGTACGCACAGTATATAGCGAAAATGTACGAGACGATGTTAAACAGCTTCCCGTTGGCAGTATGTGAGCGCAGTTGATTTTGTCGACGGTTTTGGAGCACCGTCAGGGAGTTCTGAAGTGTATGGCGCATAGTCTCGAGGCCTTGTATCTCAAGCTGTAGAGTATTTCGCTCCTGGACGTCAGGGTTTCCGCGGATCGATCCTACTACGCGACCCATGAAACCTTGTTGAGGGTTGTCTGCAAGTTTTCGTTCAACGGCACGAAGTCGGCTCTCTTTTGCCAGAAGCATGTCGTTTGTAGCTTGTATGCCGGCTTGCTTTCGACCGATATCCGACTCGGTGACCTGTACCAGATTAGTATATGTCGAAGGCGCCTCACACTACTAAGACGGAATTCGCGGGCTTACTGGGCGGTATTTGACGCCGAACGTGTGCCAGAGGGCAGATATGGCAGCGAATCCGGCTAGTGAGGCCATCAGACTGATGCCGATTATGCCAATTCTTTCTAGACAACCCTCGCTAAATGTA